TTGAGTTCAGCAACCTTCTAGTATAAACTGGAAAGCTAAAAAATGTTTATATGATTTTTACAGTACTTCTATACCTGCTATGCTATGTTATGCAAGGAAATGTCAAATGACTTATGGAAACAAGCTATAAAATCCATTGTGTCAGGTGGATGAGTCTTTAAATAGCTATAGATTTCAAAAGTTTTAAGTAGAAACAACACCCACAGATGTTTTCTTCATAACTGTATGATAAAACTCCGTTTTCCAAAGTTAGTAGCATAGTAGAAGAGTAAGGCATAGACTGAGTCTGTTGGGTTGTTTTATTACTGAAATGTTGTCTCCTAGCCATAATCAAGGAAAAAGGCTGCAGAACTAACTGGACACATGCACATTAAATGCATATGATGAGACTTGCTTAGTCTCTGAATATGTATTGATGATACTGGAAGTCTAGCTAAGCTGATTTGAAAACCAGGGGAGAAAAGAAGCATACCCAGCAATTTTTCCTCTAAAATTGTACAAAAATTCTTGACATTCAGCACAATCTGATGCATTCTTTGGGTTTCTATATGTTACATCTAAAAATATTTTAGTGAGCTCAATGGATAAATTATTTTTGTTAAGGGGAGTGGGTAATGCTCAGAGAGAGAGCATGGTGGGAAGATGTATCCCACAGGCCAAATTCTTCAGTTTTCTGAAGATACTCCATTATTCTTTGAAAATTTGGAGGTGATGGAGAACACAGACCCACAACAGGCAAGAGAATCACCCCATATTTTCCTTCAGCTTAATGGCAATATTACAACAAAGGGCTTTTGTAGGCATCCTTGTATCTTTGCACTACAAGCAATCCAAAATATAATGAATCTCTGCAAAGGAGGGAGATTTTTGGAAACAACTCCACTAGCTTTTGCAACTTCAGAAATACTTCCTGAGAGACAAACACTTTATTCTTTGTGTAGCTCACCATGACATCAACGCACCAAATTAAAAAAAAAAAAAAAAAAAATCAGTCCTTTCCATGATTAAACTCAGATCACCTCACCTCAATCATTTTGCTTCATAATAATAATATGTTATACTGCAGGTGCATACATTCAGGCCCTGGCCCTGTTTTTCAGACCCATGCTCTTCTATGGTCCTCTTTCTTTTCCTCACATCTTCTACCCTAGCAAAGTCCTGTTCCTCGACTGCCATGTGTGTGACTTTTGCTTCACATTCTTTTTTATTTTCCTTACTGAAACTCAGACTCTTCTAAGCCACTCTTAGAGAAGACAAGCTAATGACCTCTCCCCAGACTTCTAGTGAAAAGAACCTCTTGATAAGGCGTGACTCCTTCCCTCCTAACAGTGCCTTGACAGCAGTAAAAACTCAAAAAGATACAACTCAGAGCCATTAAGCTAGCATGGTTAAGTTTTATCTATGCTTTAACTCGCTTCTTCTTTGCAAGGCAGCTCCCCCTACCCCTAAAAAATTAAAGCCAACTTTTTACCAAAACTCAACCAGTGCAGGCAGCAAAGTAATTTGATTCAGAGCCATATAATGCACATTTTTCTGTAGATAATTGGTAGCTTAAGTAAAGGTGCATAGCAGGTGACTTTGACACTTCACAGACAGGCAACCTGAAATGTATATTTCACTGCTTGCATATCACCCACCAAAGCCACCCAGAAACTAAGTACCAAGAACTGAACTGATAGGAATGTTTCTGTATTGCAGGGAGCAGAAGAGGATAGCAAGTATTTCTGGAGATAACATTTCCTGAAATGCCAAGATTTAGAATTTTGTTTGGGTTTTGATGGGTGAAGCCCAAATGCTATCAGCTCAGCTAAACTTGAAAGAGAATTTTCTCTGGCTGGCTGCAAGACAGTAAAGAACTAAAGGTTCTCCACTCTTCAGGTACTGAAAGAAGATATGAAGAGGAATGAAGACTTAAAACTAATGAGGATGCATCAGAGTATTTTATCTAATGTTTTATGACTATTAAGTCCTCACATGTTATATGGAAAAAGCAGTATCACCCCTTTGATGCAGGTGGGAGTTTGCAATCCAAAAGTGCTGTGTCTTCAAGTAAAATCTCTTTTACTAGTTCAAACTCATATTGTTAACATTCGCTAGGAATTCTTCTTGCAAATATTACCTCCAAAACAGATAAATCCAAATAATTTCACTGAGTTGTGAAACGGTTGTGATATTACAGATTTCTGATTTATTACAACTGTTAGCCACAGTTAAGGACAGAAAATAAGCACAGTGTGGAGGCTTAGTAATAGCATTTTCATTGTGATGCATGAATAGAGGCTTAGATACTGGAGACCAAATTAATCTAGCAGTAATGACACCAGAACAGCTACCGCTTGGATGAGTCTGACCTTTTAAGTTAAACATTAGCTAACAGTTTGACTGGTATTTCTGGTATGTTCCACAACATGGATTAAATATTTAGGCATTAAAATGTCTGTACCCTTCACTTAAGAAAACAACATACTAAATTCAGGAAGTACATACAGAATTAAATCACGTTTGACTCAGTTTGCATATTTACACTACAGATCTTGTATAAGAATGGCCATAATCTGTCAGACCAAACATCTATCAAGTCAAGTAGCCATCTCCATGTGCAGCCATAAGAAGGTTCATAGGATTTTGAATAGGACAGCGACATGTGATACTTACATGTGGTAATTTTCTTTGCCTCCAATTATTTTCAGCACAGGGCCTTCTGTAGTCTGGTGTGGTGCCTGTGTACATAATAACTACAGTGGACTTCTCCTCACTGAACTTATCCAGTCCTGCCTTGAAAACGTGAAAACTTTTTGCGTCCCTGACATCCTTTGCTAAGGATCAACAAGTCAACTGTGACTCTACTGGTTTCATTTGAGATGTCTTGCTCTTGTTCTTGGAAGAAGCAGTGAAGAACTGATCTTTACCCACCATCTCCATTTTATTTGTGCTGTTATAAGTCACCACCACATCCTGCCTCAACCATCTCTTTTCCCACCTAGAGTCCTACTTCACCTAGTCCCACTTAAAGAGAAGCCTTTCTATATCTCATCACTCTTGTTGCTCTTCTCTGAACTCCAGTCCTGTGGTATCCTTTCTGAAATGGTGGGATCTGAACTGCACACAACAGGCAAGTGTCAGCAAACAAGTGATTTATGCAGTAGCCCAAAAACATTGTCTCTTTTTTCCCATCATTTTCAATCTTAACAATTTAATTACTTTTTGACTGCTGTTAAGCAATGAGCTGATATTTTAATGGAACTGTCTATCACAACCTGAAGATCTCATTCCTGAAAAGGATCCAGTGGTAATGTCTGGCCCAGAGTCCACCATTCTTATGTGCAGATATTTCCCCCATGTGCACATAACTTTCCCTTTTCTTGTTTTTCCCATGGATGACAAAGTCCTGGTCATTTATGAACTATCACAGTTTCTACAAATTCACTGACAGGAGACCAAACTTCAAAGAAAAGAAGGTGGACTAGAGGACTATATCTTCCATAAGTGAGACATGTAGAAAGTAGGACACAAACTGTTCTGTCAAGATGCAGTTTTATGGGTTTTTAAAATTCAGTATTAGTCAAAGGACACTCTCATTTGAATTTTCAGCAAGAATTGAGCTTGGCAAACTACCATGCATATGATAGTGCTAATGAGTAAGAGAACTTGAGTGTGCTCCTAAAGACACTTTCCTTTAATTGTCTGTTAAATGACCATGAAGTTATAGCAGAAGATTCCATTGTCTAATGATGGAAGATTGAATAACAGACAAAACCAATTTGTGTTTTTATTATAAATACTATTATTTTCCTTTTTATCTGGTACGTTTTTCCAAAACTGTAGGTGCATTGCCATGTTTATTCCGGTGCTGGAGACAAGCATTTTGGACATGGATGAATCTTTTCACATGCTTAGGACCAAATTCTGCCCAGGGCATGCTCTACTGCTGCCTTCACTTGGACCTTCCACCTTTGGACAAAATTTGGCTCTAATGTCTCTTGGTGCTTCAAAAAAATTACAGTCAAATCAGACAAACTTTCCAACATCTTATAGTTTGTGTTGAGAATTTACATTCTGCATTGTTGCTTGTATCATCATCTAATAGTACACAACGAGTACCCAGATGCACCTGGTAGGATCCAACGCTGCTCTGAAAACCAAAGGGCTGGTAGCTGAGAATTCAACAGTCCCCAGCAAAAGCTCCCAACCATTTGAGGTGGAGCACGGCTGGGATGGAAACTTGCTCCATTGTCATAAACGCGTGGAAGTCCTACTTTGCTTTGCCAGGGTAAACGAAAGGGGCAGAGCAACCAAGAAAGCCAAGACCTATCCTATGCTAGTTGCCATGCAGACACAGTGAGAGATGGTCCTTGGTCCCCAAAACTTACAGGCTAAGGCTGAAGCAGACATAGCTTCAGATGGATCAAAAGCAGGTGTTATCAGCACACCACATAGCTCAGAGGGGCACGTGCTGCATCCAGCAGTGCTTCTGCTCTTAACCACCCTTTCTTTCTTTCCCTCTGCCCAGTATATCCCACACTCAGTTTAAAAGGAAGGTTATCACAACCCTTACTTAGCAATTCAAGTGTAAAACAGAACACTTGTCTTTAGCCCTTCTTAGACTGCCTTTCTTGATGAAGTGGAGAACAGGGTCATTTTTCACCCCTATCTGTTGGGAAGCAGACAAAGAGAAAACAGGAAGGACAAATAAGCAGGAGGACTCCTGCCCTTACCTTCACACTGGGCAGGCTGAGGAGCTGCCTGGATAGAGAAAATGGTGTCCAAGCTGACCCATAAGCGGATGAAAACATTTAGAGGAAAGGAGGAGTAAAAGAAGGGTCACAAACATGAGTCACAATTTTTTGAATCAGTGTAGCTGTGCTTCCTCTCTAATGCAGGGCAACCTGCAAAACTACCATATGGTTCTGACAAGATGAGACAGATAATGAGTGGGAAAAGTGAAGCAATATTAACTGCTGAGTGGCCTTTAGTATAATAAAGAAATTGTTTTTCCTCAGTAGGTAAAGCCAAGTGATATAATTCACTGAGTAAAAGGAGGAGACACCTGGCAGCCCGGCACCAGTACTAATGAAGCCAATAGCCTTCTCTGCTTTCTCCTTTTGGCTGGCTCTCATTTTGGCTGTCTTCCTTGGCATACACATCACTGGCAGTTTTGTGAGAAGTCAGAAGAACCATACGTTAATTTTCACCAAGGAAAACACAATTCGCAACTGCAGCTGCTCGGTGGATATCCGTGATTGTGATTACTGCCTGGCAAACTTGATGTGCAATTGCAAAACGGTGCTGCCTTCTACCATGGAAAAAAATACCTACACTAGCCATCTGACCATTTGGTTCACGGACACCTCTGTGCTGGAGATGCTCCTCAACTTCACAAGGGTGTGGGATTTGAAGCTGTCCTTCTGTGGCACCACTCTTCTCCCAACAGAATACTTGGCCATTTGGGGACTTCGAAAGCTCCGGGCAAACAAGATCAAGGGACGATTTCCAGAGCAGAGTGTAACCATACACAGCAGCAGCAGCAGGAATGAAAAAGAAGACTCACTTGTGGTACACAACAAAGACAGGCAAATGCCCGTGTATATTTCTTTTCTGGATACCTCGCTTTTCAATGGATATTCTTTGCTGAAGTCATACAGTGTGGAAAACATCTCTAGTATCACAGAGTACTTTCCCAGCCTGCTGTACTCTGATGTTTTCTCAACCTCAGATAACAAGAGCTATGTTGTAACATTCATTTACTGAGTTACTTAACATATTCAGTGGTCAGAGGCATGGCAAACTGCTAAGAGAGAGATGGGACTTCTTTAAATCTGTTTGGTTTGGCCAGGAGGAGCTGTTACAGGATGGACAGTTCTTACTGTGACAGCACTCGACAAGGAGGTGCTTAAAGTAAGACAAGACTCATCAGACTAATTCAATAAACGCTTTCTTAAGGAACAAAGAAAATGTGAAACAACTGTTTTAGAAAGCATTGGCACAAATTCTTTTTATATATTGTAAGCTAAGAATTGAAAACTGCTGATAAATTTTGTTTTAAGGTTATGCCTCAAACAGAGAAAGATGTAACTCTGTACCTCCAACAAGAGAAGGACCTGAGCCTACTGCAGAATCACTCGGGTTAGAAGGCAGCTTGGGAGCTCTCTAGTCCAACTCCCCGCCCCAAGCAGGGCCACCTCTGGGATCAGACCAGGCAGCTCAGGGTTTTCTGCAGTCGGGTCCCAAAACCCCCCAAGGATGGAGCCTGCACAACCTCACTGGGCAACCTGCTCCACTGCCTGCCTGTCCTCACTGGGAAACTTTTCTCCATGTAATAACCCCAGCCTTCTCCACGCTGAGCAAGCCCAGTTCCCTCACGCTTTGCTCACAGTCACATGTGCCATCCCCTGACCACCTTGGTGGCTCTCCATGGGACCACTTCAGTTGATCCACATCCTTCTTGCACTGGGGGGGGCCAAAACTGAATGCAGTACTCCGTATGCATTCTAGCAAGTGCCGGGACAAGGGGACTAATCCCTTTCCTCCATCTACCAGCTGTGCTCCTGTTGACACAGCCCACTGCTGTCTCGTTCCAGGGGTACGACGTGGTTACAGGCTGCTCAGACTGGGAGTGCCGAGTTGTCTTTTGCCCACTGGTACTTGGTCAGAGCTGGGAATCCTCCGGTCAGGCTGAGTGACGCAGCCTCCTAGGAAAGCAGGGACGGGCTACGCAGGCAGCCTCCACCGCCAGCGTACAGCCGAAGGTGTGACTGGGGAATGACTGGGAAGCTGTGTTCTCTGCCAAGACACGGCACACACCGTGGGAAAGCACTGGGCAAGAGGCCACCTGACAGGTGAGACGCCACGCTCACAAAAGTGTTTTTCCCAGGGAAAGGCCTGTCTCTTGCACGTTGGGTGTGCCCATGCCTGCAATTTCCCCAAATGCAAGGAACTTCACTTCATCTTTTGTGACAATGGCAAGCTCTGCTCATGTGCTCTGAAAAACATACATCTGGTCTATTTCTATAGCCCAAAGTCTGCTCCTTGCCCACATCTGTAGGATTTGCATTCTATGAGAGATGATTAAGGCTGGGATCCACCCGTATAGTACATTAAAGACTTTGGAATAGCAAGCCCTAACAGTCTTCCACTGTCAGCAAAGGATTACCTGAAATTGGGATAAAATATGTGTACTGAGGGAAATGACTATCAAGATTCTGAAGAACCAATGAATTGATTTAACAGCTTTAAATTAAGAGTTTTTCTGTAACTGTAATCAATGATGGAGCAGTTTTGCTAGGAAGCAAAACTTAATTTTTCACAATACTTGAATACATGCACACCTTCCATTACTGTGAGCTTTCCCACCAAAATCAACAATGCGGTAACTATTGAATTAATGGGGTCTATTTGCAATTGTAAATTAACATATTTAAGCACATGGGTGCTTGTAGGCTGGGGACTGAACTCAATTTAACTCAACCAGAGAACTTTTAAATCAGCTGTTATAAAGACGTTGTTTCCTTTGCACCCTGGCAACAAACCATAAGCCTCCTACTCAGATCACAAATATTTCTAGTGATACCTCTCATAATTGTGTCACAAGTTACAAAATGGTTAGGAGCTGGAGCTGGGCTGACAGAGACTGGAAGTGGGGCAGGGGGGAGGTGTTCTGAGCATGTTACATGCCTGGAATATATTACAGACACAGACAAATAATACATATTGTCTGCCCAGGAATCCCATGTTCCAACTGTCAGTGCAAACGTACTAATGTTGCCTTCACAAACTGGCTAGTCACTAATCCTGCACAGGATAGTGTTGTTAAAAAAAAAAAAAAAAAAAAAAAAAAAAAAAGAGCTGGCAGACACAAATACGTTGATTTCTAAATGTCACCAACTCTGTCTTTAAAATCTGGGAAAATCAAACCTAACCAATCCTCAGCAAATTCACTGAGTTTCTGCTGCCCTCTAGTAAAAAATGTGCTGAATAACACAGTACTACCACATAGCCGTAACAGCAGCGGTTGGCTGCTACTACAGTTCAAATTTCACACGTGCAGCAGTAACTGAGAATGTATGTATTCCGGCCTTCTTGGGAAGAAACCATGAGATTAATAAATCCATGGACTTTCTAATATTGCAAATTACAGTTTCAGTTACTTTTACCACTGTAGTGTTCTGAATAAGGCTGAAATAAAAGACCTTTTATTCCTGTGCCCAAGTAAGCATTGCAAAGATTTTCCTGGAATCAGGGAAAAAACCTCCTCTCCATTGCATCTGCAGCAGAAATCCAGCAGAAATCCACAGCACTAATATTGCAGTGATCTTTTCGGCTCCCCTGTTTTTTCTGCAGCAGATACCAAAAACCAGATTCTCCCAGTTTCAATTTTATGACTTTGCCACATGAAAGCACTTCATTAGAAGTTTGCAGAATTTCTTCAAAGCAATGCATACAAAACATGTACCTTGTATATTGTTCTATCAGTTCTATTGGTGGAAGTATGTCTGCATGTAAACCATGCAGAGGCACATTAAGCATCACTCTGCAGAAATAATGATGTGATTTTGTGAATTTGTTTTAAATTCTAGTGTAAGATATGCTTAACCACACTCAACACTCTATGGCATTTCCTCCTATATTTATATCAATTAACATTTATATACACAGTGGTTTCATTCTCTACGTATCAGGTTCAACCTGTATGTATTCAACACTTTAACCTTGATGCATGATTATGGGATGTGCCAATCAATGGAGAATGAGGTGATTTTTTTGTATCAGAAAAAAAACAGAAATAGGAGCTGTAAATTTATTTTCCTTCCTACTAGAAATTCTGGTGTGACTTTGGGAAGTCAGTACAGATTGCAAACAGCACGAAACCAATGCGATGCTTTCTACAGGAGATCTCGCTGTGCAGCTGCAGTGAGAGGCTGCGGGAGGCCAGCCAGGCCCCCTGCACCTCCTCCTGGGCAGACCCCCAAGGCGGCTGGCAAAGATGGGCTGCACGGGACCCTGCCCTTCCTGATCCGGCAGTGTCACCGAAATTGGGAATGAAAACTCCTTAATGCTGCGCTTAGCATTAACTGGCAGTCATTTGCTTATTCAGCCAGGGACGTGGAGGGAATCATTCCACCTAACATGTCCACTGTATGTTACAACAGCCAAAGCTTGTATCACTCTGTTACATACATAGTCATCAAACTCTAAACTTGTTATATATGGGTCTAAAACTCATTATATATATACATAGTTATTACAGGTGTGGTTTAACTCTCTGAGGGGCTTCCATGGGGGTCTCTGGTGGTCTTAGGAGAGAAGCGCTTGTCTATACTTTAGAATTGGCCTTTCTTTGGTTTATGCCTGCACTTCCTTATCTCCTGCCTAGCTTCAGCTAGTTTGTTTTTCAGAGGGCCTTTATCTTCAAGCACAAGGGCTTCTGATTACAAGTCACGCCATTTACCCACGGATCCTCTCCACTTACACATTCCTGAAGAGGTGCTTATCATGCTTGCCTAGCTCAAGGACTTCTGTGCAACAGACACGTCGCAGGTGTTCAACCGACTGCTTAAGTTCTTACACTACCCTAAACAATTTTCTTTTTTCTTCACCCATTTTCCAACAGCAGGAAGGCTGAAAACAAGTCCTTCCAGTTACCAACACTTGTACTTGAAGAGATGGTCTTCAGAAAGGCCAGTGATCTTTTGGCATCTGCCACCAAACCTGCAGTTTTTCTTTTAGTCACCACAGTGGCCACTGAGGCCGGCTGGACCGAGTCCCGAGGATGCCCCCGGCCCACATGAAACCGAACCCCACACTTAAGACGCTACTGTTTCACATTAGCGAAGAGGACCACCACATTATTTCTCCTCTCCAAGCCGGAAGCCAAAATTTCTTCGGGGAGGGCAGGGGCTTCCTGGCAGAGGCCGCGCAGCGCCGGGTAGCGAGCCCCGACTGAGGCGAGCACCCCGGCCGCTGAGAAGATGGCGGGGGCTGGGCCGCTGCGCGGGCCCCTGCGCCCACTCCGGATGCGCGCTGCCGCCGTCCCCAAGCTGGCTGCGGAAAACAAGCCCACGGGGATGGTAAGGCCGAGGCTCAGCGCCCCGCTTTACCCCCGCGGGGACCACAACCACAATGCCCGCTCCCCAAAAACAAAACCACACACCCCCGACGGCACACTTCCCCAGGGTCCGCGCCGCTTTCCCCACACAAGATGGCGGCAGCCGGGGGAAAAAAAGGGAGGAGGGCGGCGCGGCGCGGCCGCTCTACCCTCCGCCGCCGCCGCCTCTCTATGGCCAGGCGGCCGCCTGGCCGCTGGCGGGCGGGCGGCGGCGGGCGGCGGGCGGCAGGGGGCGCTGTGGCCGGCGGCGCGGCGGCTATCATGCTCGGGGAGCCGGGCCTGGGCCGCGGCGCGGGGTGGCGGGAGCGGGCGGTGCCGGCGCCGGTGGGGCGCGGCGCGGGGGGTCGGTGCTCGGCGGGATGTTCCGCAAGGCGCGGCGGGTGAACGTGCGGAAGCGGAACGACTCGGAGGAGGAGGACGAGGAGCGCGACGAGGAGCCGCCTCAGGAGCCGGCGCCGCCGGCCGCCGGGGCGGCGGGGGAAGGGCCCGGCGAGGCCTCCATGGCGCTGGCGGCGGGCCCCGGGCTCCTGCCGCTGCCCGCCGGCTGCGTGCCCCTCGCCCTGCCCGGCAGCCCCGCCGCTTTCGCCTGCGCCGCGGGCTACGGCGCGGCCCTCGGCTTGGGGCTGGGCTTGGTGGGAGGCGACCGGGCAGGCCTGGGGGCTCTGCCGCCGCCCGCCCTCCTGCCCCCGCCACCGCCGCCGCAGCAGCAGGGCAACGGGCTGCCGGCGGCCGGGCGCCCCAAGGAGAAGAAGCGGCCGCGGGAGAACAAAGAAGTGCCGCGGGCCAGCCTGCTCAGCTTCCAGGACGAGGAGGAGGGTGAGGCGGGGGGGGGGGGGGGGGGGACGGGACGGGACGACACACGCTGCCCGCCCGCGGGCACCGGGGACGCGCGCGGCCTTCGGATCGCTGCCGGCAGCGGTGGACGGGCCCCGGAGCTGGGCAGCCCGCGCCGGGCCCCCGCCCCGCCGTCTGCGCCCCTCTCGTCCCCCAAGAGGGCCGGGACCTTGGTTTTATTATTGTAGGGTTTTGTTTTGTTGGTTTTTTTTTTTTTTTTGGTATATTTTTTTTTTTTAAGGTAGTCGGGTTGTCCCCAGTGACTCGGGGGTGATGGGGGGCGGCACAAGAGGGAACGAGCCCGGCGGCGCGGAGGTCCCCGTCCCCCCCCCGCCGCCTTCGGCCCCGCTCCCTTCCCGCCTCCCGGCACCGGGGCGATGTCCCGCGGGTTTAATTCCGGTTCAGCGAAGTAGGTTGCCTCTGCTGCGGTGTTTGCCGGTGCCTGACTGGCACCCGTGTTGCCCTCGCTGCAGCTGGGTGGCTTGCTGGGCCTGAGCTGGGCTTTAGCCTGAGCTGGGTTTGTGCGGTAGCAGGTACACCCCCCCCCGCCTACCCCCCCTCCGCCCTCCCGAGCCGGCAGCCCCGGGCGAGGCGCATCTTCCCCGCGCCTTCGTGTCGAGTTTGTTTTCATCCGCTCGGGCTGGCTTTCACAGGTCATGTCAGACTGCCTGTTGTCCTAGCAAACTCCGTGTGAAGCCACGGGTGTTTTGTTGCAGAGTTGGTTCGTCTAGCTGGCCGCAGGGTTTATTAGATTAACTTTTACAAATAATGGAAAAAGAAGTCGAGCAGTTTCTGGACCTCAGCTCTTGGAAAAGTATCGTAGTTGTGTTTGTACAGTGCTTCAGCTAATAATTCTGATGTATTCCAGCTGGTGCTGCAGTTATGAATTGGGCCACTCACACTCAGATAATCTGGTTATGGATAGTAGTTATTGCATATTCCAAATGATCCAAAAATTATCAAAACCCGCTCCTCGAACTTCAGAGTTCATTGCATCTCAGGAGTATAGGGTGAATAAAATGGGGGGCTTATTTTTGTGATACCTTTTGTCAGCAGGGGAGTTAGTGTGCATTTTGAATTCTGTTCAAATGAATTCTCTTGTAATCACTGGAACTTGGATTCAAAGACTGGGGGTTTGAAATCTTGACAGAAGTACTGGAAACATGGAATTGCACTATAGACTTTAAAAAATCCCAAATACTTGCAGATTTCCTACATCAAACTGTGATTTTTTTTGCTGTGCTATTTAGTTCTGTAACTTACTGTATACCTTTTGTCAGGTTGTAGTGTGCAGGCATTTGAACTGGTAATACAACCAAAACCAGTAGTTCACTTACTCATTAGTTGGATATATGTATGGCTGTGAAAAGGCTGTTGACCCAAAATGTTGGGGCTTCATGTTGTTTTCTTGTAAATTTGTGGTCACGGTGAAGGATCAGCTGTATTTTGTTTGTTTGTCGTCTGATTTGTTTATGGTTTTGTTTGTTTTTTTAAGATTATTGCAGTCAGATAAAAGCAGGCCATTTGTGTATGCTTTTGTGTAACTTATGCTTTGCTTTTCTGTGACTACAGGATGAATAGGTTTGAAAATGAAAAATGTTGAGGTAGTTGTTACTCACATGAAAGGATATGGGACTGGTTTTGTTGCAACAGTGCAAATGTAAAGTCACATTAAATTGTGGTGTTAGTGGCATTTATTAAGTCCTAGGTACAAAATTAAGAGATTTAATTAGGTAAGTATACTTCTTGGCAGGTCTAATGTAATGTTTTCCAACTTCTCTTTTAAAGAAACTGAAGAAGTTTTTAAAGTGAAGAAATCAAGTTACAGCAAAAAGATTGTAAAACAACTGAAGAAAGAATACAAAGAAGATCTTGAAAAGTCAAAAGTTAGAACAGAGGTCAATTCTCCAACAGATGGTAACTGCAAAACTAACAGTAACTTTTGTAATGGAAAAGGTTAAGTATTGTAAATACAAATTACTTGTATTCAAGATGAAGTGTTAGTCTTTTTAGAGGATTTAGCATATAGAACTGACGTAAAGCATGCATTAAATGTGTTCATTCAAACATTACAAGTGCTATTCTGAAGCTGGTGGAGAGTTCTGTATTTCAGCTCTGTGTCAGATGAGTTCCTTCCTACTGAATTAAGAAGGAATTAAATTAGTTTAGAACTGCATGGTGCTTATCTGACAGGATGTGTCCTTGTAACACATCTTCTCAAAAAGGAAGATTTTGGGGGTGAGCAGAGTGATGTTCCTTGCTATAAAGTAAATTATTCAACAGTTGCCTGTTTCAGGACTTGGGCCTCAGGAGTAGACTTGATGATTAAGATGACAGGATGAAAGTGTTGGAGCAGAAGGATCTTCTAACAGTGCACAGTCCTCCAGAGCTTGGAGTAGAGCCTGGGATTTCAATTTCATTGTACTTTTGCTATTGGTGTTTGGCAAGCTCGTTGTTAAAGCATAATGGTTCCTGTTCCAGTTAGGTTTTTGTGTAGAGTAATAGTTTACAACACCATGAGCACAAGTTGAGAGGCTTGTGATCTAAAGATTGCTATGATATAACTGAAGCATATGAGAGTTAAACATGGTCCTATGCAGAAAATTGCCCTTTTTAAGTTAATTAAATTAGTCTTTTAAAAAGGATTCATCTGCATTTAAAGAACCCACGAATTCTTTTTTATTAGAATCTTTTAAGTTGCCTGTGCAGTGGTATGTGGTGTGAGCAAAAGCAGAAATGATAATTTCTGTGGCTAATATTAAGGTGATCTGTGGAAACCTGTATCTTAATTCTTGCTTCTGTCACAACGATCCTTAAAAAATTGCATTTTGTACATGGCTAGTGTGTGCATATATTCTGTTTGTTTGTTTTGCAGTCTCTATAGTTGTTTTAGTTATAGTGCAAAGACTTCATGGCTGCTACTGAGTCAGTAGCCCAGATTCTCTAAACAAATGCTAAAGTCTAAGAACTCGGGTATGGACAGCTTGGATTGGATACCTGGATTTAACATGCATTTTTTTACGTAATACTTGTGCCTGCTGCTTATATGTATGTTATCCACCTCATGTAGGGTCATGTTGCAACCAGCCCAAGAGGAAAATGAAGGGGTTCTTTTGGAATGAGTCTGTTCTTGTGGAAAGATATGGTGTAATGCAGGCAGTGCTTTGTAATTACATATATAAGAGGCTGTGTGAAGGTTGCATATATGATCTTAATTATTGAGTTTCCTCATTTTTTTAATATTTGGTAATATGTAGGATGTTTAATGGTTGTTGGGGTGTCTGCTTTGTCAGATTTTATTTTGAGAGGATGTCAGTGACTTAATCACAATTAAGAAGATGTATTTTACTAGATCTCAAACAATAAATTAGCACTTAACATTTTCATTTGATTTTTACTTTTGCTTGTTAGACCTTAAAAATATACTTCTGAGTAGTCTTTATGAAAGGAGTAAAACATGGGCTTTGTTGTCTTCCCAGTCGAACCACCACTAGAAAAGGCAGGACAAATTAAGGATTTAGGTCAAGAAGATGGGACAGCAAACAGTGAGCATGGTGAAGAAGAAATGGAAGTTGAAAGTGAGAAGGAAGAAGAAAAACCAAAATCTGGTGGGGCTTTTTCAAGTGCTCTGTCATCACTGAATGTTCTCCGCCCAGGTTGGTTATTGTAATATGTCTGATATGTTAAATGCTTTAGCCAGTGTCCACAGCAGACTAATGTATATTGAGAGAATAGGAAGTATTCTCCAGCAATATATCCAAAATCTGAAAATTCAGGAAATGGCTATTTTCCAAAGCTGTTCATTTTACCAGCTTTATGAGAGAACATGTTTTACTACAGAATGCTTCATCTTGATGTCAAAGGCAGAAATTTGCCTTTCAAAGTGATTACAACCTGTATGAAAACCTAGATTTGGAATAGGTGACTTAACACGAATTTTAACTGCTTTCAATTAAAATTATGTCTTCAGTTCAAATGTCTCTGTTACAGGTCTGCAAGGTATCTCAGATGTTTTCCTATCTCATGTTGTCTAATGAGGTTCTCGTCAGGCCCAGAGGCCAAAGAAATCAGTCTGAGAAAGTATTTCTGAAACTAGTTTACTACTTATTAGCTAGCTTGTGGTAGCCTGCTCCTCACATAGAAGATGAATGTCCTGGGGCCACAGACCTAGCCTAGAGGAAGAGATTTTCCTAGTTGACTTGCAAATCATTTTTCCTTTTAGGGGTAATTGCAGAGTGGTGTGATATGTACGTTCCTGCATCTCTAAAGATATTTTGGGCTTGAATGGAATATGTTATGTCAAGTGTAAAGAGAATCTGAAATTTAACCTTTTGTGCATGCCGAACAAAGTAGTGGTAGGAATTATTTATGTTTCAAAAAATTTATTTTGGGGGACCATTCTTTATATGAGTTATGTAAATTGTATTAATTTTGTGCTAGGGGTTTTAGATTTTTTTAAATTCGATGTGCTCTTCTTGTTTCCCTTTGATTGTGTACAGTCTTCTCATATTAGTTTTGTCAGGTTTGGTGTCCCCGTAATCTCTGAGCTGTTATCTGTTGAAATGGACAAGGGTTTTTTGTTCCCCCAAAATAAGAAGAGTTGGGGGCAGTATCAGGGCAGGAAGTGACACAGTCAAGCACCTTGTTTTCTTCCTCACTTTGCAATATTCAGCTCCTGTTAAGGGCTTGCTCTTCTTCAGGAACATTTTGCGTAGGAGCATTAGGCTTCTGCTCTTAGGGCACTTAAGGTGCTGGAAGCAGAGCCAGACTTTCTGGGAAAGATCCCAGCTTTGAGTGTTTCTGATCAGAAAGTTTGCATGTGTAGCTTAGAAGTTGCTTGCAAGTGTTTCTGTGAGTATGGATTCTTTTCCTCTCATTGTTTTTTCTGTTTGCAAAGATGATCAGGTAGGGTGACAGAGATAAGTAAGAAGAAGTCATAATACCTGTTTTGTTGCAGTGCTTGTTTAACGGTGCAAACATCTGTCTCTAGGAGAAATTCCAGATGCTGCTTTTATTCATGCCGCTAGGAAAAAGCGTCAAATGGCTCGTGAACTTGGAGACTTTACCCCTGTTGACAGTGAACCAGGTAAAAGCCGCCTTGTTCGAGAAGATGAAAATGATGCCAGTGATGATGAAGATGATGACGAGAAGAGGAGGATAGTTTTTACAGTGAAGGAAAAATCCCAAAGGCAAAAGATTGCTGAGGAAATAGGTAAAACCATTTTAGAAGGATAGCTGCTAAATATTCACACCGTTTTCACTACAAGTACTCCCATTCAACATTTTTAAACAGGCTTGAATCTGGACTGTATTCTGTTTCTAAGGAAAAGTACTGCATAATGGAATTTGCATATAAAATTTTGAGCACAGACTCTGTTCCTGTGCTAGAAGCATACAACTGCTGAATCTGGTAGAAACTTACACTAAGGGTCTACTAGTATTGTTCCTGCACTTTGTTTTTTAGGAAATATACAGTTGTGAAGAAAAAAAAAAACAACACATCAGTTCTTTGATATATCATGCTTCTTGCAGGTAAAATAACCTTTTGGAAAAGGTCAATTAGTAAGATATATAGGATTTTAACATTAGAGGGTTTTACCAGCAGTTAATTGCAGATTTATCCATTGGATTTTTAAAGTGGCACCTCTGTGATAATAATTCACAGGCTACCATCCTTAATTCCTCATGAAGAGGAAAGGAGAATGCACTGAGATGTTCCCACCAAAGCATGGTCTCTCAGGTTTTTGAACTCATGGCCCTTACAATGAATACTTTATCTTCTTTTTGTTACATGTCTGTTTTACTCGTATTAAGGTATTGAGGGAAGCGATGATGAAGCACTGGTGGCAGGGGAGCAAGATGAAGAACTCAGTAGATGGGAGCAAGAACAGATACGGAAAGGAATCAACATACCTCAGGTATGTATTTAGTTATGAACTCTTTTTCAGTTTGTTTCTGTATATATGGCTAAATCTGTTGCTAACTTGAGTAATTTACAGAAGGCTGGTTCATCTGAGAAGTTCAGTGTGTAAACTTCTGATATTCTTTAGAGAAATGAGAGGTCAGATTTTAAGTGTCCAGTGGTATCTGTCTCATTAGTCTCCCTGTTCTGGGTAGATACTGATTGTTGTGCCGTTAGCCAGCATTTATTTGCAGCCTAAAACAGAGCTAGAATAATGCCACTTTGAAGAGACCTCTGTTGTTTATTATTGGGTTTGTAGAGTCTTTGTAAACAGTGTGTGTTTCTTGTTGTTTCTGTACCTTGTGTTGCAGCATAGAGTTGGAATTTGTAGCAGGTTGTACCATATGTTGTCTGTTCATTGGTAGTGAAATTGCCACTCAGTTGAAGAGGATAGTTTGTTTTTTTAAAAAAATAAAGTAAAACATTTCAGCAAAATTCCAAGCAAACACACTGACTCTAAGAACCTATGTCATTCTATTAAATAGTCTTAGCAAAATTTAGTATAGTCCCAAACACTTGGTTATTCTAGGAGTTAAAATTGTCGTTTAAAAACTTGTTATAAGTATAAATATTTAGAATGAGAGTGATACGAAGAGTTTGTCCATTTAAGAAGATGTTTCTGAGGGAATTTTTCTTCCACCTTAGGTGTTGGAGGTTCTACACTTAAATTCACTTGATAATTACATTTTGTAAATGTACCTGCACACGTTTTTCACTTTATAACATTTGAGATATGAAAACCTTATTTTCTTTCATTTCTTTAAAGTCTTAATTTAGTACAATTGCATTTCTTTCTCCTTTAGGTTCAACCAAGTCAGCCTGCTGAAGTGAATAATCTGTACTACCAGAACACTTACCAGACACTGTCTTATGGTTCATCATACGGCATTCCATACACTTATGCTGCGTATGGATCATCGGAAACAAAATCTCAAAAAACAGATAATACAGTTCCTTTCAAAACTCCCAGTAATGAGATGACTCCTGTTACTATTGATTTGGTAAAGAAACAGCTTAAAGACAGGTAGGACAGACCATCTTTTTAGACTTAAAGACCTGTACCCTAGCTTTCTGTTCCTCAGGCATCTTTTAGTCTCGGTGAGCAAACGCAGAGTTTCATCGCTGGAAAAGTACTGACTGGCACATCCATTAAAAAAAAAAAATAAAATAAAAAGGCAAACAAAAAAAAGCTCAGAGTGAAGATGACATTGACACTTTGTTCGAAAATCTCCTCGGATTGCTTCTCTGGAAGTGAAGCTTTAAATATGAGGCCATTGATCTTGTTGAAGACAGGTCTGAGTTGCATCTTCTGGACACTGCACAGTCTCATAGTCAAGAATTGAAAGGCCAGTGAGGTGTTTAGCGTATCAAATTGCATTCTTTCAAACTGTGAATCAGAATTTTTTCCCTTCAGTAGATAAAGAGTTAAAATTTTAGTCTATACAGGGTGTTTTTTGGTTTAAACACTGTAATCCTCTTGTCAGGTACGCAAAAGGTCCTACTGAATGAACAGCCCAATTGCAGTGAGAAATCACTTGTAATGAACAACTTGCACTTTACATGTCTTCAAAATTGGTTTGTATGCCCCCTGTAGTGTTACAGCCTTTGAATCAAGTTAGTAGAGGAATACGACTGCTTTGTATAAGCTGTAGTTCTCCGCTCCAGACCTTCCCCCCTGCCCAGTCTTTCCTCCCAGTTCTACTTTAGGGCCAGCCGTGTGCTATTCTGAGTGCTATCAGTTCTTCAACTTCTGTAAAAATTTGTGGCAGTGGGCAGTGCAATGCACTCAGCATAATTATATAACTCAGCAAATCAGTTTAAACCATTAGCCTTGTTGTTTCTGTAGAGAGCGGAGAAAGTGACAAATGAAAGTTAGAGAACATGTCTTTGCAGTATTTCCCATATATAGACTTGGTACTTGCACTGTCTGTTTAATATCTCAGCGGTCTGAAACATACAGACTTTTGGATGTAAATTTGCTATTTATCCGTTGCCCTTCAGGTTGGACTCTATGAAAGAATTGCACAAAGCTAATCGGCAGCAATATGAGAAACATCAGCAAAGCCGAGAGGACTCTACCAAGGCAATTGAAAGATTAGAAGGGTCTTCTGGGGGTATTGGTGAACAGTATAAGTTTTTGCAAGAAATGCGAGGGTATGTCCAAGACTTGCTTGAGTGTTTCAGTGAAAAGGTAAGGATGCAAAAACATTCATCTTTTTTCAAAAAAAAAAAAAAAAAACAAAAAAAAAACAAACACAAAAGAAGTAGGGACTCTTAGTACATGCCAAACACCACATCTCCTGTTTTCGAAAAAAGTCCCCTGAGAACATATTCTTCTAAAGGTTTGGTTATTTGAGGGTTGAAAAGATAACTTTTCATCATGCTAAGCTGGTTATCAGAAACCTCTTTTTCACAGTGTAAGAGATCACTGACTTTAGATTGCCTAAAAACACTTCTAGATTATAAGTCTCCAGGATTTTGGTAGATACTCTGACATTTCCACTTTACTCAGATGCTGCTTTTTATTTGTGTTGGATATCAGGTTAACAAAAACAAGGGCTGAATTACAGCACTGCTAGTTTCTGGAATGCTTTATGAACACAGTGACAAAGACTTGTACATTGTGTGTTACTATAAACTTCCTCTTGCCAGGCAGTTTCACATACTTGATATTGCTCTAGTGTCTGAAGGAGAAAAGCTTTAAAACTAGTGTAGCTGTCTGAAGACACCCAAACTTAAAAATACATTTCTTTCATGTAGTGTGATACTTCTCTATGTCTAACTTGTTTCATTCTTATATTATTCATTATGCTCAAATGACTTCATTGTAAATATTAACAGGAGCTCCTGAATATATATATATATATTTACTTTATATATATATATATATTACACACACAGGAGCTGTAAAATTCAGTTAGCAGTATGTAAGCTATTTCTTTGTTGTCTTCTGACTTGAATACGATAGTATCTTCTTAATATATTAGCTGTCAGAATTACTTGAGGAGTTGAAGCTACTGCCTAGCTAGCTTGTTAGGTGTGGGAGAGGAACATAAAAGCATTGTGGTTGCTAATCAGTTAGACATTAAATAAATGTCCAACATTAGTGGTATTGGGAGAGTCCCATCTTCAGTCCTGTAGGTTGAAGAATAGCTATGTCATGAACAAACCCAGGAAGTGCGGACTAGTTAATTCACCCAGCTAATTGATTAGTTGCAGTAGATAATGTTCACTGAAGAAGCAGTATTTCTGAGTCTGTATTGGCATTAGCTGTTGAGGGGTAGTAAAAGTGCTTTCCCTTGCAGCTCTGTCAGTGCTGGTCACCCAAATGCCTAAATTCCTACTTAAAGATAACTGTTTATATTCTTTCTCTGAGATAAATTTGTATTTCAAAAGACATGTTAAATACCTGTATTCAACACTTGCTTTCTAAAGATCTCTTGTTTAATTTCTTCTGTAGTAATTATAAGCCATGTCTGGAAGTTCTCTTTGATAGCCCATGCTGTTTTGTTTAAATATTTTCTTCAAACAAATTGTTTTAGAATGTACCATTCTAAGTATAAACCAAGTCTTTTAGTCTCCCAGATTTTGTATAAACCAGGAAAACTTACTGTTAAGTAACAGTGTAGCAATTCCAGTTCAGTTTGTAGGAAGGTCAGTGACGTATCTAGCTACAGTAGTAAATAAATCAATTCCAGCCATTATACAGCAAATTGTCTGCTGATAATTTAACAAACATGCTGATTAAAGTTGCTTTGTTACAGTGTACCTTTACTTTCTCAGTAGTTGGTCTTCTAAGGAGTCTGCATACCTGGATACCTTCCTCCCCCTTCCCCACCCTCCCCATACCCTACCTGCCATGGCAGTCCACTGAGCTTTTAAGATGTGAGTTTTATAATCTCATGCTTAGGGGCATTGACTGAGTTTTGCTGTTTTCAGTTGGAGGCTGCTGCAGTACCTGTATGTACAGTGAGTTGCAAAATTAGGAGGTGACGTGGTCAGTTTAACAGGAGCATTTCATTTATTATGCTGTCCTGTATATTCCTCAGTTCTTTGGACAGATAATCTGTTTTGGAATTCAGTGCTTTCAGCATGACAAAAGTACTATCAAATTCAAAAACAGTAGCCCACAGGACACTGCAAGGTGTTCTAAAAAGGAGACGAAGGGAGGGAAAAAAATAAAGTAATAAAATCAGTATCAGTGTGTATTTAAATTAAATAATGAAATGCAGCAGGACAGTAAATTCTTTTTATCTTCTGAGTCTAGAGATAAATTGCCTTCATCTTTTTTGTAGAACCTTTAGTGCTGACTACTTAATATTTAAAGTGTGTGTGTGTGTGTGTATAATGTATAATGTATGTAGTTGCTATAATATACATAAGCATATAAAATGTGTATCCGTATGTGTAATAACAATATTGTGTGTGTATCTGTGTATATATATACACACATACATATATGAACACATATCCTAAATATGTATAAAGCTAGGTCCCTCCATATCCTTTCAAATACAATGCTTTGATGCTTTCTTTTTATTAGGACTAGTCATGGTTATTTAGTCAAATTCACATTGGTACTGATCTGAATGAGAAAGTGGTTTGCCAAAGAAGCACTAATGGGTTCACAACATACTTACCCACTCCAAAAGAGTCCATTCCCCTAGAGTTTCATTGTATGTCTGTTGATTTAGTTTTGGAGAACAAAAAAGGTCATCATACATTAGACTTTCTTCCCTGTGCCACCTTATTTCTGCACCTATTCACCATGCTCAACCCTTCATGACCCCCCAACCAAGCAAAACCATTTTGTTTGTATTCTGTTTAGAAGAGATTCTAAATGTTAGAAACACTTCACTCGCTGGTAAGGTGCAGTGGAGAGTATAATGAGACAGCTATTATGGAAATTTTAGAAAGAAGCAATAGAAATGTCAAATCCTTTGATTTTATTTTTTTTTTTCTTTCCCCATAAATGATAAAACCAGTGGAGTGGAAGATGCTTGCATGACTTCCTTCACAAGTAATTACTGTCAAAATTATGCTTTCTGAGAGGGCTAGAAAATAGTAATGGTGTCTTTACATTTTGAATGTAGGAATATGCAAGGGATACAGAAAAATTAAATTGTTCCAGGTGTATCTCTGACAGCACAGTTAGATGAACTGTTATTTTACCTGCAAAAGAAAATTATCAAAACACACTGTTAGAGAAGGAGGGCTGTAGGTTAAAATTATGCTTGTCAACTAAATGTTCAGAGAGCTTTCAACTTTTCCTCTTGCACTGTTGACAGTAAAAGTGAAGAAAAAAAACCCAAAACATTGAATTCAAGGTATTGACTAAACAAAACACAGTGAATGAGAGCTGTAACTTTAACAGTAGTCAGTGAAATTGTCAGCCATTCCTCAACCACAGTATTGATTATAAAAGAATAACAGTTTCTAAGTCTCTTGTATTTTAAATGGGAAATATTTTGAGTGGATTCATATGTCTGAATACATAGTGAGTTTTTTAAATCTTGAGGCAATTATAGAAGGAACCTCTAGGGATGTTTTGAAAATTTTTCATTTAACTTTTCAATTTTTGAATTCCTTTTACACTTTCAAGAGAGGAAGCTGTATTTTCTGTAGTGAACTGCAGTAAGACTAGTATTTTTTTTTTATTATTTCTGTTTTCAAAATTGCCTTAAATACCGAATATACACTTCCAGCACTGGGATATTCTCTCCTCCTTTTTCTCTCTATTATGTTTTCTCCAAAAGAAAGTTGTATGTATTTTGAGTTGGTGCAGAGTTGCTTTCATTTTAATCCCTGTAGCCCAGTTTATACCAGAAAGAGCTAATATTTCTTTCCTTTTAGTATCTTCTCTGATGTGTGTGTCATTCTCAGGTAGCTGAAATGGCCCTGTAGCTATAATCTTCTATTTTACTGGAGGAGGTTCTTTAATAGCTGCTGAGTCACATTCTAAATTACATCAGGAAACAATTTCTGATTTTAGCTTTTGTTTTGAAAAAAAACTTAATCCTGGATGGTAGGCAGCAATGAGATATTTGAGCTGAGACTGGAAGACTGTGGACTAAGCATATGTCTCAGAGGTAAGGAGGATATAGCTTACGTGTTCATACCAACAGGACTTTCCTTTCCAAATTAAGAGATTGTGAAAAGTTCTGTTTTGCATTTGATTATAAATAATAGTCTAATCTTAACTTGTCATAGGAAATTATTTTTTTTGCAAAAGTGAGCAGTGAATCTGCTGTTTAATGTCAGGAAATTCCTAGTGGTTATAAAATCCATCTATTTTTGTTGTAGTTGCTACTGAAATTTAGTCCACTAAAAAAAATGACAGGTCTGATCTGATTTAAGTCTATATAGTTCAAAGGGTATACTTCATGCATCACTCTCATGAATTGTACAATTTTAATGATAGGCTAGAGTAACACTTTATTGATTTTAATTACCTGTTTGCATAATATGCTTATGCAGTATTTTATTGCATTTCAGTAATACTATTTCAGCATATGCTAGTAAGAGTTATAGCAAAAATACCCACTGGCTTCAGGTGGTTAGATTCATGCTTTGTTTTTTTCACTGTATACATACAGTCAGGTTATTTTCTCACTAAAGTGTAGAATACTACTACATTCCAGTTTAAAGATAGAGAGGAAACAATGAGGTCTGAGAATTGGAAGAACTGTAACACAATGTGTAACGCACTTGGTAGAGAAGACGGGGACTTGAAATAACATTTCACACTCTCTAAAATGGTTGTCTTACTGCATAGGCTCATTCAATCAACAGGAGTTACTTTCAGAATGCTACTGCCACAGTTGAAAGCTGTCAACGTTGTTAAATGCATGCATTTTCTTCACATTGAAATATTTACTGGTCCAAATGATACAAGTGGGTAAAAGGAAACAGTTTGTGCTGCTAGAAGTACAGTGACAGCATTATGCTTCGGAATAGTATGGTACCCCAGAAACTAAGCACCTGAAGAATTTGATATTACGTAGTGTGTTGTATTTTTACAGGTGCCTCTGATTAACGAACTTGAGTCTGCAATGCACCAGCTGTACAAACAGCGAGCTTCCCGCCTTGTCCAAAGACGACAAGATGATATTAAAGATGAATCTTCGGAGTTTTCAAGCCATTCAAGTCAGTCCATCTTGAAGGTTTTTATTATTCATTAAACAACCTTGTTTACTTAGTATGGCTTAATTTAAATGTAAATGTTTAAAGTATGACTGTGTTAAAGTTTATCCTTACTCTTGAGATAGGTAGAAGCAAGTTTAGATAAAAGTTCTCTAATTGGTTTTATTTTAAACTCAAAGCCACTCTGACTTCAACTCTCCTTTCTGTTGCTCTTAACTATATTTTCTCTTTCTTAGCACTGAAAATGTATGCATGGTGGCAGTGGTAGCCTGTGACTTCCGATTTTCCTCTTATATCGGGACTTCTGTTTTGTTTTGCTTTGGTTTTTAACCTACTTGAATCTATACATTTCCTGTAACATCTACAGTTAACTGAACAAAGCCATGAAGCACTGAACTAGAGTTGGCTTCTGTCTAATGCTCTATTTTGTAGACAGCATAAGTATTTCATTTCAGACACTTAATTGGTAAAGCTAAGAACTGCAAGAGACTGGTGCCATTGTTAAAAAGTCAGACTAATATAGAGAGACCCTATATGTAATACAGCTTAAAATCAGCCAGTTAAAATACCTGCTTACTGTGAGTGTGTGGATGGGGGATTCTCACTGAGTTTTCTTGTGGTGATTACTCTTCAGTATGTAAAACTCTATACAAAGTATAAATGTTAACTTGGATAGAAATACACGTTCCTTGGTGGAGGTTTTATTCAGCATGTTAAATAATGGGTAAAATACCATATTAATAGTAGTTGTCTTCTGCTTTGGAGAGCTTCCCATTTTTAAAAATGGCTTTGTCTGTCCTATTGCTGACCTAAAATCCTGTAATAAAAGACATTTCCTATTCTGTCACAATGAATCCAGAGGTGAAATTTTGTTAATACCATTAGGTAGAACTTGCTGAGGCTGATAATAAAGCATTAGGGTGTCAGAGTTGGCATACGTTTTCCCTTTAGGACTTTATTTGAGCCCCAGGCATCACAGGCAGGCCTTGCAGTCTTACCATGAAAATACTGTTGTGAGAATTAGAAACCTAACGTACTAGAAACATATTTTCTAAAAGAAGCTTAGAATGGATTAATTCAGGCTGGAGTTTAATGGTAGGTTGGGAATAGTTGTCACTGTCAAGGCTGGGTTTTAAAGAGAGATCATATTTAGTATCTGGGAGTCTTGAGAATGAATTTTACTGTGTCTAGAAATAGTTCAGCTCTGTTCCTCAAATTATCGCAGAAACTAGGAATTGGCACCAGCTTTTGATTTGATGTGTGTTGCGGACATAGATGATCTGCTTTTCATCATACAGTGTCAGAACACTGAAGGGCTAGAATTGAATTTAAGTTTATCTGCCAAATTTTGCTTTACTTCTGTGTAAAGACAAGTAGCTCAGCTTTGAATAACATTTAAAAAAATTGGACAGTTGATGGCTTCATCTGTATGTGAAGGATCTTAGTGGTTTTGATATAGAATTGGAATACTGACATAGAGCATCATTAATATTTTTAATGATGGATTTGTGAATAGATTTAGTTAAACATGTAAATTTACTCCTGAAATTTGGGTAGGTTTTTTAAAATTTGATGTTTATATTATAGAGGATGGACTTGAGCACTGGCTAACATTCAGTCCACTTTTAAAAATTTAGCTGAAAAGGATGAACTGGAAAACAGTCTTGAGTCTGCTTTCTGGTTGCTGATCAGCTTCACTGGTTAGCTGTGTTGTTTTCTATAACGAGGAACATATACAATGAATCACAGCTTAAAAAGAGAAGGGAAGATGATTTATTCTCCTGTAGGTTTTGATGTGTTTTAAACTTTAGGAAATCTAAAGCATATAAACTTAGAAAACATTATGACTAGAACTCTGAAATACCATATATTCCTGCTTCAGTCACTCTTCTCTGCCTTTCTTTTTGTTCATTTTTCTTTTCAAAAGACACATGGTGAACATGTTCACATAAGGAGCACTTTTTGTCTTGGAACAGTCAATTTATGCAATTCCTATTACAACTGTTGACTTTTATATAGTTGGGCACTGTTGTGAGAGGGACAAGAGGGAAGTATGGTGAAAACTATTTGACATTTAAGTGGAGATTTTTCCAAACTTCACTACTTCCTCTTTTAACCTCTACACTTGGAAATTCAGACTTCTGGGTGCATCTTTTGGAAAACTTCGACTCTCTACTTCAAATTACACTTAGTGTAAAGTAGGTAAAAGGCTCTTATGAAACTGCCTACAACACATTTTTATCATCATAGATGAGCATTTTAATTTTCATCGATGTAATTTTACAGATAAAGCACTGATGGCACCAAATCTTGAATCTTTCGGACGAGACAGAGTGATCTATCAAGAACAAGTAAAGCGTCGGACTGCAGAAAGAGAGGCTAGAAGGTAGAGTACTGAGATTTCTTGTTCATTGGGTCTTTTCCTCCTTGCAGAATACTTTTGTCCTGGGTGACATACTAACATAAGTAGCAGTGTTTGCTTCTTTCCTACAAAGGGAAGAAAACATAAGCTGGTATGCTGGTCAGGGGTATTCTTATATATCCCAGTTTATCATGCCAGTGTACAAAACAAGGCACTGTTACATGATACTGATTTAACAATACTAAAAGAAAGCATAGTAACCCCATTCCATATCTATATGGTCTCTGCTGGTTTCTCTTCTTTGCATTGCTTGAGGCAGCACTGTAGTAGAATGTTTGAGGGAACAACATAGTGAAAGTTTTTCTCAGCCTGGATTTCCTGCATTAAGTCACGACAAGCTTAGCCAGGTCTGTTCATTGTATGGGGTGGGAAAGGTAATAGTTGGTTCATACTGCTGATCCTTTTCAGAGCTCGTCGTAGACAAGGAAGAGAGCAAACTGGTAAGATGGCAGATCACCTTGAAGGCCTTTCCAGCGATGATGAGGAAACTTCAACAGATATTACAAACTTCAACATGGAGCGAGGTTAGAAAAGCTACAAAAGCTTTATGTAACAAAATACAGAAAGTTTGGCATGAAAAAAAAAAAAAAAAAAGAAAAATTGATCCAAATTCCACCCTGTCCTTATATTTCACCATATTTTGGAGAAAGTTTAGGACCTGTTCCATGCTGGATCATCAATGTGACCAAAACAGTCTCTTTAGCCAACCTATTGTACAGTTTGCAGCTAACTAAATACCCCATCCTTAGTGAGATTTCTTACTTAATTCAAACGTTCTTTTGCTGGCAAGCAGTAAGCTTCTGTCCCTTCAGTGGATACTAAATTTTCCTTCTGATTTGTAACATGGTTTATCATTTGTCAAATATCTGTTTATTTTACATGTGAAATTCTGAAAACCTCAGTGCTTTAGAAACCTTTTATTACTTGATAGGAAGTATTTTCTGGAGTTTTGCATAAGCATCTAGAAATGCAATGACAGAAGTTCTGTAAACTTTTGTTACAGCCTGGCACACTTTGCAGATGACAGAAAACAATGTTGAATGCAAACATTGCAGAAAGATTTTGTGGTACTGACTTGATTTGAAATTCATCTGCAGTTTTATGATGGGTTGCTCAAAGTAACCATTATTACGCAATAAATGGGGTTGTAAGTTAAGCCAATGCCTCTAAAGCACTGCGAGAACTGCAAGAAACCTGAGATTTGGGGATGTATGTGTAGTTTGATGGAACAGTCATCTTTTACAGCAGCAGTTAGAAGGCAAACAATTCTAGTGGTTACTGTGAAACCAGTAGCGGTGGAAGTAGAACATCACTGTAGTCATCCTGTTAATTTCTCATTTTGAACCTGAGTACAATTGTCATTCTCTCTGATTAAAGATAATTTAATCACATTAGAAGAAATGTGAAGAAGGGGAACATCAAGGATCACATATATAGAATTGCTTATGTTGTATGTGAGGAGGGATTAAACAGTTTTAGACTCCTCAGCTAGGAGAACGATGTTGACTTTTCACAGTATGAGAGATAGGAGGCCTGCAATGAAGTGATAGGATAGGCTTAAAGTAAACAAGTCACTTCCCACAGAGAGTGTAATAAAAATGCCAAAGTCATTGCTGTAGGTGGTTGTGGAGACCCAAAATATGAACGAATTTAAAGAGCAGTTTTTAAGGATGATCTGTCTAGCAGTTGGATCCTTCAGAAGTGCAGTTTCCACACCTTCAGTTGCTGGCTGACTTACCAAAATTGTGGATGCAGGGAGAGCTATTTGATAAACACAGTAACTGTTTAGGGTTGTTAAGTGCTATAATTAACTTTGCTAAGTTAAATGATCTAGATTAAAAATTCAGTGTGGCTGAATTGCTCTTTGTAACTTGGCACTTATTTGTGTAAAAAAGCCTTTTGTAGGAGTTTCAGCAATTTCTGAGTAAGCATAGTATTTCTAAAGCTTTTTTTTTTTTAATCATTCATAGCTCTCATGTTAGTCCAGTATCAGCAGTGAGCTATATGGAACAGAGGAAAGCACACTGGACCTGCTAACTTCATCTGTAGCCTCTTCTTGATGCCTGTGTGAAAAGTGTGTTTACGTGACACAATCTCATGTTCCTTCAGCCCTGTCTCTGCCTGCTGTGAGCATGAGTTGTGCTATCTGTGTACAGGTTACTGCTGTAACTGTACATTTAGAACTGTGGCTGCAGCAAAAATGGCTGATTAAAATGAAACTAACCCTGGGAAGTAGACAAGATGAAGGAAAAATAATATATAGAGAAAAAGTCTTGGCTGCATAATATACTGGTACAGGAAATACAAAAAAATGGAAGGAAGATGCTAAGAGATTGCAATGGCTGCCCAGTACTAACAGTCATGTTATGTTCAGCAGTTTAGCATGATATCTGCTAGGACCCACTCTGTCTGAAGTGCCAGTTCAGTGGGCTTATCTGAGATACCCTCTGGTATTTATACTTGTATCTTGGATGAATGAAGTTGTAGAATAATTTGGGTTGAAAGGGACCTGGAGATCAGATGTTCCAAACTCCCATGCAGAGCAAGGCCAGCTTTGAAGTTAGATCCACACTAAATACAGCCCAATACATCAGCAGTCCAGTGTCTGGTAACTGAAAATCATTGTATGAAATGTTTAAAGCAAGACCTGTGATAAAACAGTATATTGGAGAGTACTCCAATATGCTTATGTTTTTATTGCTTTGTATATTTGAGGCAGAAGTAACAGAACTTTTAATTACTCTTTCTCCTCCCCCACCAGATCGTATACTGAAAGAATCCAGCAAAGTTTTCGAAGATGTTTTGGAAAGCTTTTATTCAATTGATTGTATTAAGTCACAGTTTGAAGCTTGGCGCTCAAAGTACTTTGCTTCTTATAAGGATGCTTATATTGGCCTCTGTTTACCAAAGTTATTTAACCCTTTAATCAGACTTCAGCTGCTTATCTGGACTCCTTTGGAGGTAAGGTCCTCTGCAAGCAACTTCTGCATTAGCTTCTATATAGTGGTTCTTTCATACTTCTGCAGAGCAAAGTAAATTGCACTTTTGATGTATGCTTCTTGTAAATGCATGTTCTAGGCATGAAATTTAAAATGGGCACCTTTCTTGGGGTGAAGCTTTTCTGGGCTGTTTCTGGACTGTTGTCCTCAGTGTTCCCAGCAGGCCATAATTCAATTTGGAAGATGCCAGTACCTTCTCAGTGAGTGGTATAAACCATAAAGCCAAACAGCTTCTTAAATAATACATTTAGGTTTAAAAATACTTAAGAGAAAATTGTGATTGTTGAGGTGTTGTTTCTTCAGAAGTGGAACCAAGAGGCCTGTTGACTTATAACCCATGTCTCTAATGTTATACATCCATCTTTGTCACCTATACCTTCGTACCCTGCAGAAGAACTCTGCCTGGCAGTTTCCAAGTCTTCCCCCTAGTACTTGTTGCCCAGTTATTTGGTGGGGAACAGGAGGAAAGCAGGACAGCATTGTTGCTTTTGTACTATCTCTGGCACATGTTCATTGTCCAGCTTGCGTAAGTGTGCTGACGTGAGTAGCCATCAGGACAGACAGTTTTGGGTAGCTTTTGACTCACCCTGTTCTTCCTACCAGTGAAAGCTCTTGTAAGGTGTTTCTGCTGCAGTCAGGTGCTTATTTTCACAGTACTGGTAGGAACTTACTTTTTTATGCTATGTTAGCTTTTTCTGGGAAATGGGAGTAGGTCAAAGCAGAGTGAGTGCAATTGCATAAGCTCTTTTTTTTTTTTTTTTTTCCTTCTTGGGAAACTAGGCTAATAAGGCAGATTGTCTTCTGCCCTTTCAAAATTTAGCTCATCTACAGCACCATCTGCAGATGTGTCAGCATTATCTCACAAATGACTGAATCTCCTTTCTTCAGAAGTGTTTTTTTCTTAACTACTAAGAGAATATTTTTAAAAGGGTATCTTCTGTTGCCTCTGTTCTGATTGCAGAGGAAGGGAAACATGAGTCGTCTTCAGAGAACATTCTGAGTATTTAATTTGAATAAACAAGGGGAAAAATCTGTGAAAGGTGTCCATCCTCATTAAATTTAAAACTGTTTTTATACATTTTCCCTTAGTTGAAGACATCATACAGAATTCTCAAATATAATAATAATATTCACTACTCTTGGTCTTGTTAAGCATTTTAAATTAGAAAAATTACAAGGTATTCATAAAAAGAGGTTTTTAATCCAGAAAGCATAATTTTGTAATGCAGCACGAATGAACTATACTTTCTACTTTTACCTCTAATCTGTGGGCTTTTATTTGGCTCAGGTGTAATTGGAAGTTAAAATCTGTAGGGCAACAGCTGCCAAAAAAAAAAGCAGTCTTACTTCCACTATTTTCACTTCCTTTAGATCTAGTGATTGTGTGGTTGTAGAGTCAGTTGGTTCATTTGGCTGATTTATGGAAAATTGAACTTGCTCCTCATCCTCTCTCAGGTTTTGGTTGGGTTGGGTTGTCCATATACTCTAATCTGACCTGTGTTGGCATGATTGGTAGTGTCCAGGCAGAGACAGAACATATTCTCATTGAAGTGAACTTGTGTTTCTGAAGGAAGTAGTAATCACTGCTTCAGAGGTAGGAGAGCCAAAGCAGGTGCAGTAATTTGCCCATCCTTGTACCAAATTAAGAGACTGTTTGGTCTTAAGGCACTATATCCTTTTTTTTTTTTTTTTTTTTTTTTTTTTTAATTTGCATTGCAGATGAATACCTGACACATAGACAAAAAGGACTAAATTTTTGAGTTGTTGTTGTGCTCGGTTGCTGTTTACCCTGTCTGCTTAGTACACCCGGTAGAGTGTTTTAAAGTAGTTTTGTTCTGTTTTGTGAATGTATCACACTTGAATATATAATACTTTTTTTTTTCTTTAATATGTTGACTTCAAATCTCTGTTGAGGAATCTAACCTCAATTCTTTCTCTATTAGGGCAAGTGTCGAGATTTTGAGACTATGTTGTGGTTTGAATCGTTGCTGTTTTATGGCTGTGAAGAACAGGAGCAAGTGAAAGATGATGCTGATATTTCACTATTGCCTACCATTGTAGAGCGAGTTGTCCTTCCTAAATTAACAGGTATAGTCTTAGAAAGAAAATGAGGGAAAAAGAGTGCGTGTAGATGTTGATGCTTGTTTGTTCTTTCAGAAGTTACTGGTTTGTAAATTATTGTCTGACTCTCTTAGTACCTGTATTTGAATGTTTGCAAAGTGGAGTAATTCTTTAATCTCTTACAGTGATTTCTGAAAACATCTGGGATCCTTTTTCTACCACACAAACATCTAGAATGGTAGCAATTGTACAGAAACTAGTAGATGGATATCCTTCAGTTGTGAATGCAGAAAACAAAAATACTCAAGTAAGTTGTATTTTTCTTAAATACCTTGCATAAGTTAAGGAATTTGGATGTATTTTTAATACACTGTTGGCATGGTGTAAAACTGGCCAGCAGCCAAACACCACACAGCCACTCGCACACCCTTCCCCCTCCCCTGGGGGTGTGGGGAGAGCATTGGGGGGGTTAAGGTAGACTCATGGGTTGAGTTAAAAACAATTAAATAATTGAAAAGAAATAAAATAATAATAATGATGATTATAATAATAGAATATACAAATGAGTGATGCACAATGCAGTTGCTCACCACCTGCTGACCAGTGCCCGGCCCATTCTCAGCTAGCGATCCAGGAGGAGAGAGAATCCCAAATTTGCAAACCTGGAAGGGAGCTAGCTTCCCTGCCAGCCCTCATCTATATACCAGGTGTGGTGATGTATGATGTGGAATATTCCACTGGCCAGTTTGGGTCCATTGCTCTTGCTATACTCACTCCCAGCTTCTTGTGCACCTGCACACTAGCAAGACATGGGAAGTTGAAAAGTCCTTGATTTCTTACCAACAGATAAAAATGTCAGTGTATTACCAACATTATTCTTGTACCAAATCCCATACTGAATCCAAACCACAGCACTATTCTAGCCACTAAGAAGAAAAATCTAGTTCTATCCCAGCTGAAACCAGTATAACTATTATGGAGAACAGAGCATGCTCTAGTGAGGAGCAAAAAAGAGAATTTTGCAATTATTTGATGCTCTGCAGCCTAGTTATAGAAGGTCAAGAGGGTCAAATGCAGTGATAAATTAGGAGGAGAAACTCAGTGAAGTCTCCCCGAAATAGATGCTGAAGAGGTACCAAATGTACTGAGTCTTGTTGGTCTGCAGTTTTGCCTTAAGGGTCAGCTACAAATAGTCAGGCTTTTTTTTTTTTTTTTTTTTTTTTTTTTTTTTTAATCTTTGTAACCTTTTGCAATGCGTTGCCTTAAAATTTGATTGTTTTACCTTCTATGTATACAAGAACTGATGTCATGAGGTCAGGTGCCGTAGCTAATGCAATATATGCATTGCCTTTAGAATAGTAGGAGATAGGCCAAAGTGCACGTGTATGGGGAAGTTAGCAGAAAGTTAAAAATGACAAAAACCCTGGCTTCACAGAAGCTAATTATGTGGCCAAGCTTAACCATAAAGTAATTCTATTGCCTTCAGTTTTTATTGAAAGCGTCAAATTTCAGCTCTGTTAATTATTATAGGCTTGCCTTTTACTGTTAGGTTAGGGTCACAAATGTTCTCTCTGGCTTTGAAAATCAGTTTCTGAGTGGTTAACTACTAAGCAGTGCTGCGGACACTTCTAAAAAAAATTTATCTGTTTCAGATGCTTTTAAAGGCATTGTTGCTAAGAATGAGGAGAACACTAGATGATGATGTATTCATGCCCTTATACCCAAAAAAGTAAGTTTGCTTTCAACTATGGTGTTAGACCTTTATTAGCAAGTCGGTGTCTTCTGTCTGTAGTTAACAGGGGTTTTTTCCCAGTATGGTTCACTGGCTGGATACAGGAGATCTTTCGTTACCATGCTCTGAGGACTTAGCAAAGACAAGCAGGATAGAAGGGAATATGTATAGAAATGCACTGTGTGGGAAGGAGGAAACCAGCAAACTCCAGACAGAAGTGGTCTTGGTTGCTCATTAAAGAAATCTCTTACTTTCCAGCATCTTAGAAAACAAGAACTCTGGTCCATATTTGTTTTTCCAACGTCAGTTTTGGTCCTCTGTTAAGGTAAGTCAGTAAATACATCTGGTAAATCTTTGGTCTAGACAGTGTAGCAATAAAATCCTCTTCAAATTTGTGGAAAACGGTAGATGGAAATTGCTTTAACTTTATTTGAAAGAACTGTAAATTAGGATTCTTAGTCTTTGATAATGCACTGTGCCCTCTTCAAAAGATTGCCAAGTGAAAGCACTGTCATTTTAACTTGTATGTTGTGGGTTTTCTTAGCATACTCAACACAGTTTTTTCAATGTTGTTGTGCTTGTCAGAATAAAATATGCTGCTTTTATTTCACTTATGTGGGAATGAGAGAGCTTGGTTTGTGGGTTGTTGGGGTTTTTTTCTTTATATATATAGTCTGAGAAACTCCATGAAAATAACTTAGCCCCTTTTGGAAAGCTTACTGCTATTTGTAAGGTATAAGCGCATTTGTAATTTTAGTTATTGAAATGATAGAGTGTGAAAGAAAAAGTCTCTGTGTGGAATGTGCAGTATAGAGTTTGCAACGGTCTGTAAGAAGCTATGACTGTTGTAGTTTATTTCCAGTAAAAGGCTGTGAAGAAAAGTAACTCCCCAGCTAAACAGGAAAGTAAAATACAAGACCCATGTTGATTGAAGTGCTGATCTCTGAGATCATGCAAACAGAACTCTTATCTGGAATTTTCTGTTTAAATTGCAGCAGTGAGGGAGACTGTATTCTGAATAGGTTAATTAATTTAAAATACTTGGCACAGAATTCTTTCACTTTGAAATAAAAATAAACTTCTTAAATGCTGCCTAGAGGAAAAAAATGCACAAAGCTCATTTATTAAAATGCTGTTTTTAAGAGTTAAACTGATTGCTTATTTAGGGCTTGTGTCTCTTTTTAAGAGTGAAATTGCCTGCTTCTGGCAGTGTCTGTAGGAACCTGGGCAGTTTAGAGGTGCACATGCTGTTACCCCTGTTTTATTTTAGGGAAGCATTAAAAACACAGCTCTCTTGCTCTAGCAAGTCAGTTATAGCATCACAGATGAGCAGAAATAGAAGCTGGGAGGCAAGTGCTTGTTTACTGTTTCCTGATGATCTGCCTCAACAGTAAACTGCTGGCTGCCTTCATTTCTACGAGGCTGGCAGCAATTCTCCACAGGCCCCACGCCAGTGGGGAACAACAGCTTTATGGTTGGCTTAGCCAGCACTCCCCCATGACACTTCTCCTGTGTCTCTTGTGTCACCGTGCCGTGGAAATAAGGGTATGCTGGCAACATAGCTGGGGATTTCATTGACAAGGGGGCTGTGAATTTGCCCCCATACGGCATATGCTAGACCTCACTTGGCTTGACACTGACATTGGATTTTGAGACCAGATGGCTTAAAACTTTTAATTCTTTTTTTCTGATTTCTTGTGCAGAACATGAGCAAAGTTGAGGTGGTAGTGGTGGTGGTTGTATGAGAATTCATAACACTCTAGACTGGTACTTTATGGATTCTGAACAGTTTTGAAGCCAACGGAAGGCAGATTTCCACTGCTTACTTTGACCATGCCATTTCTTTTGAAGAGGCTCTGTAGTGTTTGATCAACTTCTTGGTTTCAGTACGTTTTTAAATACTTATTTTCCTTGTGTTGTATTTGCAGTTGTTAGGAAACTTTCTCCAATGGTATGGAATCCTTTCGAACAAAACCCTCCAGGAACTGTCAATAGATGGTCTGCTAAACAGATATATTCTTATGGCTTTTCAAAACTCTGAGTGTGGAGAGGACAGCATTAAGAAAGCTCAAAGTGTAAGTAAAATCAAGCAATGTTTAAAATCACTTGTAATTCACAAATTTCAAATGAAGGAAAAGTGTAGTTAAAACTTGAGGTTACCTATGAGTCTTGGCTTTGATATCTCAAAGTTCTAATGTCAGTGAAAATTAATATTTTTTTTTTTAAACACACAAAATAAAGAAAGAACCTGCTCTGTCTCATACCTGCAGATAGTCTAGGTGTGGTGTAGGTTTCAGTGTTTTATTGGTTGAATTTAGGAATTTTTTGTTTGTTTGTTTGGTGGGTTTCTCACTGTTACACTCGCTTGGGCCTTGTGACTGCAATCTTACCTGGCAGTCTTCACAAATCATGTTAGATAGCTTTTAAAATTTTCTTATGTTGTGTTTAACTTTCTTTTTCCTGTTATGTCTAGGTAATTGCTTGCTTTCCTAAACAGTGGTTCACTAATCTAAAAGGAGACAAGACTATTTCTCAACTAGAAAACTTTTGTAGATACCTTGTTCATCTGGCTGATACAATTTATAGAAACAGCATCGGTTGCTCTGATGTAGAGAAAAGAAATGCGAGGTAACTTACTTTGAGTTAATGTAGTTGCAGTTCTTGTGCTTTGTGTTATTTTGCTGATGCATGCAAACATGGGTAAATATTTCCATACTGCTGCATGTCTTTTAAACCTCTTTGAATTCAAACTTTTAAAATGTTATGGTGTGGTAAATAGGGCGATTTTGAAGGTATCAGAAAACAGCAACTGCTGGAGACCTTTAAATATTCATAATCTATTTTACACTACTGCTTAGTGTCACTGATTCTGGCAAATTTTGTAGCTACTGGCTTTGGATTGTTCCACCTTGTGAGCCTGTTGCCAATTCCTGCATAGTGGCTTCTAAATTACAAACTGTGCTTTTGTATAAAGTTCTGACTTTATTTACACAACCAACTAGATGAACCTGTTTTCCCCTAGATCAGAGAGTCATTTTACTTGTATCTAATAACCAGCATAATTAAAAGTTCAGATTAGATGCATAAATGTTACTGCTGGCCAAGTAACCTGAAATGCTATGGGTGTATCATTTTAGGCAATGATAAACTTAAATTGCTGCACTGATATGCAGGAATATAACAAGGCTGGAAGATCGTTTATTCCTGTGCTGCTGCCTGAGAAGGAACGGTTTCAAGGTCAATAGTTCTGTTGTTCCAGCAAATACGAAACTTGGAAAGACGAGCCCCCTTGCTACCTACATTAGTCATTCTTGATAGCTGAACTTGCTTGAGCCATTGTTGAGTTACTCTTCAATTATTGAGGCTCTCTAGGGGATTAGCTCCTTCTCCCTTTTTGATCTGATGCTTGGAACTGAAACATAGAGACAGAAATTTCCCTTAAACTGTATCAGAAAAATCTTGATTAAGATGTTGGGGTTTTTTCTGGTATTAATTTTTTTTCCAGTTGCTATGTTGGTTATTAGACATTTTTCTGTCTTGAGTCACTTTTGGCTGTGGTGTATGAATCATCTAATTTTCAGAGAACACTGAGCACACCCACACTGGGTTGTGCTCAAACAATTTTCTGTCCACTCCCAGGTTATGCCTCAGAAGTTTGTGTCCAAAGTATAATAGTAGTGTCACATAACAGTTTAAATTGCCCCAGGATTCAAATTCAAAGTAGACTTGTTACTGTTTCCTTTCTGAAATCAAAATGCCTAGCCTAGCACGATACTGGAACTGAAATGAAGGAGTTGAGAGAGAATCCAGCAGATATTAAACTTTTTCTCCTTTTGGTAGCCTGTTTCTAAATTTGAAAGAACTTTCTTTACTAGCTGAAATGATAACTTGGTAAAGCTTTGTATTGGAAGAGAAACATCCAGTTTATCCTTTTTTTCACAGTGAGTTCTAATTTAATTTCTATCTTCTGTCCTCTTGATTTTTACCAACATTTAACAAAATCTGTTGCCATTGCCCCCATTAAGCAGATAAAATAAGTCTGCAACAAAAATACTAGTTTTTATAACAGAAGAATGTCATGTCTCTTCATATGAAACCTAGTACAGTTGTTTGAAACAAAAATGCATTAATTTCTGCCAAGAGTGAAGTGTATCTTTATGTCTGGTGCTAGTTTTACAAATGCTGGATGCTTTTTCACAGATCAGTTAGGTTCATTTTTAAGATTAATTTTAAACTTCTAGTATTTTTTGTGAGACTGGTCTAAATTTCACATCCATTCTTCTAGCACGATAACAAAATTGTTCTTGACAGCCAAAGATGTACAGTCCTCCTAGCAGTTTGTTCATTTTAAGATTCCTGAATTGACTCAAATTGTAATGCAGTTCATTGGTGGCAAGCTTCCTACCTTTTTAAGGCATGCGTTAAAGCATAGTTGATGCCTTGATATCTTTTTTTTTTTTTTTAGCTTAAACATTAGTTACCAAGAGCTGTGACTCATTGCACAGTACCATAAGTAATCCAAGACTTCCCCTGAGATGATACTGCATCTAGTATTAAAGCATGTTGTATGATTAATTCCTACTCCCAAAATAAATTTTTCAATTTCTCTACAAAGCTGAAACTAATATCAGGGTAGGCAGGTGGAGATTTGAAGTTTATCTGAAAGTAATTTGCTGTATGGATTAATAGTGTTGAAAGACTAATACTTGTACATGATTGTTTAATTCCTGTATTGACTTTTCCTTCCCCTTTTTTAGGGAGCACATAAAGCAGATCATAAAACTTCTAGCAAGTATCCGAGCACTGGATCATGCTGTGACAGTTGCAAATGATCACAACGTAAAAGAGTTAAAGATTTTAATAGAAGGAAAATAGACTTTTCAGACAACTCATTTTGAGCTTTAAAACCATTCCTGATGTGTAATTTATGTACATATGTAAAGTTTCTTAAACTGTAAAGTATTGATCTTTGTTTTAATACAAAGTGCATTCTTATATACAGCATCCTTAAAAAAAAAAAAAAAAAAAGACTTATTTGAAAACAAAAATGGAATCCCAAGATTGTCATCTTTCCAGAAATCAGATTTTCCTGAAAGTTTCTCAAAATCTTGTTTACAAAAATACTTTGTACCCATGATTAGTAGTCATCTACTCCTGTTAATTGTTCCATGGTTAACTGGAATGTGTATAATATATTATGTGTAATACAATGTATGCATATATTTATACCACCATGTTGCTTTCACACTGGATATAGGGATCTTGTACTGTTGGAATAAGCTTTTCATTTGCTAAAAAATAATAATTTTGACAATAAAATGATCATAGTATTGTTCAAAAGGGCTGGCAAAACATTCAAATATATGAAAATTATTTGAGCTAAAGTCCTTTAAAAAGCAGTATTTGGAATATGGAACTCTTAAGGCTGTTCTTAGAAACAAAGCAGAAAGGAAAACCCAAATCAATGCTTATTTTTTTTTTTTTTAATACAGGTATACAGTGAGAACTTACGATTCTTGCGCAAGTATACATGACAGCACTCCCTAAGCCCCAAACACCTTTCATTTTGTAGGAATAGTAGTTTACCCATGAACTCTGGGCCCTTGTTCCTTGTGCACGGTGGTTATTTCACTGTTTGTGTTAAGGTTTTTGTTTTGTTTTGTTTTTTATTGTAACTTCATACATGGAACCTGTTTCTTCTGATTGGTATGGCTAAAGATGTCAAACAAAATGGAGGTGAAGAAAAATTGATATCCTATGATTTGAAGTATTTGTATTTTGGTAAATATTGTTACACTTCCCCCTAAATACTGTCTAAGAACAGTCTTGCCAAAAAAAAAGCATTTAATTTAAATGTAAATTATAAAGAAAACACTTTAAAAATCTGGTGATTTACATTGGAACACTAGTGACTTGATCTTGGGGTCCAAGGCATGGGAACAGCTGTAATAGCCTTGGATTAAGAGCTATTTCCAGGTGTGCCCTACTTTTTTGGGGAACTGTAGCAATAAATTGGCATACTGAATAACATAGGAATCATTGTATTTTATGCTCATGTCATGTGCTATAAATGAGTATATTAAAAATGTACTATTTGTAACATGCACATTTCATTTGGACACCGAACAATTGTTTTTCTGAACTGTTGGGATTGGAATATGTTCAGAAATACCTGCTTTTAAAAATTGTTTCAATAAACTCGTCTGTCAAGGAGCTGTTGCAGTGCAACTTGGTAAGCTTTATTTCTTTAGGAAGGTAGTAAAGGAAATGATACGTGTGCTGGCTGTTTCAATATGTCAGAAAGAAGGTGGATTTTTGGAGTGAACAAAAGTGTCTTTACTCTGAAAAAGCAATAGGATAAACACTGGAATTCATACACCTACATAAAAAGTAGTTAAGATATTTTGAAATATTATTGTGCTGGTAGTTACGTGATTTAATGGTAACAGATTTGACCTTTCCTGTGCTTAAAATTTTACTGATTTTTAGTATTTTGTTAGACTGAAGAGGATACAAATAATCCATGCTACCACTGTTTCTAAAAGACTATTTATACTTGATTGATTTATTCATGGAACTTGTAGTGTGGTTCAGGGACGAAGAAGGGAAGGAGCAATCAAAAATATGCTAAATGAGATGTATTTTTATGAGGAGGAACAATACTGTAGAGAGACTTTTCTGCATTGTACTGCATGCCTGCCTTCTAGTCCCAGGGTCTCCGGGGTGAGGATGCATAGTTCACACACCTTTTGCAGTCTAGTTTGGCTAATCTTTCTAGTCTAGCCACTGCAGTATAAAGCTCAGTGAAGGTTAAATTCCTGGCTTTGGATAAAGTCTTTAACACAGGCTTTTACGGTACAACAAAACTACTACTGGTATTCAGAATAGCTGCTACCCTTACACCTGTGATTATAACGGGGGTGGGTATATTCTGCGGATGGAATAAAATATGCTCAAGCAGTTCTAAGACCTGTGCTGCTAAATTAGGTAGGTTGGTAGTTAGTGTTACTGTTTGCAAATTAATGTAAACATCTAGTATTACTGCAGGGATGAAAAAGTACTTTCTTTGGATATTTCAGGCAATGAAATTCCTTCAACTGCTGAAATTACTGAAACAGTTGTAAACGTTTAGAAGTCTGTCCTGAATATATTAACATAAGTGCACATTGTGTACTGTCAAATTCGCTCAGAATCACTGACTAATAAATGCCAAAACTTGTCACTAGTTTTTCTACACCCAGAATTTTGACTGCCATCTAATGCTGAAGCCACAAGGTGGCAGGTTCAAATATTTCAACACTGGAAAATAAGGAAAGCATTTGACCAGGAGGTGTCAGAGTTTGGATTTTCAATTATAAAATTTTTCGGACACTGGGGGTAATAAAGCTAGAGAGTGCAGGAAAAGGGTTGGAGTCAACTATTGGTGCCAGGTGCCTCTGTTGAAAAAGGTGGCCTGCTCACAAAAGGTGGTCAGCAGTAACCTTTCTGCTCTGAATACCCTCTTCAGCCATGCTCTGCTGTCCATCCCGACTCCCTGTGGTGGTGGTGTGCTGGGTTGGGCTAACAAAACATAGTATCTGGATTTGTTTTGGAAATCATGTTTATTCAAACTCTACTGCCTCCCTGGGGAGTATACTTGTAAATAAGTCATTCCCACACTCCCTGGATGTAGTTCAGGGAAGACAAAAACTATAGGTTCAAGCTATCGGCTGTCATCTCCAATTTTGCTTTTCTTCTAATTTTATATATATATATATATATATATATATACACACACAAAGCTTAAATGCAGGTTCGTGACTGCAGTTTCAGTAGGTGTGCACACTACAACTGGAGCTCCAGACTAGTGGAGCAGCGAAACTCAAGACATATTAAACATAGAGCATTTTGCTCCAATTTGGATTTTTGACTAGGACCGTAAGGGAGGGAATTAAGAGAATGTCTTCCTTGTAACCTCATTATAAATGATAGCTACAGAGAATCTTTTTCCAAGCTAGCCTGTAGTCATTTTCCTAATTAACTGCTGCGGAAGACCCGCTATTCATATCACCCTTAGCCCATGCTCCTTCTACCATAATGGCACCCCCAGGCTATTCTGTCTGAGCCCTGGCACACTGGAGGATTTTCGCCTTCCTATCACCATACAATGTCGCATTTGGAGAGCAGTTATATGAAGAAACTTGCAGCAAAGTATACTTATGGGTGATGAGTAATCTAACTTCTCATTTGGGGCAATGCGACGCCTTTCCTGTATATAAATGCTTAGATTTCTATAGGTACTTAAAGACTATGTAAACAAGGTTACCCAATTTTATGTGAAAACAAATAACCACTTGCACTTCTACCACTTCACCTGTCTCTCATTTATTGATGCGAATTAAATGCTATTAGCAAAGTGGTCTGCTTTAGGTAATGATCTTTAAACAGTGTTACACAACTGCTGCTTGCTTGAGGTATGATCGCAGGACAACTGCTTTAACATTATTCTCCCACAGTTTACTACTGTCAAAATTAACAAATAATTATAACATGTTAAGCGGCAGATGTCCTGGATGATGACGATGAAATCCCATGTGGTACTAACACATTAAGTGACATGGCAATCTTATTTCTGCTCAGAACTCTACAGGGACTCGAGAAAGTCTAATAACCTCTTTAGTAGTTAGCATTGTTTAGGAAAAGGAAAGATGTAGAACATGTAAGAAAAAAATTTATGTAAAATTGTCAATCAGTGATATTTTTATGAACAGGATAACATATTACAGAATTATGACAGTTATAATTTTTTTATTATACAGTTATGTATGATTACAGTTATTACAGAATTACCTTCACCCTAAAGGTCACCAACAGCAAAGGGAAAACCTTGTCCTTTACTATAAAGGAAAACAAAAATGAATTCTGAAATGTGTAATGGAGAAGTCTGAGGAAAAATTGTGCAGATATGGGCAACCATATGATTCCTCTTCCTCCTCCTTTCAGATAAATCTAATTTTCTGCAAAAGTTTACTAACTGGTAGTTCTGCTTTCAGTTCTCCCTAAGTTAGTCTACAAAAAGGCATTTTTTAAGAAAGAACCCTGAATATATATACTGGGGGAGGGGATATGCACCTGCAGTTTTGATGTAGTATACAGCTTCGGTGGAATGACTTGGCGAGGTTTGTTTTAACAGGCTGAACTGTCCCCCTATGCATGGTGGTGCTTAAAAGTAATAACCCTGTAATCTTAGATTTATTAGTTGTCCAGTGAAAATTAAATGTCCTGTGATCAGTGCTCTAAAAGGAAATAACAACACCTGTGATGTGACCATTAGGCTTTACCTGTGAAGTCACAAGTGAATCACTCCTGCAAGAGTTAGTAGTGGTGTGTACAGAAAAGACAACTTTGAGAGGGCTTCAGAAATGATTGCTGCAAGGAGGGAGGATGGCTGTGGTTTTTTGAGAAACTCACGCGCAACCAACAGGATGAATCAGAGTTGAGTGGATTTGCCCTAAATGTGGTACTCCAAACATAAAATTCTAGTAGCCTTACAATTGTTAAATTAGTCTGTCTGCACAATGAAATAATGTAGGATTTTTTTGTCCAAGAGTACTTAATTTCTGTATGTAACTAAAACTCTTGCCCTAAATATGCAGAAATAAATAAATGAGGATAAAATAATTGCATGTAGACAAACTTAATAATACAAGGGCCTGCAATTTAAGGCTCTGCTTCAAACAGACACTTCAGCATATGCGTTTGTTCGAATATGTGAACTGTCCCATTGACTTCAGTTACATTACTTTTGTGTTTTATGTGCATAGTTAAATGTTTTCACAGAGCAGAGACCTGGAGTGAAGAACAGATGTATCTCCAAGATTTGGCCTAGTATTTTCCTTACATGATTAAGCCCAAATTTTCATGGCCTAGATTTCATACGAATTCTTGAGTATTGTCTATTTACTGTCATAAGACTTTTGTGATACCTATCTAACAGAAAACATTAAGTGGGATGTAGGTTGTATGACTATGGGCATCACACACCCTGGGGACATGTGGATTAAAATCGCTGTACTCCACTTTAAATTACATATTGCCATCTTACCCAAAAGCTCTGATCAGGATAAGACAGTCATCGAACTAAAGATACTAAAATTATAATGTACACACGTGGTTACTACCTCAAGGAGTTGGCAGTTCAGAGAACCGGCATCTCCAAACAAGTGGTGGATAGAGCAAACTCAGCTTTAAAGACTTAATGAGTGGTGGGAGTTTGCAGGAGTAAGGCCTATGATAAGCACTAGGAAGGATATGCAAACCAAATATAATTTCAAAACTTTCATTTATTTGCTGTTTATGTGCCAGTTTAGTGATATACAGCACAACAGATGTCCCTGAGAAAATGGTGGTTTGGACACTTGGTGGAATGGGTAAAAGAGGCGGTGTGGCCCGGCAGCCCTGGGCCGCGCCGCTGAGGTGGGGCAGGGTGCTGTGTGTGAGGCTGCTGATACTGCTGAGGCTGAGCCTTGCCCTCTCCCCGGTTTTTGCCATTGCTGCTTTTTGCACTCCTCCTCCCAATTTTGCAGCAGGATCTGCAGGCCCGGAAACCTTCCTCTTCCCCTTTCAGGCATCCTAATTCTGCCTTGACACTTGTCTTCCCTGTGACAGGCACAGCACGGCCCTGGGCTTCCTCACCTTTTGGATACCAAAGGCAGATGTTGCCTAGGTTGCTGAGATGCCTTGAGCCAACTTGGCTTTCAGAAAGCAAAGAAGTTTAAAACAGGCTCTGCTCTGAAGCCCAGCGAAGTCGTGGTGGGTTGACCTTGGACTGCAGCCAGACGCCCAGACAGATGCTCTCTCGCTCCCCTCCTCAACAGGGCAAGGTGAGAAAATAGGACCAAAAAGCTCATGGGTCAAGATAAAAGACAAGGAGATCACTTGACAATTACCACTGGGGGAAACAGACTGGACTTGGGGAATTAATTTAATTTACTGCAAATTAAAATAGATTTGGATACCAAGAAACAAAGACAATTAACATGAAACCTCTACCACCCCCACCCCCAACTCTTTATCCCAGGCTCTTCACTTCTTCATTCCCGACCCCCCTGCACTCCAGGTACAGAGGTATGTCTCAACATTTCCATATATTTAAGGTTGCTGAGATTCTGAAATTCAGTTGGCAGGTGAGGAAAAATTACCAAACTCTTTCATTACACAAAATTGAAGAACAAATCAAACTTTGTTTGTAATAAGCTTTGCTATATAATGTAGTATATTACATTGGCAATTAGTTAGAATCGAATATTTATTCTCATTTTCCATTAACTTATGAACAGCAGTATTTTCTGAAGTTAATAGTTTTATCAAAGCTCCCACTATTGGATAGCAATGCATTTTTTACATTCTCAGCTGATGTAAACTGATACTGGTGGATGCAAGGTTGGACATGAGCCAGCAATGTGTGCTACCAGTTGTATCCAGGGCTGTGTAAGAGGTCGGATGGCCAGCAGGTCGAGGGAGGGGATTCTCCTGCTCTGCTCCACTCTGTGAGACCCCACCTGGAGTCCTGTGTCCAACCCAGGGGTCCCCAGCACAAGACAGACCTGTGACCTGTTAGAGTGGGTCCAGAGGAGGGACACAAAAATGGGGGCCTCGCATTTGGGAGGGCTGGAACACCTCTCCTACGAAGAAAGGCTGAGAGAGTTGGGGTTGTTCAGCCTGGAGAAGAGAAGGTTCCAGGAAGACCTTATTGCAGCCTTGCAATATAAAAAAGGGGATTGTAAGAAAGATTCAGAGACACCTTTTACCCAGGCCTGTAGTCACAGGAAAAGGGACAGCAGTTTTAAACTGAAAGAGGGTAGGTTTAAATTAAACGTAAGTAAGGAATTCTTCACTGTGAGGGTGGTGAGACACTGGCACAGGTTGCCCAGAGAAGCTGTGGCTGCCCCCTCCCTGGAAGGGTTCAAGGCCAGGTTGGACGGGGCTTGGAGCAGCCTGGTCTGGTGGAAGGTGTCCCTGCCCACGGCAGGGGGGTTGGGACTGCATGATCTTTGGAGGTTCATTCCAATCCAAACCATTCTGTGATGTTTCAAAAAGTCACTAAGCAAATAATGGAGTTGTCCATTTTCGACTGTGTTACAATGATTAGCTATCAGAAAAAAAAAAAAAAATATCCTGAGGCAAAATATATGTGTTCATAAGAAAACAACCACACGTGCCAGATGAATCTATTTTATCTGATGAAAAAATGTGAACAAACTTGATACTTCAATTGTATTACGCTACAAGTACTTACCATTTTAGCCTTGGGTGTATCTTGTAAAACAACCTTTAAATTGTTGTACCTGTTAGTGATCTTTATGCATGGATAAGACCAGAACACAGTTGCTTTTCCTCCACAGCAGACACACTGTCATTCTTTTATTTTTACATTCTCAGTAGTAAAAAAGTTTCATGAGTTTCTTTTTGATGCTATGCTAGAGATAGCTCAGTAACGTCAGAGTTTACCATGAGCAAGTGAGAAATAGCATAAACTGTAATAAGCTGTTAGCAATTATGCACTTTAGTAATTTCAAAACCCATGAAAGTTATCTTTAAATAGTCTTTTAAAATGTCATACTTTTATTTATCTATAGAACATTTTCAGTGGGGTCATCATAATGCCTGTAGGAAGCTGGCCAGCTAAAAATACATTAAGATTATTTACACTGTATTTTACATCACAAATATCTGCTCTGTGTTCTCTCTCACCAGCATACTCCACTGAACTGGTACTTACCGTATGGTAGATAGGTGGGATAAGACCATATTTAAATATCAGAAGATTATGTATACAATCTATGATTTCACTAGAATAGAGTAGAGCTATTCAGAGAGTATATCTAAAACATAACATTTTGTGTTTTAAGTTTGTAAGAAACAAATAAAGTCTTCCCATTTTTAATTTTTATCCCTCTGTCCCGGTTTTGGTTGGGACAGAGTTAATTTTCCTCCTAGTAGCTGGTGCAGTGCTGCGTTTTGGATTTAGTGTGAGAATGATGCTGATAACACACTGATGTTTTAGTCATTGCTGAGTAGCCTTAACCCAAGTGAAGGACGTTTCAGTTTCCCGTGCTGTGCCAGCGAGGAGATGCCCCAGAGGCTGGGAGGGAGCACGGCCAGGACGGCTGACCCGCACTAGCCACAGGGATATGCCAGCCCATAGGCCCTCATGCTCAGGAGATAAACGGGGGGGAGCTGGTCGGGGGGGCTGATCGCTGCTCCGGCATCGGTCAGCGGGTGGTGAGCAATTGCATTTTGCATCACTTGCCTTTACTTGGGTTTCATTTCTCGCTCTTTCAGTTTTTCATCATTTGTTTCTTCTATTTCAGCTCTCCACTCAAACTGCCAGCATAACCCGAGGCGCAGCAAGGCCCACTTCTCTCTTGATTTTAGCACGCAGCTCCCCAACCTGCCTCCTCGGCAGCTTGCAGCCCGTCACCAGCGCAACACCGCACAGCTCCCGGGAAGCGGTCCGCACTCCTCCTCCCCTTACAGCCTGCGCAAGCTGAATGGAAATTTCCAGGGAGATGCCTACCGTCTGTCCCTAAAACTTTGGGAGCCTGCCTGGGGAGGGCGGGCGCTCGCCGCCATTCGGAGCCCCCACCCGGCCCCAGCCCCTGCGCGACCGCCGGCACCGGCGGATTCCGCGCCCGTCGCGCCTCTTCCGCTGCGAGGCTTTCCAGCGTGCACCGCCCCTCGCCGCCCGACCCCTAAGAATCTTCTCCCTGTACGTAAATAAAGAAAGAACCGGGGCTGGACCCTGCACCCGCAGCACGTTTTTTTCAACCCTGAAGCCTGCGAGCCGGCGCCGCCACAAGACGACGCGAAGGGAGAGCTTCTCCTGAGAGCTCTCCCTTCTTCCTTTTTTTCCCCTCAGCGGCCGGGGTTTCCTCAGGCTGAACCCCACCCTGTCCCCTGGGCTTGCCCAGCGCCCCGTGTCCTGCCTCACGGAGCCCACGCCACGGCTGCTGCTGACGGGGAAGGCGGGTCCCCGCTGCAGCGTCTCCCACCGACCCCGCTCCCCCACGGCGCCTCCCCACGCCCCCCCATTCCTTCCCCCCGTTCTCCACCCCGCCCGCCGCCGCCGCCGCCGTCCCCTCACGCCCTCTACCGACTTTCCGGCGGCGGGAGGCGCAATGCGGAAGGGACGGCGGGGCCGGGGAGGAAGTGAGGTCCCGCCGGCTCCCGCGGCACGGAGCGGAGCGGGCGGCCGTTGGTGGCAGGTGGCGCGGCCGGTGAGGGGGGCGCCGGTACCGGCTGCGGCCGGGGGTGGGAGCCGGGGGGTGCCCGGCGCCCGTCAGTGCGCAGCGCAGCCGGCCCGGCTGTCGCCGTCGCGGGGCTCGGGCCGCGGGGGCGCCGCTGGCGCCAGACAAGATGGAGGCTCTGTCGGCGTCGTGGGTACCGGCGGCACCGGGCGGTAGCGGGGCGGGGATCTGCCGGCTCCGGGGCTGCCCCTCGGCCGGGCCGTGGGAAACTCGCGGGGGCTGGGTGTCCCGGCTAAGGCAGCGGGGGGCCGGGCGCGGGGCCGGGCCGGGCCGGCGCCGCTGCTCCCCGGGTAGCGCTGGAGGGCGGCGCGTTCCGGGCCGGCGGCCTGACGCCCGCGGGTTACGGAGTCTGAGGGGAGAGGGGCGGGAAGCCCTGCTGCTGGCTTTCAAGAAGCTCCCCTGGCTGTATGTTTCCTGAGGTTAAGCCTTTAAAATTTGGCTACTCTCGTGTTTGTTTATAGTTTCTTATCGTTTGGGTTCCTTTACTGTTTTAAAGGAAGATCTCACCTTGTGGCTTACAGGCGGTTTCACGAGTACGATGCCGCAGTGTTTCAGTCGTCAGCTGCTGCAAGGGAGGGTTTAAATACAAACAGAAACCTGCCTTCGTTTAAAAAAATAAAACCAAAATAGGTTAACGTTTTTTGTGTGATCTTTCAAAACGTCTTAACAGCTTTAGTGTTTAAAATATACTGTCCTTTTGCACAAGGTCAGAATCAGTAAAATAGATCTAAAAATTGAAGTGTGCCCAGGCTTCTCGTCTTCTGCATTTGGCATTAGTTTATGATTAAGATAGATGCCACTCTTGCATATTTGTGGTGGCTAGAGATTTTTTTTTTTCCTATGAAGAAATCCTATTTGTGAAAGAAATTTTTGTTGTCTCTGAGAAGCTTTTAAATAAATCCTTTATTTTGAAAGATGTTTCTCTGGGTAATTGTGGTTTTGGAACATTGTTATGTTGTCTTTAGATAGTCCCTCTATTCGTTTTGGAACATGAGGTAAAATAAGTCTCATGAGGTAGAAAGGGGGAGCAGGTCTTTTTTTCATTATTTGTTTTTGTTAAATATGTAAATCCCTAGGAAGGGATGCAAGTCAGACCTGCTTTGCAGAATGTATTTGGAAGCACAAGAAGGTTTCACTAACATCATCTTGCGTTGGACAGGACTGCCTCTGGTAAAGGCAAAATGGCTTTCAGTAAAGGATACCGTGTCTATCACAAGCTGGATCCGCTTCCATTCAGTGTGATAGTGGAAACCAGAAACAGAGAAGAATGTCTCATGTTTGAATCTGGAGCTGTGGCTGTCCTCTGTAAGTTGATATGTTTTGATAACTACAGTGTACAAAGTTGGCAGGCTTGACATTGTGTAAGCTGTTTATTTATGGAATATAAAGAAGCAACTATTCTGTTTTGTTATTTGGTAATGGAGAGGCTTCTGATTTAAATGAGAGGGGAAAAAAAAGATGTTTTCATATCTTCATCTGTTGAGAGAAAATTTTACACATTTCATTATGTTTCATCATGCATGTAGATTTTCATGTATACTAAATCTTCTTCTAAGAGCTTCCAACAACATCTACTTATTTCTTTGGTTCTGAACAACCTTCTCCTTTTGAATACATGATAACTCATTGAAAAGCTAATTCTCAATGCTGTATTTAATAATAAAAATTTCTATATTTTGAAATGGTATATCATCTTAATTTGTTTTTCATCTTATTTTGTGTCATGATTTTTGTTGGCTTTTTGATTTTTAGCTTTATTTTGTCCCTGTATTTTCACCTGCCTTGAGACTCTGTATTGATTTGTCATGTAATAAAACGAGTAATATTTGGAGCAAGGTGTCTTGCATTGCAAAGTTATTTTTACATGTTTTCAGTGATAAATGCATTAATTGTTTCCCTTAAATTCTTTTGGGCCCCTCCTTCCTTTTTTTTTTTTTTTTTAAACTCATAGTTGAAGGCGGCCACTAGAATAAGTGCAGAAGAGATCCATGGAGCCTATACATAGGGTTTTAAAACGTAAAATGTTGTTTGGATTGTATTCTTCAGAAAGTCAGCACCTGGTTGCATAGTGTTTCTAAGCTTGTTTTTGACTCTTTTATAGAAGGCTTTCATACTGCGGAAGTATTTTATTTTTTTTGTAGTCAATAACTTCTTGATTAATTCATTCTGATGCCTGTTTGTGGTTTTCTAGCCTAGTTGTTCTGAGCACCCCATCACATAATGGGAGATTTGATTCACTGCCTGAAGTGCATCTGAGTGGACTCAAAAAGCTACCTTTCAGGAAGATACTCTGGCTTTGAGACCATGGGGTAGGCTGAATGGTGTGTGTGTTCTCTAACAAGACTCAGAGTTAGAAATGCGATTTCCAGAGAAGAGTAGAACTTGAAATACATTTCCCTTCTTCGATATTTGCAGTTGGCTCCTGTACATGAGTGTGCCCCTTGGCAGTGTCATGGTTTCTTTCTGAGGCACCTGACTGTCCCTGTGTCTTGTGTAAGGTACTTAGAAGGCAGGCTGTAGAGTCAGCTGTACTGGACAGGCTGTATGAACAAGAGCTTTCTAGCATACAGCTTAACTGGCATCTTTAATGTGCGATTAGAACGAGCTGCCATTAACTGTTAGAGGCCTAGCAATAGGATGTGCCTGCATGACTGACACTGTAGCTGCAGTTATATGATGGTCCAGGTGAAAAACGATGAATGCTTTTCTCATATTTTTGAAAATACTTTTTTTTTTTTTTTTTCTGATAGTTTCTTTTTAATATGCATTTAAGTAATCTCATTGACTTTGTGACCAATATTTGAAAGGTGTTGTGTGGTACGGACTGGGTTGGGAATAAGTGTCCAGTCATAAAGCTAGCGAATAGGTTTAGTGAAATCTGTAAAATGGGGAAAAATGCTTAGAAGATCTGTGGAAAACTTTATTTTAGTGTGTATTTAGTAACTACTGAACAAGCTTAAGCTACTTAAGGAGTAATGTATTAAAAATAATTTATTCCTGGAAGTTATGCTTAAAAAGGACAGTAAGCTTTTTGTGCTGTGATATACTGCAGGCACCTGGATGAACTTTTTTCTCTAAAAATTAAAAGCTGTATCACAGTTCCTGCCCTCTTCTATGCCTTATCTTGTTACCAAAGAGAGGAAGCAAAACCCAAAGGAAGTTTGAAAGCTTCTCTCCTCCTGCATTCTGTACTTAGTAATAGGATGTAAATCTGTGAAGGTTTGTCCTTGGTATTCTTGTTGGTAGGTTACGACATAGTAAACGCTCATACTTAGCTAGACGTAGTTACTCTGAATATCGTTTACCTTAACCAATAAACCCCTCACTCTTTTTCTATCTGGTAAATGGGTGTATTTTCTCAATGCATGTTTAGCAGTGGCATTTTACTTTAGGCCCCTTTTTGCACCTAAACTCTTCACGTACTGAAATATGATTCTTTTGTTAATGGTTGAATGATCACAATCATACCCTTGAACTGGCAGCAGAAAAAGCACTAGAGTTCCCTAGCTCAGGAATTTATTTTTTTTTTCTTTTTCTGCTTGCTGCTTGCTCCTGCTATCATTTTAAAAAATATATTTAAAGAAGTACAAATATTAGTGCTTGGAGAAGATTTGTAAAGTGCTACTTCTTCATCTCACTAGTCATGCTACAGAAACCAATCAGAAGATTCTAGTTTGTAGTCATACAAACCTCTGGATATTGGTACAAATCTAAAAGCCAGAGTTAATGATAGACTGGCCCTTGGGGAAGATTCCCCAGGTGTTCGTAAAATCCGTGTGAATAGATAGAAAAATGATCAGAGGAACTATATATCAATTTAAATCCAGAACAGCATCACTTTAAACTGTTAAAAACACTTACTTTTTGCTGATGGTGCTAACACTTTTTTAGACTCTACAAAAATTGACAGTACTGATCTCAAACTGTTAGGCATTTTTCAAAGTATTTTAATAATTACTGAAGATAAAATAAGATGTTCAACCTTGTTTATACCCAATCATAGTTCTTACTTGTACATAGGATATATAATACAGGCACAACCTAGTGAAATACACTTCACCGTTAAAAGTGATTCATGTGGTTCACTTCTGAGAGCCTTAGTGACCTGCATCTTCTGGGTATCCATATATAGAAATTTGGATTTGAAATGGGCTAAGAGAAAGGAGTGAAAGCTTACAGAACCTTTAAATGTCATCTTAAAGGAAGTACATCTGTCATTTTGCAGAGGGAAGGATAATGGTATTAACCTTCATCAGCTTTACATTCAGTGAAGCATTGCAAGATGATTCAGAGGGTTTAGTTAGGCCTCTGTGTGAAATGCTATACAACTCCTATTTAGTGTGATTTTCGGTGCATGTTGTATGTGCACTGAATCTGTTATTCAAGTCAACAAAATAAGATGGAAGAAGGGAAAAGGGATGGTTCACGAGGTGGTTGTTGAATAGTCATTCAGTCTTAACATGGAAGCAGCCTCAGCCATGCTTCAGCTGAAGTGTTTGGTGTACTGCTTGTAACGTGGATTAGCCAACATTACTGTGACCAAAACTTCTGAGAAATACTTTGCCTGACTTTATATACTTAATACCTCTTTTATTGACTCACTCCTAGTATTAGGTTAGCCCAAGATATTGAAGTCTGAGGGGATCCTGTGAACTCGCTTCTCAAGACCTTGTAAGAGCACTTCATTTTAAATGTCAGCAGCTTCACTGCTGATTTGTTTAGAATTTAGTGGGAGGGTGTCATAGACCTATTTTTTCTTATTTGACATAAAATAGACAGTATATTTATTCTTTGAAATAGGACTCTAATGAGATATCTTACCTGTAAAGATTTCATTGACTGAGCAGGAGGGTGTTCTCTCTCCCTGTTCCTCAGTGGTGAGTCATAACGAAACAAGTGGGAAGCTGTCTTTACTCCTGCCGCCTGTGATGAGTAAAGGAGAATATTCTGTCGTCTGGGAAAATATTGAGCCCAGAGTGGAGAGAACAGGAGCTTTGTGCACGTCCTTTGACTTAAATCTTAAGGTAAAGGTGAGAACAGAGCAGGTGTGAACAGGAGGAGGCACTGTGCTCACCCTGAGCTTTCTGTAGAGCTAGATAAAATAAGGGCGGTAATAACCTGTGTGCAGGAGACATCCTGGTATTCATAGTCATGTTTAGCAATGCTACTCTATCACCCATTCATATTCCACTTCTTTTTAAAAAGAAAATTCTTCTACACTGCATTCTTGGTGGGGGGAGGGGAGCAAGTATGCTATAACCTATCCATAGTAGCAGATGGGCTATAATAATTTTGCAAGAAATTTTAAGTTGATATGGTTCTTGAGGAAACTTAGACACCCAGAAAAGAAACATACTGGCAGATACATTTGATGAGCACCTGCTATATGTACATAATTATAGAGGAGGATAACATTCTGTCTGCTCACAACCAGAGTTGTTTGTTTGGTTTTTTTTTTTCCCCTTGGTGTTTGCTGCCACCAGTAATAAACTGCCACTGTGTGATTCTGGTAACATGTATATGTTACCATGGACATGTACATGACTTTGTGAAGTGAATAATTGTACTTTATAATTTTGAACTAGCAAATAGAGTGGGGGAAAAGAATCGTCCTATTATTTGAAAGCAAATATGTAAATTGTGTCAGATTTAAATACCAGCTGTTGTCCAGTTTTCTGTGCATCTATTTGTAACAGCAATTTATCAAAAGTAATAAAATGGTTTCTCAGTTGGTTGATTTATAAGTGAAAGTGGTGACTCCACTCTGATTTTAATGTCACCTATGTGGTAATACTGAAATGTTAGCTTTAATGTACCTACCGAAAGTTTTAACTGTCATAATTGGACAAAAAGCTTAAAAAACTCAATCTTAAATACTCAAAAACAAACTATGTAAGAAAAGTTCATAGATTTTTCAGATTTTAAACTTTTGAAGTGACAGTAGCATGAGCTTTTTCTCATCTAATGTAAATGAGAAGTCTTGTTTCTGAAGGAACTGCACATAATTTCAGGAGAGTGTCTGTGTTCCCAGCTCAGTGTCTGGGAATTATAGCCACTAACAAGGTCGTCATGGCACTTTGAACCCACCGAGAAGAGAACATAACTGTAGAAAGCCTAAATTATAACCTTTAATGTGTTTTTTAGTTTTATAATTGTTAAAATTGCAAAACTAATTTCTAACCTGGAATTAAGCAGAATACATGTTGAACCAAGTTGTCCTGAAGACAGAATTTTTAACAGAGTTCTGTTTGTGTAACAGTAAGAGGGCTGACATAATCCCTTTAAATAAACCTGTCAGTCACCTTTCTTAGTCAGTGATTGATAAGATATGATTATTACAAATGTACACATGTGATTTAACTTGGAATAAATTAGATGTTAACATATAAAAATACTATGACATTAATTTTTAATGAAGATTGACTTAAAATTATTTTATGCTTTTGCTCTTGACACTGCAAATGAGGCTTGCTGGATTTCTGCAAGAATGCATTACAACTTGACCTGAAAACCACAGTATAGGTGTTGTGGGTTTGGGGTTTTTTTGTACTGCTAAATAGCAAGTCATTATTTCCATTTTAGAAATTAATCAACTTGAATCTAATTAATGCAGTGGGTTAAGCAGAAGCTGCTTTTAATTTCCTTTCTGCTTAACATCTGAATTGACACAAAGTAATAGAAGAAATACTGCCTCATAATGTTTTGTGTCCATCTTTATACAGAGATATATGGATGCTTGCATTCTCTACTGTTTAGTGCTTCTCTACAGTATAATTTAAAATCTGTTATGTCCAGTGTTGTGGATGAAAGTTCTAATTCCAGCTGGTAGTTTCTGTCTTCAGAAGTTGCATGTCTTAATTCGTTCTTCTTAGTGGGTGACTGCATTTTTTTATTCCAGACAGCCTTAATTGTGTTTGCTTACTTCCAGCTATTTAAAGATAAATGAATAGAAAAGTCAATTTCTCAAGGAGAAGTAGCTTCATTAATTTGCAGGACTTTATGTTTTTCTGAGTACATATTTATGTTAGCTGTATTTTTTTTCAAGATATGGAGCTCATAAAGTCAAAAGGGTTCTCATGGCTGCAGGCCAGCCTACCACTCTGGGAAGAGATGTTCTCATTCATTAAAAATGTTACAGAGGAAATGCTCTTGGAAATGTTCTTTCCTTCTGTCAGGGTTACCTTGCTCTTCCTGTAGTTTAACTTCCTCACCCAATTGGTAATTTCAGCTATTCATAGAGGAAACTGAAAGTTGGTTTTGCATACACTGAATATAAGACATTATAGTGATGAGGTCTTAGTCATGTATTTTTGTAACTTCAGTGGCTGTTGCATACCCAGCTGTATCTGATGACTGCATGCTGAATGAAGTGAGAGAGCACAGATCTTCATCAAGCTTACTGCTTTGGTGAAGGAGGAAGAGTTAAATATTATAATTATGGGGAGAACATGGATGGTTTCAAAGCACTTGTTATTCACACTGTTTGATATGGAGTGATGTGAAAACCTGCAAATTTAATTTTGGTATCTTCAGAAACAAGAAATGCCATGTGCAGTGACAGTAATAGATTACAACTTGGCCTGAGTGTCTGGGTTTTTTTATTTTAGCATCCATAAATGAAGGGCAACCTTGTGGCTAGCACTGGTGGAGGTGCTGTTCAGCAAATTCTTGTAAATGTTTGGACGCCAAATGAACTTTTGATCTAAACCAGCTGTACAACCATTTGCATGTTTTCATAGCATTACTGCTTGTTCACGTCAGAACCCTGAGGACACCACAAGCCCTGACTGTCCCTGCCCGGTCCCACTGGGGCTTTCCTCACCCTGCCAGCAGCCCAGGATCCCATTTCAGTCCCCTCAGGGCTGTCAGTCCTTTACCCCAGTGATGCTGCAGCAAAGTGCTGGTCTTCAGCTCTCCACAGCCCTGCCCAGCCTGGATCCGGGCCTTGCTGAGCTGGGCTGATGTCCCAGCCCAGCCTTGGCCTCTCCCTGTCCCCACGGCCTGCCTGGCCATCCTGGGACTGTATCCAGCCTCGGTTCCTCTCACCAAGCCTGACCCTTGCCCACAGGCAGACATTGTGGTCTGGCCTCAGCCCATCCTCACGGAGATGCCTGATGTCCTGGGCTGGGGCTGCTCCTGGCCTGCCCTGCCTCCTGGGGGGGAGCCCCCGTGGCTATCAGTGCCCTGGCCCCCAGGGAGATGCTGCTCCCCACGGTGTCCCAACAGTTCAAATGGAAGAAAACAGAAAGGACTGTGGTGTAGCTGTGTCTTGTTCTTGATTTCATCTTGGTTTTCAGAAAACTTTAGTGCTTTTCCATAATATTGTATCACCCCTGATCATGGGAAGTCCCTTACTGTGCATTACCCCAAAAGCAGCCTAAACACTGCTGCAGTTGGCCATCCAAACCATCCCTGTGTTGCGTGGGTTGGTGCTGCTGTGGTAGGGAGAAGGCAGTGGTGCGGTGCTGTGGAGTTGCTCCCTTTTCTGCTGTCATTGGTACTTTTGTGACTGCTTTCTTTTTACCTCATTTTCGTAAAGAAAAGGAGGTTTATATGATAACTACTTTTTATCCCTCTGTGTTGGCTAATATCAGTCATCACCAAATCTTGTAATTCTTTCAGGTTTCATGAATGCTGATGGCTAGAGGTTTAGATGGATGCCCTCAATGAAGGGGAATCTGCCTTATGGGTTTGTGTTACAAAGTTATAACTTGTAGCACGCATGATGTGCCTTATGAGGGGGTGGTAGGAACATGTTGCAGGTAAGCTCTTTGGTGTCCTGGCTGCCTGCTGAGGGGCCTGTTAAATGTACCTTGCACCTAGACTTGGGTTCTGCGGAGGCAGTAGCTGAAATCTGGGGGTAGGTGAGGATGGGCCAGGACAGGATGGATGAAGTGAACCTTTTGAAGTGTGTGATGCTTGCTGTTTTCCCATGTGAATTTTGGCCTTAAAAAAAAAAGGGAAAAGTGAAGGCAGTGTGAGATAGAAATACTTAAATGCTCACTGTGGAAAAGCTTTACTCAGAGTTCACACTGTATTAGATCTAATGTAACTGAAAAACATGGCATGAAATGCTTTTGGTTGGTGCTTGGGTACTTTGTAAAGAGAATAATAACTAGCCAACAGTAAGTTTTTCCATTTCCATTTTCTTGGTTTTGCAACCCTTTTCTGCTTTATTAGTGATGGCCTTTTTTGTTGATCTGAATTTGCAAAGCCCATGTTATTTAATTTATTTTGGGCATTTACTTATTAAGGCTTAGCAAGGAAAACGGTTGTTCTGTGCAATGGAAAAAGAGACTAAGTCCATAGAAGACAGAAGAACCATTGTTCTGAAATGTTACTGAATACTGGCAGGCACCTTTAACAAAAATCCTGTAAAAAGTTTGAAACTAAACCTCATCTTTCATTAATAATTTGAAATGTGAAATAAGAACATGATGGTTCTCTGGTTACTGAAAGTTGAGTTTTAGAAGAATGTTGACATCATTAAGTGCTTGCTAGAAAAATGGATTGAAAGAACCAGGTTTTGAAGTTTAGAAGTTGTTCTTTCCAGCCTGATGGTGATCTGGTTAAGAAAAACATGGTTTGGTGGTGCTGACAGAATCACTGTCTGTAAGCAATGTGGTTATATTGGCTGCAAGTCTTAACACCTATGGGTGAGGACTTTGGAAATAATCATGCTGCTGTAACTGTCTTATCTTTAGCACCTGGATTACAGGAATACATCATATCAATGCAGATAGTTAAGGAAGCTTTTTAAAAATGCACTTAGAATATTGAATGAGCTTAGATTTCAGACTGAGGTTAAATAATTGTTTCATCTATGTTGGTGTTCCTGATCTGCTTTAATAATAGAACTGGCAGACATTTGAACAGAAGGGGTAGGCTTGTGCACAGGCAGGGCTATGCCAAGGTTAGGGAATTATCACTAGAAAGGTTCACAACAGCAATTCTAAAGAAAATATAACTCATGAGAGAGAGCACTGCAGAATGCCAGGGCAATAGGTGTTTTGATTTATGCTTTTCTTTATGACAAGTTCTGATTTTTTTAGTGTCAAAGTGAAAATTAAATTGGCGTATCACTTCTGAGGAGGGAGAAGGTGCTGATCCTTGGTGACCCAGAAATCTCAATCCCTGTGGGTCCAGTGGCACAGCTGGAATTGCTGGTCTTTGTGCTTCAGGTGCAGTCTCAGTCATGAGCAAAAGCTCAGGACAGGTGGGATCTGGTTTCTGCTCTGCAGCATCTGTCACCTGGCTCTGCAGTCAGGCTTGTGGGCCTGGTTTTTCAAGTGCTGATTAAAGTTCTAAAATGTGCACTAGTAGTACCTCCCAGGTGAATAATTGTACATATACTTTAATTTCTTCTAAAGTATTACAATTATTTTTTTCTTTAATGTTTATGAAAATTGTGTTTTCCTAAGCTAAGACATGGCTTTTAAATACCATTACCCTGTGGGCTTACAAGTGTTTTGATTTTCTTGGAATATATCTAAAACTAGTTAAAATGCACTTGTGATAATCTTGTTTACTTATCTGGAAATAATACTGCCACATCATGGTTTTATTCTTGGAGAAAAAGGGTAATTTTTGTCATAAAAAAAAGCAGCATTTAGCACCACTCTAATTTCAACTAATTATGGAAGAGCATTCTCATGGAACTCATTTGCCTGTGTTTTAGCTGCTTTTTATATTGGGAGATGATGATGTTAAAAATGCCAGCGTTCTCCTTTAATATCACTTGGAGTTTTTGCAAGTCCTTTTTTTGTTGCCTAAAAACATAGCATGATCATACTTGTCATAATATCAAATACTTATTTTCCATTATAAAATGCCATATGCTCATACATTTTGATTTCTTTCCAGAAGCTTCAAGTAAGCACTACTTTTGTAATCTCTTGGATTTTCAGTTTAGAGTGGAGTCATTCTGCCTGCCATAGCGTATGGTCTTTTACATTATAAAATCTTATGCTGTTTCTCCATAGCTTCTGCAGAAAAAGACACAATCAAGAATACCTACTCCAAAGTAATGGATGCATATGGGCTCTTGGGTGTATTAAGATTAAACCTTGGTGAGTAAAATATGTAAAACCTTAATTTTTAAGTTGGGAGGAAAAATTATGCTGCTTCTGTAAAACTGCACAGCACAGGATTTTTGCAACAGGAACTGGGCTCTTTTTAAATTTTTTTTTGTCTTTGTAGAGTAACTTGCAAGTTTGGAGCACTCCCAGAAATGAGGGAGTGGACAAAAATAATTTCCGTTTCCACAATCCCTGTTATTTGCAGCATAGTTTCTCCTGTTTGCATTTCCTTTTCTTCTGTAGAACTTGAGAATGGGTTCTTGATGTTGGTTCTGTTTTGTACTTTTTTCAGGCAAACTGGGGAGAGACTGTTTGAATTTAAGCATATGAATACATCAACACCACACTCCACTAAGATTTATTCTGTTACTTGTGCCTTTTATTGTTTTACAGGAGACACATTGTTACATTATCTGGTTCTAGTAACAGGATGCATGTCTGTGGGAAAGATTCAAGACTCTGAAGTTTTTCGAGTTACCTCCACTGAATTTGTATCATTACGAATTGATTCAACAGATGAAGATCGTATTTCAGAAGTGCGCAAAGTTTTGAACTCAGGAAACTTTTATTTTGCATGGTCTGCAACTGGTGTCAGTTTAGATCTTAGTCTCAATGCTCACCGCAGCATGCAGGAGCACACCACTGACAATAGGTTTTTCTGGTGAGTTCATGATGGGTTTTATCAGACATTATACAGAATAATGCATGCCTGTACAAACTAATCTGTGGCAAGTTTTTATCCTTGTTTTTATCAGCTCTTAAATGTACATCTTTGTCCCACAAATGTCGGTGAGATAGATTAGCATTATTTTAACTCTAAGGATATAAATATGTTATTAATGATACAGCGTTTCCATGGCCACTTGGAGTTTCTTAATTGAAAACCACAGATTTTCACTGCTTATGATATTATACTTTGATCTGAACAGTTGTTGTGATGTTATGTTTCAGCCTTGGTGTCTCTTAATTCTTCATCAAGTGTGTCAATTTTTGAAAATGAGTGTGGTAATGGAGCTGTAAAGAAAACTTTAATCTTTTGAACATTCTGGTTTCTAAAATATTGTGGTGCTTATATATAGTTTCTAAGAGGGTTTTCAAGATACGAAAGGGCTTTTAAAACTTGTATTACACAGATAATTGTCACGTTGTTGATTTTGCTGAAAAAGAGCAGGTAGGCTATGCTACAGTGCACGTTGCTTGGCTGCTGAACTCACTGTCTTTTTACAGAATATTTTAAAATAAAGCATAGGCTTTCACTTAGAGAATTCTTGGTAAGAGGAATACTGCTGTTTCTGCAAATAAGCAGCTTTAATAATGCCGGTGATGCATACTGTTACGTAGGAAATTCTGCTTCCCTATTTTCAGCCTATGTTAAAAAATGGTGTATTTGTCCATGAACCTTGGAAGGGTTCTGAAGATGTGGCAGTATGCTGTTAGAACAGATGAAAAGCTACATCTTCTCCCTTCTTCTGTCCAACATACAAGATGCCAAACTAGCTCTGACATAAGTGCCCAGTGCTGCTCTACTCTTTGCCACTGTTTTGGTCAGATAGAGGAATAGGATCAGATTGCTGTATTAAGACAGAAAATAAGCGCTAGTTTTCAGAAACACATCCACCTTGATGTAGGTTTACAGGAGTTATAGGAACCTAGCTCCATGTCTCTCTCTGCATCTGGAAAAAGACAGGGCTCTCTGTTAATGTCAGCATTTCAAGGCTTGAGAAACGATGATGCCTGTTGACTCTGTCCAAATAAGCTTGGCTGATTTTGATCCCTGTCACAAAACTTCTTAAGTTATCTGGCTTTTTTTTTCAGTAGAATCAGTCCTTACAGGAGGTAGAAGGAATGTCCCAGATTCCAGGGTCTAGAAATGTAAACACTAAAAGTCAATAACAGAAAATATTCTGCTTGTGCACTTCAGTAAACTTTCTTGGGATTTTTCTATTCAAAAGTTCCAGTCTCAGTCTGCCCAGGGAAAGAATATTGTTTGCTTTCTCAATCTCCTATTGTATTGCCTCTGTATACTTTTCTGTAAAGTGAATGGATATTTGATTCACAGGATTTGAATCTTCATTAATGATTGAACTGAGGTGTTTGATAAGTTGCAGATTTTTTTTTTTTTTTTAAATTGGAAGTTTAGGTTAAGAAGGCTAAAATTGAAGTGAATAGCTTCAAACTTTTTACCAGATAGGCTATTTGCAATGATGGTAGAATTTTTTGGGTGGTGACAAAACCAGCCATCTTACTAGAGTTTACTTTTCTTTGCTATGCAGAAAACTTTACTTCCCTTTTACCCAAATGAATGTTTCCAAAGAAGATCAAAAGTCAAGCCCCACTAGAGTGAGGTGAAACAAAAAAAAAAAACTCACAAACCCCAAACTTCAGTGTTCATTGGTACTACTTAATGCACAGGTATATCCAAACTGTGAATCTTTCTTTCGTTTGAGCAGTAGTTGATATTAGAGAATGGTATATGCAATATATAAAGTACCAACGCTTAACCCTGAAATTGATATTTACAGAAATTTGAAAGTATGTTGGCTATTAATGTGTTCCTGGAAGCTTGTCTGGGAAAGTGATGTGTTATGATGACATATAATAGAAATAATCAATGTATGTGGGCAAGAATTACTGTCTTTATTTCATGGTGGTGTGAAATTGAATGGTGCTCTACCCACCACAAAAGTAACCCTGTAATTGGAATTCTGGCTTGCTTTTCCAAAAGTCTGTAATCTTTGGCTTTTCAAAGCAAGTCTGAGTAGAGAAATATAAACAAGTTTGGAGTGTTGTTTTTTACTGGGTGAAGAGCAGAGGCTATAAGGGTTATTTTTTTAATGTCATTAAAATTCATGGCTTTACCCCATATTCTAATTGTGCAAACGTTTAAGGTGTTCTCTTGTAAACTTTGCTATTTCAAGTATGTTTAAATAAGAGTTATATCATAAAACTATAACATACATATTTTCATTTTCTTATTTGTAGTAGTGGGTGTGAAATATAAGAAGTCGATAGCTGGTTTAACAATTTGAGCTGTATTTTATTTTGTTCCAGTTATTTTTATTTTTTTTTTTTTTCTTTTCCTGATAGGAACCAGTCACTGCATTTACATCTGAAGCACTATGGTGTGAACTGTGATGACTGGTTGTTACGTCTCATGTGTGGAGGAGTGGAGATAAGAACAATTTATGCAGCTCACAAGCAGGCAAAGGCTTGTCTCATTTCACGACTAAGCTGTGAACGGGCTGGCACCAGATTTAATGTCCGGGGAACAAATGATGACGGTCATGTTGCTAATTTTGTTGAAACAGAGCAGGTATGTTATGCTACAGTGCACATTGCTTGGCTGCTGAACTCAAGATAAGCATGTGAGTAGATAGTTTTTTGCCCTGAATCAACAGATCACAAGTCAAGTCTGTAACCAACAAATACTGGAGTAGTTCCTTTGCTGCTAAATAAGGAATCTAAGTAGGTTACGTGATTTGATGATCTTGGTTTTTAGTGTAACTTAGGGTAAGGGCATGCATGGGTCTGAGTTTCAGTAGCTTAAGAAGCTGTTATCCATCAGCTGAACTGTTGTATATGGTTGTACTTCCTTTTAGCCTCCTGAGCTGTGGGTGAGTGTGTACTTCATTTGGCCGGAGCTAATAGTAAAGTAAAAGACCTCAGAAACAATCAAAAGAGATTTTTGGCAAATACATGGTACCTTGTGGTTCAGGAAAGATAAAAGCATTCCTATGGCTATTTAACTCAGCTCCTCTGAAAGGTAGTTTTGAAAGCCACTGTAATTCTGCTGCATTTGATTGCATATCTTTGTCCTTATACAGAAATGCAAGAGGTTATTAAATTCTTTGCTGGCTTTTCTTTGCTCACTTCTTACGATAACATAGTTACCAAGATGTTGTTCCTGCAACTGTATTTATGTGAGTAGATATCTCTGATTGACTCACTGACTCTTTGCCAAACCTAGGTGACTTCAGTAGGATTTTATTCAGGTAGGGCTTCGCTTGTACGCATCCAGTTTCAGGAGTTTAGTCAGAAGACTGTTGTTACAGTTTCTCTGTCCGAGTTTCCTAGCAGGCTAATGTCACAAGATGACTGTGACATATAATTCAACTTGAAATTTTCTTTCCTGTATACTTAATAGACCACTGTAGTTTGGATTCTGATGCACAAAGTCTGTGCAGGTCTTCTGAGTAGGCTGCATTGTTATTTTCTGTGCCCTGGTGTACATTTTAACTGTTCCTACAGGAAGGTCTTACAAAGTTTTTTAAAGCAAGTTGCTCTTAGCACAGGAGTCATTCAGGCACAAATAATAAAAGCTTGCTGTATTTTTCTTAGATGTTGTGAATCATAATTCTACAAGGAAGCATGATAGTGCCTGAACTTGTTTTATGAATTGTTCAGAAGAGTTAGAGAGATGTTTAACCGCAGCCAGCAGCTAAGTCCCACCCAGCTGCTCACTTACTCTCCCCTGGTGGGATGAGGGAGAGAATCAGAAGAGTGAAAGTGAGAAAACTCTTGGGGTGAGATAAAAACAGTTTAGTAGGTAAAACTAAAAGCCATGTGTACAAGGAAAGCCAAACAAGGAATTCACTCACCACTTCCCATGGGCAGGCAGGTGCTCAGCCATCTCTGGGACAGCCAGGCTCCATCATGTGTAATGATGACTTGGGAAGAGAAACGCCATTAGTCCGAATGTTTCCCCCTTCTTCCTTCTCCCAGTGTCATGGTTTGAGCCTGGTCGGTAGCCAACCACCATGCAGCCACTCCCTCTCCCTTCTCTTCCAGCAATAAGAAGGGACAGAGAGCCAGGCTTGGGGTTCGAGATAGGACTGGGATGGGGAAAAGTCACCCTTTATGGGCACAAGCAAAAGGCAGACTCCTTAGGGCAAGGAGTCATTTACATTTATTACAGACATTTATTACAGACACTAGCATACATACATTTATTACAGACACTAACAACACTTAACAGAGTAGGACAGTGAGAAGCATTGCCACATCTTGAGAACACCTTCCCCCCACCCCTCCCTTCTTCCCGGGCTCAGCTCTGCTCCTGATATCTCTACCTCCTCCCCCAGTGGCGCAGGGCCAGGGAATGGGGGGGTTCAGTCAGTGCTGCTGCTTCTTCTTCCATCTTCAGTGGGGGGAGCTTCTGGAACTTATTCCCCTGCTCCATTGTGGTCCCCCTCTCACAGAAGACAGTCCTCCACCAACTTTCTTCAACAGGAGTTCCTCCCACGGGCCGCAGCGTTCCCCACACTGCTCTGTCGTGGGTCACCAACTTTCTCCAACTGGAGTCCCTCCCACGGCTGCAGCCCTTCCCGAGCTGCTCCAGCGTGGGACACCCCCGCATGCTGCAATCCTCCCAGTGCTGAATTACAGCAGCGGGGCTACCTTTTCCCACAAGACCCTGGCCTTCTTCAGGCACAGCACCTTGCTCATCCAGGCGAGAAACACAGGCCATAAATCAGTGTCTGCTCCATCGTAGATCTCCATGGGTGGCAGGGGGGGCCGCCCTGCCGTCTCACCACAGGATACAGGGGGGGTCTCTGCTCCGGCACACCTCCCCCCTCCTTTCTTCCTCCGTTCCTCCACTGACCTTGGTGTTCACACAGCTGCAGCAACTCCTCCTCACAAGTCCCACTGCTCGTCACCACGTCCCTTCTTAAATACGTTATCGCAGAGGTGCAGCTGATTGGCTCGGCCTTGGTGCAGAGGCAGAGCTGACTTGGAGCTGGGGGAGCTTTGAGAAGCTTCTCGCAGGGGGCCGCCCTGATAGCCCCCTCCCCTGCCACCAAAAAACCCGCCACTCACTCAGCCCAGGACACCCAGCTCTATATGCTGAGCATGACATCATATGGTGTGGAATATCCCTTTGGTCAGTTGGGGTCAGCTGTCCCGGCTTTGTCCCCTCCAAACTTCGTGCGCACCCTCAGCCCTCTCACTGATGGGGCAGGCTGAGAAGCAGAAAAGGCCTTGGCTCTGTGCAAGCACTGCTCGGCAACAGCTAAAACATCCCAGTGTTATCAACTCTGTTTTCAGCACAAGACAGAAGTCTAAGGTACATGATACTTCAGCTTGTAGTGTGGAATATGTAATATTTAAATATGTTTTATTTACTCTATGTTTAGCTAAGGCTAAGAAACCACAAACCTGAAATCTCTGATACCTATTAATACTATGCTGTTTGGTTTTTTTTTTTCTTCACAGGTGATATTTTTAGATGACTCTGTGTCATCTTTCATACAGATTCGAGGATCTGTTCCATTATTTTGGGAACAGCCAGGCCTGCAGGTAAGCAGGAGATAGATTTAATTATACAGATAATTCTTATTCATGTCTTTTTAAACATCTTACAGTAGCATTTAGACTCTTCTGTTAGGATGAGATTATCCTTTGGGAGCAAGTTGGTGCTATTGTTTAATTCACCAAGCCTGCTACTCTTGAGCCTCTGAATGCGGTTTTGCACAAGATTTGAATATCTGTTGCTCTTTACATGTTTTCTCTTTGAAATTCTGGGGTTTTCTGTTTTAATTTAAATTGCTATTTTAAAACAGCTTATCTAAGGGCATCTAAAGAGCATGTTTTCTTCTGAATTGTTCTTGAGGATAAGTCTTTTCAAGTAGTGGATATAATATAAGTGGATAAGTGATATAATTTAGATATAATTACTGTAATATAATTTCATTCCAGTTTTCCTGAAAGAGGGTTTGTATCAGCAATTACTACTCTGATACAATTTTTACAGGGAAGATTAAAAGAAGTTCATGCCTCACAGTAACTCTAGGGTCTTTAAACTAGACATACAAGCATTTTGCAATAGAACTGCTGAAACATTTACATGCCTTCTACTCAAAACAAGAAGTAATTAGATGATATGACTAGGTATATTGAATAAAAAATGTGTTTTTTTAGGAAAAAGTGGAATTTAAGAAAAACCTATAAAAAGAATGCACATCATAGCAAGCAGAATAAATTTGGGAGGTTTCATTTAGAAAGTGAAATGAATTTTTAGGCCACATTTAGGATCAAAACAGGTCTTTGAAGAATGGTTAATCAAAAGTGTAAAGGCATAATTTAACATAATCTTCATGTCATAGGTGGGATCCCATCGTGTCAGAATGTCAAGGGGTTTTGAGGCGAATGCACCAGCTTTTGACAGGTGAAAGAATGTCTTAAATTTTTGTTACTGCACTACAAAGCTCTGATAAGTCATGCATCAGAGGGATGGTATATGTTATTCCAAACAGGAGGCTTTGTGTATAGAAACGTGTGATTCAGGAAAGCAGTGAACTGCGTGGGCAGCTTTTTCAAACTTTTACAGAATTGCTTGTACTTTTGAGTGCCTTGTTGAAAAGTTTGAAGAAAATTTAAAATAGCGAAATACTTTGTTAGATTTAAACCAAAAATTACAGCATGTTTACATTGAATAATCTGTATTTGTCAGCTGCTGTATCAAGTTTATATTTTGATTTTATTCCTGCCATGAAACTTCAGCTTCACAACCTTACGATTTTAACTAAATGTATGTTGTAAAATTGGTGCTCTTATCCTAATTAAATAGCAGTCAGTGGTTGTATGCTATTATTAAATTATATTGATTTGTTTGGACATGACTTAATATAAGGCTTGCAGCAGTTATTAGAGTACCCTGTACATTTCTACAGCCTCTCAGTCAGCGTTGCAGGTGTTTGTTAATTTTTCTGCATGCCAGTAGATGAGCATGCAATTTTATTTCTGTTAACAGGCATTTCCAAACTCTTAAAAATTTATATGGCAAGCAAATTATTGTAAATTTACTTGGGGCAAAAGAAGGGGAGCACATGCTCAGCAAAGCTTTTCAGGTGAGTATGACAATCCTCTAACTGTGCATATCCTTGGAATTTGCTTTTGTTTGCAATGAAGCATTTATATAGCCTTTGAAAAATGAAACAGATATACTGTGCTCTGGAGCCAACTACCCCTTGTGGTTAAAATTTTATTTATCATAGAAGCACTGCTTAAGATACATAACATGAAATTAATTTTCAAAAGGTCTACATACAATTAGTGTTTGGTTATGTTCAGGTTGGTTACTTTACTGAAAAATTAGAACAGCAACATAGACAATATTGAGGGATTTTCAGTTATTTTCATATTTCATGCTTACTAGTGGTTTATTTAAAAAGTAAATCTTCTTTGCTTTATAAAATTGGTGAATAAAAAACTTATACTTTGTGGTATTTAATACTGCGATGTTTCTTTTGAAAATCATTCCCTTGGAATTCCTGGATATATTCCTTAATATTTTTTTAAACAAATCAGAAATTAATTTATCAACTTAAACATAAAAGCTACTTCATAATTGAACCTAAATGTTTGTTCGGAAGATGTAAATTGTAAGTGGCCATTTTCATGAATTCCCACTGGGTTAAAAATAACTGTCATATTGTAGTCCATAAATACTGACAATTTGAGAAGTTCTGTCTGAAGCCAGAGAACATGTCAATAGCCATCTGTTATTTTCCTTTCCCTTTTCCCTTTGTATTATAATGGTTGAGTATCTTAGGCTGTTCACTAGTATCTTCCCTGTACCCAGCTATCCTGGTAGGAGATACTGGTGTTCTCAGATGCATATTAATGCCCAGTGCAGATCATAGCTTCGCCAACAAAGACTGTGTGAGCACTTCAGGATTTTTTCAGGGAGTATTAGGGAAAGTTTCGCTCAAGCCACCCTCCACAACAACCTAAATAATTTGTCTGGTTTTTTCAGTAGTAGTTTATGGGGTGTTTACTCAGTCCCTGTTACTGGCAGGTATGTCTAAAATGCTGACTGTTAGTGAAAGGGGTTTCCACTGAAACAGCTCTTTGCGAATCAAAGCATTTTGACAGTAGAAGACACTGTAGACTTTCTTGATGACCCCTAGTGTAGTAAGGAAAAAACTGACCTTGATTGTGACAAGAAGAAACAAAGGTGAAATATTACTCAGTTCTGAGTCATTTGTTGAACAATAGTAATAAAAACGGTTTAATTTTACCTAAGAGAAAGCATGTAATAAACAAGATAGCTAATAAAATAGTTTTAAAATATCTGTAGACTCTTATTTAGCTTATAGTACTATATGTGCAGATATTGGTATATTTATACTTTTTTCTTCTCTTTTTACGTCAGAACCATTTGAAAGCATCTGAACATTCAGCTGATATCAAAATGGTCAACTTTGACTATCATCAAATGGTTAAAGGTGGAAAGGCAGAAAAACTACACAGTGTGCTTAAACCTCAAGTCCAGAAATTTTTAGAGTGTGGATTTTTTTATTTTGATGGAAAGGAAGTTAAAAGGTTTGTGTGTATAACTTCTGTAAATTTGTTCAGATTAAATTATGGTTCTGGGATGCTTCTCGAACCGTAGCAAGAAGATAAGAGAAAAAAAATGTTACTTCTGTTACTGTGTTTTTATTGTGTCTAAGATGATGTTCAACAACTGAAATACAAGTTACTTTTTGAAAATTTTGTTGTTCTGAATATGCTCTAAAAATCTTAATGGAAAATATATCTGAGACATTGATGTTGCATGACTTAATTTCAGGCCTTTGACCTCATGGTTTTGGTGAAAATGGGCAATTGTCCTTTTTTTTCTTGTGTATACCCACATGGGATTAAAGAATGAATATTTTTCCATCTGTCTGTATAATATTATTAATATTTTCCTCAGCAACTAAGCATGTAATTATCTGTTTATTATAAATGCTGATGTTCAGCGCAGTCTTTTTCTAAATCTGTTTGCATCTGAATCCCCCATTTGAGAGATTCAGTTCTCCACAAAGTATGAATGGCATGCATGTTTTCTGCCCTGCTTTGTACTTCCCAGTCCTGCTGTACTTGTACTTCTGTCCCTATTTCCCCACCTCTCTTCCTAGAGCAAAGGCTGTGTTTAGCTCAGCAGGAAAAAGGAAGCAGGGCTAAAAGTAGGCAACATTCTTGCTCTTCTCCCTTCCACATCCTTCCTCCTTTTAATACCAGAGCAAACTGCTGAGTGAGGTTTTCCATGAGGAAGAGAATTGTTGAGTGAGGGGACTGTGCCATGTGCAGTGGGGTTTCATCTCCTAGTGCAGTGGGAGAGAAGAGGGTTCCAGTACCACACTGTGCTCTAGCATGGCTCTGGGATTAAATCACTCAGGGGCAGGTTTTAGTAGGCCTGAATAAGATTAAATTTAGTGGGAAGGTGCTTAAGTCTCATCTCCACCTCAAAATGTCACTGACCATTCTCCAGAAAGCTTTAAAAGTGTTGTGACACTGTGTTGGGAGAACACCATTTGGTCTTGATGGAGATTCAAATGATATTATCACCCATCAAAAAAACGGACAACAGAACAAAAGCAAAATAGGCTGTGGCTTGTTACAGCTTGAAGAATTGTATTAATAAAAGATACAGTGGTAATTTTTATAAGTTCATGGACCATCTCCTCTGTAGAGTGTCAGGGTTTTTTCTAACACAGCAAGTTGTTTTGTATTTAAAATCAAATACAGAGATAGTAATGAGAAAAAAGTAATCTTGGAGAAACTTCTTCAAAACTTTCTGCAATTTATGGTTAGATCTCCAAGTAAATGTGATGAAGCCTTACTGACTTAATAGCTCCAAGTGTGTAGTGGGAATGACGAAAGTAAGGAATAAGTGTGTACCATTGGGAGAGCCAGCAGAATTTTGTACTCCTAGCCAGGCAAGAACAACATGGATGTTGTTGATACGATCCTTCTGAGAGCCCCAGAGCATGAGTTAATGGGCTTCTCCCAAAGAACGGGGAGCAATTCAGAGTGCCTGAGGGCCTCAAGCATCTGTTGAGCTAAGGGGGAGAGGCTTATTTTTCATTTTTATTTGGGGAGGAAAGAGAAAGTAATGAGTGGTTGAAATTGGCTTTAGTTTTATCACAAATTCTTGTTACTTTTAGTTTAGTTAAACAAATTCAAGAACTGTCCCAGTATTTTTTTTTTTTTTTTAATTTTTGTTTTAACTAAGAGTTATTATTTCCCTCTGTGATTCTTGGGAAGTGTGTTAGTTGGATTGTTTGAAAAGAAGACTTAATGCTGCATAACACTTTAACCAAGAAGCAAGGAGAATTGAGAAAAACTGAAGAAGACTCATGTTATTTGGAGAAAATAAATTAGTTTTGTATAGTGAACACTGCTGCAAAATTCACTGCTGTTATTGGAGCTAACCCTCTATTGCTGACGTATTTTTAAACATACTTGTCAGTGCAATGTTACTGTCATCACAATACCCTGATTTACTGTTCTGGTTCAGATCTTGATGTCCCTGTCTTTGTTGATGGTATGTGCGTTAAATGAGTTATTTCAGTTGTTTTCTCTCTCTGTCTCTCATTGTCCTTGGCACAGATCTCAAAGTGGTACTGTCAGAACAAACTGCTTGGACTGTCTGGATAGAACAAACAGTGTGCAGGCTTTCTTTGGCTTAGAGGTAGGAAAACCAGTGTCCAGATACACAACTGCTCTTAATGCTTTTGTAGCCGTTAAGCTGTAAAAGTAGGATTACCTTCCCTATGAAAGATGAATTCAAATATTTCATGTATGGCAGTTTGATTTATAGCGTGATACTTTTTTTCTTCTGGGGCAACCATATCTTAGTAGTTACAGAAGCAATAGTTGTATAGTAGTTGCAATTAAACAGTAGTCATGCAGCATTATGAAAAATGTTCATTCTTTTTTTTGTGTCCATTTCTTATGTCTTTTAAGGTTCAGTCTTGCAGTTCTAGAAGCGGTAGTAGTGTTGCAGTCCTTCACAAAAACACTTGCATTCACAGTTACTCTATTAGATTATGTTCTTCCACATATTTGATTATTGTTCTTAGCATCTGCCAGTGCTGTGTATTCATATTTTCACAGCATTGTACTGTGAATTCTTCATGGGACAATACCATGGTTGAGGCTTTGGCCACACTCAGATTGGGTAGTCGGAAAATAACCATGGGATTCAGTCCTCCTGCAGGGTTGTGCTTCGGCGTATTGGCTTGCTATTGAAACAAAGGTTCTAACCTCTAGGCTTATATAGTAGAGCTTGAACACATGAACTTCATAGGAATTGATGGAGTAAATAGTACTGATTGTGTTAAAAGAGTAGTTCTTTTGCGTGTTGAGAAAGGAAAAATTATGGGTGCTGTAACATACAATTTAGTAAAAGGATTATTCTTTTTTTTCTGAATTTTATTTAATTAAAATGCTCTTGTTTTAGTGGCTATAGGAGGAATTTCTTTGAGAACTGCAAAATCCATTGACTGCTATGTATGCGTTTACCAAGTGAACACTGTTGCCAGTTCATGGGTGTTTTAGTCAAGCAGAATACTGAACCGTTTACCCTCATGCAAATACTCAGAAAATTTTTCTCTTAACATTCACCATCAGTACATACTCTAGCAGATACAACACAGTTTGAGAGACCTAGTGCCTTTTTTCTTCATTGTTTCAGATCTGCATCTACCATAGGGGGTCTCACCTTTTAATTACTAAAATTAAGAAAAATAATTCTTACTCTTTTCTTTAGTTCATTGTGTGTTGAAAAGAGTAGTGTCATGCTTTGAAAATCTCACAGCATTGTATTGCATTAAATAGTTTGTATATCTGTCCATCCTGTATTGACCTTGCGAGGGGAGAGACAAATGATTACCTTAAAGTCTTTCCTGGTCCTGCACCTGTTTGCTGGAGTTTAACACTTCACTGCAGATAGAAATGCAAGCTTGAAGTAAACCGTTAGGCTATTTTAAATGAGCCATGAGAAACATTGCCTCTTGTATTTTATTGGTAATACTATAGTTTTCTATAGCATAAGAATACATCTTTATACACTCTTAATGAGTATAGTACTTACATGGCAAACTTAGCTTTGCAGCTCTATTTTATCTTTCTTATCCTATTAAGAACTAAAAAAAGAAAGAAAAAAAAAGACAGTATTTAATCCAGATTAAATACTGTCTTTTTTTTTCTTTTTTTTTTTAGACCAGGTGTGCCAAATCTTTCCTTGGTGAAAGCTAAATTATGATCTCAGCTAAAATATGAGAGCTAAAAGTATAAAACTAATTAAGGAAAATGCTAAATCCTCATGAGCTGCTTACATGAGATATTTAAATTCCTTTTTTAACATGATAGATACTTGATATAACAAGTACTGAGCTCTGGATGACCACCTACAATTACAAGATGAAGCACCCAATTTCTGAAGCTTCTTTTCGTGTTTATTTCTACTTAATTTTGTCTGCAAACTTCCTTTTCTAACTTTTGTTAATTCCTGCCCAAACTTCAGAATTCTACCTTTGTCATTTTATGTTCATCATTTTAGACTCCTTCTTGCCACTGGACACATCCAGGTTTTAAAGATTTTTTTTTTTTTTTGAAAGCTCTTGAAAATAGCTCTTTTTTTTTTAGTTCTTTATATTTATTTTCAGTATTACATTGGTAACCACAGACACTAGGAAATAACTTGACTTTTTAAAAATAATCGTGATTCCATAAACCAGGATTTCAGACAGGGTCCAATGTCCCATTCTACATCTGTGAGCATAGTGCTACATTTAAGTAATGTATTTAAATGAAAATGAATACATTTATAAGTATTATATGTATACAGTTTAAATGCATTTAATGTAGACTGTGCATCATGGAATATTTATGGAGGCATATTGATTGTAAGGGTAAAGATTGCAGTGTCTTATGCATGAAAACAGAGTGAAAGACAGAAGCCGTTGCTGTTTCACTGATCATAGAGCTCTGTTGCTGCTGCATTTGATAATAGAAGTCAGTGTGATGTTACGCTTTTTTGGGAAGAACACAAATTTCTCTAATTCTAAATTATGTAAGTAGAAAGACTTGAGAACCAAAAGTAACTTACCCTGTAACTAGTGAATTTTTAGAGGAAAATATTTACATATCAACTACATCATTCTTTTCCCATATTGCTACCTATCTTTAATAGAAAATGAAATGCTGGTGCTAAAGTTACATGCATGATGCAGCCTTTCAAATGTGACATGGTGTCAGTTTGTTTAGAATTCCAAAGATTTTTTTGTTTGTGTATATATGCTGAAAAAATATAATTTACCTTTTAATAAATACATTTAAAGATTTTTCTTTTGCGAATGTTGTCTTCAACTGTTGCAGATGCTAACAAAACAACTGGAGGTATTAGGACTAGCTGAGAAGCCTCAGTTGGTTACTCGCTTTCAGGAAGTTTTTCGATCCATGTGGTCTGTGAATGGTGATTCTGTCAGTAAAATTTATGCTGGAACTGGAGCCCTTGAAGGAAAAGCTAAGGTAAAGGACATTTTGTTAAAAACTTTAGCAGTATCCCATATAGGTTTTAAAGAATTCTATCAATAATATAACAACTATGAGATTTTCTTTTTTAAAATGTGCTTTTGTTGTAATCCTAAGAAAACAACAAACCAAATAAACAAAACAGTAACATAAAAAGGTTGATTATGTTGATACGCCAGATTTTGTTTCAGTTCATCCTTTCTCAGCCATGCCCTTGCCTCCCACATAACACCATCCTGTAGGAGAGGATGAGGCTCAAAGCTTCCATTTCTTTAGGTCATAGTTCAGAAAAATCTATATTCAAAACAGTTTTAGTTTCTTTGAATATTTTCATTTTTGTCTCTGTACCTCTGTCTCCTATTGTTTTCGTTTCATTTACTGTATCTCCTTTCTTTTAAAATGTGTTTCACTGGATGTAGTTGTTTGTGCTTTTAGTGTTTATTAACAGTGTTAAAATTAAATGGGTTGCATCTGGGTGTTTTTTGTTTGCCTGTTCCTCCAGCTATTTCTGTTTAGTTTTGCAATTACTGGAAAAAACCCAAATTCTGTTTCTACCTTACTTTCTAATGTTGTGTAACAATTCCATACTACTTGACAGTGTAATGCTTTATTTCTCTTCAACTTGCTTTATCTTTGTTGATGCTTAAATTGTTCAGGTTTTCTAATGCTATCTTTTATTTTTCTTCTAACAATGTTGCTTTTTTTTTGTTTCCATAATTCTCTCTCTTATCAGTTGATACCTGTCAAGACAAACAAATGTTGAACCATAACAATTTTTGCCCTAAGTTCTTTCAAGAATTTCTTTTCATACCATTCTTTTTATTCAAGAATGTGATTCTTCTCATTCCATATTATATACTATTTACTCATAGTTGACTGGTTTGTTTTTCCATCGCTTGTTCATTCAAACCGTATCAGGGTCCTTCTCTGTACAAGGCATCGCAGTAAGCTACTTAAAAGGAAAATAAACAAAATGGACTTGTTGCTTATTTTACCCTTAATTTGTGCATGCAAGACTTTTTAATTTGGGAATTGCTTGTATTTATAGAGTGGAGTTTGGTTAAAGATGTTTAATTTTATTTTCTTACAAAAATGTCACCCAGACCATTAGTAAAACTACAGTAAGTATTTTATGGGATGTTTCCCCTTCTCCTGACTTTCTCATTCAACCTTACTAGGGTTTTTTTTTGTAAATTAATAGTTTTCTACCATTCATTTGGCTACTTATATTTTTTACTTTGAAAAATCCATTTGCTGTATTTACACTTCCATTTTTAATGTTTACAACACAGAGTACATTTACTCTGTTGTCTTTGTGATAACACAGGATCCCTGCCCTGGTACAACTGTTAATGAGTACCATATCTCATAAATCAAAGACAGCGTCCCTGACAGAAGTCCATCTATTGGAAGAGGATCTTTCATACTTGCAAAGCCATATAATACTTCCCATTGTTTCAGTGAAACCTGACCAGGTCACTACTCAATATCTTCTTGAGTACTCCAATAATTTATTTTGAAATATAGTTTTTAAGTTGTTAGTTGTATTCTCATTTCTCAAATGAAAAGTTTGATGGTTGAAATTTCTTGCTCGTCAGTTTGAATCTTCAAACTCCGAGAGTACTTAGAAGTAAGAATATGGAAATTCAGGATAGGAGAAAATATATTTTAACCTTAAATGTGTTAATATATATTTCTATACTGAAAAACAGTCCTTTTTTAAAGTTTTATAATACTTGTTACATCTAACTCTTTACCTACTCTTTCTTTTGCTTTCTCTGGGTTCCTTTCAATTAATTGCCTCATATGTGAATGGTGAGTGTGTTTTTTGGATCATAAGTTATACATTGTCTGACAGAAAGGGAGCAGCATCCTATTGCAGTAGTATGCTCCCCAACACCTCATCCACATTGTCTTCCAAAAATCATGGTGCCAATTTACTACTACTTACCCTTGACAAGAGAGTAGTTTCTTTCTTGTTGTTTAGTACAATTCATAGAACCTAATGATGGATTATTTTGTAGTTTTCTTAAGCTTTTGGGTTTTTTTCTTACGCATTTAAGAGACCTGCATGAACAATGCAAGCTGTAAACTTGGAGTATTTTTTACAATAATATAATACCATGCAGCATCCCTGATGGATTATGGTCTGTATTTCATATAAATGCAATAGCATATGTTTACGTACACCTCTCAAGCAAAATACACTTAATGTGCCTAAGACACAGTAAACTATGTAATCGAGAAAATGTCTTTGTGCTTGTCCTTGTTAGTGCTGTGTACACAGATTAACACTGCTGGTTTTTGAATCAAGTATGAGACTGCATGAGATGTTGATTACATTATCCTCTAGGTGTCTGACCCACAGGGAATATCTGTTATAGCCACGTGTGTGCAGTGTGTGCATCAATGTCTTTGTATGTATGTAGCTATAGAGTAGTGTGTGTGTTCCTTCTGGGATACTGCATGAGACTTGCATGTTATTTTAAAAAGTTAAGGGGTCTTAGTAAGTTGAAGCTATCTCTTTTTTTTTTTTTTTTTTTAACATGGATATTTCAGAATGTGTATTCTGAACTAATATGCTCATATGTGCCTATACATACATATTCATGTATCATGACATTTGGACTCAAGTGCTTACTCATCTCTCACTATTTGGGGAAAAGCCCAAAATCCCGTATCATGATCTAAACATGGCACTATATCAATTTAATTTTTGAAGTCCAAGAGTTTAGGAAAAAAAAAAACAACTTATTCCCCTCCCTGTAGTATTTTGTCTAATTTAAAAAATTTAAATTGGAATAATTTGGTTGTTAGATATGCCTTAAGGTAATACTGTGTTGTTTAGCATGTCAGGATGGGGAGAAAGCACACATAGTACAGTAGGCTCGGAAGACTTCATTTAACACTTAAGGAAATTGCCGTAGATTTTAAAATCATTAATGCAGTTTACAGATATGTTACTGAATATTGCCAATGTTATTGTAAGCATTGTCCGACATAAAATATTTTATACGTGTTCCTCCCTAACAGGCTGGAAAGCTGAAGGATGGTGCTCGTTCTGTGACCAGAACGATTCAAAATAACTTTTTTGATAGCTCCAAGCAGGAGGCCATTGATGTTTTGTTATTGGGAAATACCCTAAATAGTGATTTAGCAGATAAAGCACGGGCTCTCTTAACCACCAGCAGTTTACGCGGTATGTGTCTTTCAGGATTTTAATCTGTCTGATAACTATTTGGTGTAAGAAAGCTGTATGGAGTCTGTTTTCAAAGCAATATTGGAAAGTATAAATGCTATTTTATGTTCTGTTGGCTTATTAAAAGATGAAAATTACTTCTGCTTTACTAATATTACCAAACTAACCTTCTGCAGTATTTTCTTTACTGTTTATATTTTGTTGATGTCTGGTGGTGTAATAAGTAAATAAGAGCATATTTGTCAGAAATTCACTATAGATTCATGTTAGATGTGTTCTGTTGAGTTCTTCAAATCCATTTATAGCACGTGTTAACCATGACAATTACATGCTGAAATTGGGAAAAAAATCCTGATTTATTAAGATACTAGATTTTTTAATTGTTTACCAAATGTCTTCCTTAATTTGATCTGTCATGTCAGTGAAGAAATTCTCATCATGGTCTTAACTAGATAGAAAGCATTTATTATTTTCTCAAGCTTAAGAATGTTGGTATTTAGCTTCATTTTGGTTTCTAAGATACTGAGGAACAAAAAGGGTTTTGCTAATGGAGGAAAATTTGAGATAACAGCTATCAGAAAACTTCTGATGAATGATTTTCCATTACAAAATGTTTTTTTGTGAGAAGAAATTTTTCCCAGGAATGTGTGCACCACAAGAGCTTGTCAGGCTGTAGGTGAAATTCTACATCAGAATCAGAGAGATTTCAATAAGAAACTCTGCTTAGGTGGAGTAGCCATGTGGGACTTGGGTGGTCTGGTTACAGGTCAGTGGTTCACGTAATCAGAACAGGGAGCTGAACCACAGCATCCTGCATCCCCAAACAGAGATACAGCCTTCATAGCTGCCAGGACTACAGTCATGTCCCATCCTTCTGCAGGGAAATAGTAAGTGGGCCAGGTGTAGGGCTATGTTTTAGAGTACTCTCCTGGGGTATAAAAAATAGAGGAGTTAATTCTTGGGCAAAGAAGGAACTTAAATTTGAGTCTTCTTTCCAAGATTCCAGGTAAGACTGTCCTAAATGATGGGTTATTGCCATTTTGGGGGTTTAATAACATTCTTACTTGTCGCTTTTCTTTTTTTCCCCCCCTTTCTCCTGAACACTTCTCAAGCTAGAATGAGAAAAATGTTTCAAAGCTTCAGTGCAAATCTGTGGCACAAGGAAAAATATTCTTGTCTAATTGTAGTCTTCATCTTGTAGTTATTTATACATTTCCTATGTGGAACCTGAAGGACTGTTTTCCTCTCATTTCTTTACCACAAGGTTTCACGTATTGTAACTTTTCCTGTATCTGAAACCTGCTAAATCAGCCTTACCTCAAAATTAGTTGAAAGTCATTTTAGTTTCTTCTCACTTCCTCTGTGAATGCAAGCTGTCCTTTCAATTTTTGTGGTTTCTGTCAGCTGAGGAACATTAATCCCTCTTCACTGGACATAATGTCTGCATTGTCTACTAGGTGGTGAATGAACTAGTGAGATACTTCATCATATGTAAATCCATTATTAATAAAGTAAGAAAAGAAAATTTGTTAATACTATTGTGGAACTTTTTAGATTTTGCAGCATAATAGAAGTGTATTAACTGATGCAAATGGTTAGGTGTAATAAATTGTATATTACAGCATGTTCTCTCACATATTGTTGGAAAATTTTAAAATACAATTGCTTGACTAATTTTTTTCTTGTTTCCTTCTTACTGCATCCGTAGTTTCAGAGCAATCATTACAATCAGGTATAGTATAGTAAATTAAGCTGTAAATATCTGAGCAGCTCTTATTCTTCTCTGGCTTTTTTCTTGTGCCTATTTGCATAATATTTGGTTGTGGGCTCACATTTTCCTAGTATGTTTGGATCTGTCATTCCTGTGCCCCAAAATGCCTTAATCCAGGAAAAGCTCTTTAATACAAGAAAAGTGAAAATATAAAGGGTGAAAAATGTTGCTAGTTGTGGTTGGGTGTGAGTTATGAACAGAGGCAACCATTTCTTTGGGGTTTATTTTTGCAAATGTTTTATTCTAGCTGTAGAAGAATTTTGGGGTTTTTTTATGTTTTGGGAGCTTCTGTATTTTTGTTTCGTCTAAACATTTTGTTTAGGATAAGAAGTTAAATTCCTCAGTACAATTTAAAACTTCATCTTATTTGCTGTTAGAAGACTCTACCTGCTTGTGTTTTTGCATGAGATGGACTGGTTTTGTAGTATCTCCCAGCAAAGGTCAATGTTGTACTGGAATAATCTGAAATAACATGCTGACACTTGCGTTTTGTGGAGCAAAAGTACAGTCTAAACCACCAAGATATGGTTACCTTGGCACGTGACACAAAGTGAAAGTATTAGACCATCTATTTAGGTAAAACTCCTAGTGAAGAGAAGGTCTGAAGAGGGAACTTTGCAATTAACTCCTAATCTACTTTGAGATATTGCAGTAATATCTTGATCAAAGTCTGTGATATTTGGCTTAAAATACGAGAGGTTGGCTTTGGAGGATTCATCAATACTGTGAATGTAAGGAAGCGATATATAATAAGAAGAATGTGTAGGGATGAGCCAGACAGGGCAAAATGACATGAAAGATCTCTTCAATTTAAGAAGCTTCTGAAAACTTAGTTATTGTCATTGTAAAATAGCAACATAAGCAACATAATGCCTTTGCAATTTGTTTTCAAAATTTTCTAATTCTTAGTGGAATTTCTCCTTTTTGTTGTAAATTAAGCTGTTTACATGAAGCTGCTCCGTTTGGTGAGATGCTATATATACATATTCCATATTTTTAAGGGAGAGCTGCAAGTACTTGTCAGCTGTGCAACACTTCATCATCTCCTTGCAAAGTTGTGCACAGTACACCCTGAACCTGTGTGCTCGGGTAGTAGCCACTAGCCTGGGGTGCTGAAGATTATCAGGGGAGGATGCTTGGAAGAAAGCATTAGAATTTGTTGTTGGCTAGACTGTTCAAATATATCTGAAGTGTTTAAAGCTTGTTTTTGTTTTTTTTTTTTTTTCCCCCCTTGGAAAACCACTTCAACTGTAATGGTTTTTTTGAGCTTTAAACATTTTTTCCCTTTATGTTCGTCTCAGCTTTGCCTTTCCTATTAGTTTTACTGTATCTACTTAACTCTTACTGAGTACTTCAATAATGAAGTCTGAGTTACAAGTAACACACACCTGAAATAACTGATTCACTGTCATTTTGTCAGTGTTAAAAACTGTTTATTGGAATAAAGAGTCACATTGTCATTTATGGTGTGACCATCTAGACTATATCAGCCTAGTTTATAACTCATGAAGAGTCATACATGTTAACTATTTAACTGATGTAACATTTTGCTGTGGGTAGCATCTGGATACAAATTGCATAAATTGAAACATATCTATAGTAATTTGGATGTTGTAGTATAATAGTTCAATCAAGTTCAGTTGCACAGAATATCCCACCAAGAATTTCAAGTTATATTCCCTTTGTAGAACTGATTTCCAAATGTCTGCCTACCTAGAATGGACAGCAGTTAAAGTAGTTTTGCTGCAAAATAACAGAAAATGTAATTGGTTGGATTTTTAACATTGCAGAGTGAGACGCAATTTTGTTGAAAAGATAAATAGCTAGAAATATGTAGGAAAATAATGTATGCGGGAGGCTCAGGAGCTCTGAAAAACAATTGGTTTACCAATTATTTTGGAAAAAAGATGAAAATATTTTCCTTCTTTTTTTATTTAAGCAAATTTAGAAAAAGAGTAATTCTACAATTTAGAAAGCTTGCTAGTTTAAAGGTATGAATTTTATGTTTGTATAAGGCATGTTGCCAGTTCACTTCTAAAATTATATTCTATCTGTGTCAAATTTTTCACATCAGGGGTTCATGACAATGTCAGGAGTTAAATAAGCAATAATTCAATTTTGCAGCTTTTCTTAAAAGCTGCTTGGTAACAAAAATTAATTATTCGGAGTAACTATTTAAAATTAAGCTGAAAATTGCTAAATTTGCAGACGTAAAAGAAGGAACTGAAGTGGAGAGAATAAAAGTCCAAACTCTGCTTTTAAACTTTCTCAGAGCACTACAAAGGCTAATCTGTGCATATCTTCAAAGCTGACTGTGATGCTGTTTTGAGTTCCTTGGGTTCAGCTAATCTTCTGGATGATTTGGGTACTTGTATATATGGTGGCTATGGTTCCTGGATTGGTTTCTCTTCAGTGGTCAGGTGCTTGGGTAGCTTCTGTCTTTGACCCTCAGAGGCTTTCCTGGAGTTTGGTGGACTTCTTGACTTGACTGTCACCTCTAGTGTGTAGATACATTCAGAAGTAGACTCGGTATTTGGCTCTAACCTGAAGGTGTAAAGTATTCTGTTGGCTCCTTGCTGTTTTCTTGACTTCATTTACCTGGATTATGACAAGGAAATCATACCCCCAAGCATGATCTACTTGTAGTATCCCAAGGAGACACCAGCCGGTTAATTGTCTTTTATATAAAATTAGCCCATAAATGGATATGATTTATTCAGCAGTGAAAGAGCTCACAAACAACAAATACAATATATTATTTTATTCTATTGTTTCCAGTTTGTTTCAAAACCATGAGGGCTAGAGAATCCTTGATTTTTGTTTTAATTGTGTAGCCAAGATTCTGTAGCAGATTTAAAGGTGATAATGACTAAAAAGACAACAACAGCTCACTAATCATACTGTTTTGGGGATTTGAGTGAAATTATTCTGCCCAGTAGCTGACCATTTTGCAAGACAGCACACAGTGAAGGAAAGAATTTCACGTAATAATGTTTATACAATTCTCACAGTCTCATAACCATGACAGTATTCAAAATAGGTAAATTAATATCACTTAAGTACAATTCAAACAATATCGTTTACACCTGACAGAATTTTTATTCCACTGAGATTAAAGAAAAAAAGGAGTATAATTTAAAAAAAATATTCAAATCTGTCCATTTGCATTAGGAAATATATCTCTGAGTATATTATGCAGCTGATTTATGAAGGGACTTTTAAAATCTCTGTAACTCCAGTGTATGACCATTGAATAATCCTTTTTTGTTTGTTTCTCACAGTGCCCTTTACAGATGGGTCATTACTCTCTCTGCCATCTGGCAGATAGAAACAAGGCACAGAGAAGGGCTGGTGTGACAGAGGAATTAGCTTAATTGTTTTGAATCCTAGCCTACTTTCCTCACTAAAGCAGAATTTTAGGAATTCAGCTGACCCAAAAAATAATTCAGTTTTGTGGTTTAAATAGACATACTCTAACATGATAAAATAATGTACCCTATCTATTTTAGTAAATGTAGTATATCAGTCATTTTTACACTTCTAGAAATTAACATATCTGTAAGTTGGTTTTGTAATGGAAATTGAACTTCATAAATGTAGTCTGTGAAAATGAGGTAGATATCTGTGCTGGCACGTATAAAAACTAATGGTTTCCATAGAGAATCACAGATAGGGTGAAAGAATGACAGATATTTATAAAACATAGAAATGATGTTTCTTTTATATATTATTTTTATATATATTACTTTGAACAAATTACTACTGTCTTTCATTCAGTTAGTATCCTACCCAGACAAGTAATATGTCTGCAAATGTACTTTTCCCTGTGAGCAGCTGCATTCATCTTGCTTTCACAGTTTAACTTTCTATATGTCTGTGCATGGATTTGTTGCCATTTTTTTAAGGGAAAGATCTCATTGCCAAGTTTGCTGAAGAAACATTCTATATAAAAATAATGCTTTTTCAAATGTTTTTACAGCATCTGTAAAAGTGCTAAAGAGTATGTGTGAAAACTTTTATAAGTATGCAAAGCCGAAAAAAATTAGAGTCTGCGTCGGGACGTGGAACGTCAATGGGGGGAAGCAGTTTCGAAGTATTGCCTTTAGAAATCAGACCCTCACTGACTGGCTTCTAGATGCACCAAAGTTAGCTGGTATTCATGAATTCCAAGGTAGGATTTGTATTCTGTCAATTTTTTCTTGAAAACTCTAATTTTCATAATTAGATCATAAACATTAAAATAGATATACGAGTTCTTGATTCTTAATTATAAACAACAAAGAGCCTTTTTAATATTTAAATGCAGATCGCAAAAGCAAGCCTGTAGACATATTTGCCATTGGATTTGAAGAAATGGTGGAGTTAAATGCAGGAAACATTGTGAATGCCAGGTAGGTGATACAATATATACAATACTAGTTTAGTTGATAATCACATTTTTTGAGTAAAACATTATTTAAAATTCTTTTTCTCCTGTTTTGTAATGGTTGGGATTGGTCTGGATTAATTTTTGACTGTATTCCAGTTCTCTCTGCCAGTTTCTGTGCCAGGATTGCAGGCTTCATCACAGATTTCTCTAGCAAAGCTATGATCACTTAGATCATGTATAATGTAATCTCAAGGATCCAAACAGTCAATACTTGACCATATTTTGGATTGCACCTTCAGCAGCCCCTCAACTTTTTCCTTCATTTAACACTTTGGAGGAATTTACTTCCAATGCTCATAGTGTTCTGCAGTGTCTGTGCCTTCCTACTGCTGGGAGCAGCAAGTCCTGTGAAATTCCTTCCAAAAGCATGTATTGTTGGTATGACTTTTATATAGTGTGTTGCATCAGATTTTGATCTGTGTAAAGCAAGGCTTCCTTCCATATTGTCAGTTTTTGCTGTCATTCCGTGTATCACATGTATCTATCATCATGGAGTTCACATTTTTTGCCCCTAGAGGAGTGGGTTATGAAAATATATTTTTACTAGTGATTGGTGATACCAGTGATGAAGTCTTTATGTGTAGTCCTGGGACTGTATTCACTTTGTCCATGGTTTTGTCTGCCTGTTTTGCATGTTTTCTGGTGTTTAGCAAGCTTCAACACAGCCTTTGCACAGGCTTTTGTCTTGCGGACAAAGTGGCAGTTTGTCATCACCTAATTTCACACTATGACTAGTTAACGCCGACTCCAGGTCTGATGTTTTTCATTTATATCCAATGTTAGCTCTGAAAACCATAGTCTACTACGTCTCCAAGGAAATTTTTTCTTGATTTCTTCTTCCAGTATTGGGTGAGCTCTGGGCTAGGAAGTAACTCCCTACAAAAATTCTTAGGTTTTGCTCCTCTAGTCAGAAATACAGGCTCCTAACATTGTCTGTGGTATAGAGAAAAGTAAGGCAGCATTTTACGAAGCTGAATTTGAAATGAAGGTGTCATGATAGTCTTACAGCCAGTGTCTCTGTTAAGGAAGCATTTGAGTACCATTCATGACTTGGCTTTGGCTCACTATCCCAAGGTTTAGTTAAGATTTGTATGAAGTTATTCAACTAGATCAACAGTTTATGTACCTGCTTAATTTGATTTCTTTTAAAACTGGTGTTTTTTAAATCTCACTGGTAGCACAACCAATCAGAAGCTCTGGGCTGCTGAACTGCAGAAGACTATATCAAGAGATTACAAGTATGTGCTGCTGGCTTCTGAGCAGTTGGTGGGCGTCTGCCTTTTTGTGTTCATCAGGCCCCAGCATGCTCCTTTTATCAGGTCAGTGAACATACAGCTGTGCCCAAGCTGGGTCACCTTCAGTTTGCTTTGTATTGCAAGCTAACATAGAAGTGTACTAAGAAGCATATGGGACTCTGAAAGAACAGTTCCATCTTCTGAGGAACTAGTTGCTTGCATTTTTTTATCGTAGTTTCTAAATGCCTCATCAATTGCCAAGAAAGCTTGAAAAGCTGAAGTGTTATATTGTTACCTGCTCAATAGCTGTTGGCATTTTTAAAAAATAGCCCAGTGGGCTTGCTGCTGAAAGAACAATGTGAAAATGTTCTCTTACCAACACAATGTCATAATTATGTCATACATACTTAAGGCTGTTAACTACTGTGCCATTGTATTTGAAGGTGTAATAGTTGTTTAACTCTTTCAGGGATGTTGCTGTTGATACTGTAAAGACTGGGATGGGAGGAGCCACTGGTAATAAAGGTGCAGTAGCAATTCGGATGTTGTTTCATACATCCAGTCTTTGCTTTGTCTGCAGTCATTTTGCTGCAGGTCAATCACAAGTTAAAGAGAGAAATGAAGACTTCGTAGAAATAGCTCGCAAGCTTGGTTTTCCAATGGTAAGCAACAGTGTTCAAATTCCATAATGAATGAGAAGTTAAACCCTTTGAGCTCCAGCAGTGTCATCCAAAAGCTCTGTTTGGTTGGTTGGTTGTTTTTTTCCCCTCCCCAGATTCCTGTGGAAATCAGATTTCCTTGAGTGAGAAGTCTCAGAATTGATCAAGTTCCCACAATTTTTATTAAAATAGATACAGAAAGAATAGACCTTTCCAGTGCAATGACTGATAGAGATGGAGAAGTGTGAATTCACGTGCATTAGGCATCAAGGATTTACCATAGCAAAACCACTATAGGATTCTATGTGAATCTATAAAGATTTATATGATATGCAGTAGACTGTTGTAGGCACCGGAGCTAATCAACTATGAGAAAAAAAATCCATGGGAAACAGCACCATTTTCAGGACACAAGAATGATTTTTAACTCATTTTAACTTCTTGTTTATTCATTTTTGTCAAGTTGAATTGTACAGTTCTGTACTATATTCTCATAAAGAATTATCAAACACCAAGTAAACACTTGATAATTTTATCAGTGCAACGAAATGCTTCCTTGAGACTTAAAGCTGTCTTAAATTTTGTAGTCAAACTGTCTTTTGTTAGTTTCTATGCAGGAGCCTGACATTGTATTTTACAGGGGTTTTTTAATTTCTAAATTTGTTCCCATGGTTATGTTTCAGTTTTTCTTGAAAGTACTGCATTCTTATGGTCCCCAGAAACAGCTTCCTAAATCTGCTTTGATTTACTTAAGGGCAATGGAAAAATCAAACAAAGAGGGAAGTGAAAGTTCTCACTTTAAACCCCAGGCTTTGTTTAAACTAACAGAGCCCTTCTGTTTCTCCCTAGCCATGAAAATTGTATGTAACTGAAAAGTCGTCTTCAATTAAATCTGAATAATAAAGCCCTTGATTTGCAGTTTGTCAGGATATTGTGCCACAAGATCCCAGGGTAGTGTTTTGTTCTCCTTTGTAACGTCTTTGTGACACAGGTAGCAGTCATCATCTTAGAGCAGACTTCTAAAACAGGAGTTGAAGAGTTTTAGAATCCAATTCAGATGATTCATGTTTCTTTAGAAATGCAAACTACATAAGGAATGTTACTTCTTTCATATTCTGTATGTGTGAATACCATATGGTTGGCTATGTTGTTCTAACCATATGAACACTAAATACTAACATATATTTCAGTTGTCCTCATCAGCTAGATATGATGCATATTTTACAGTTAAAATCTGAACTTCTGCACCTGGAAGTAGTAAATTTGTCACTTGGTTGTTTTTAACTTCACTGTGTGTTTCTGTTTGACAGGGAAGGATGCTCTTTTCCCATGACTATATCTTTTGGTGTGGTGACTTTAATTATCGAATAGATATTCCAAACGAGGAGGTTAAGGACCTAATACGACAACAGAACTGGGATCCCCTTATTGCAGGAGACCAACTTATCAATCAGAAAAATTCTGGACAGGTATCTTAAAAATGTTACCACACTTAAGAATGCTTCAGTTTTCTTTTTGGCTTTAGGAAATTTCTCTGGTGCTTCTGTAAATCTGTATCCTCCTCAGCATGTTTTACTTCCCACTTTTGTCCAGGTAGTGGTATGGAAGGGTGGGACACAGCAACATTTAGTGACTTACTCATAGTAACTGACCTGAAGAGGCAATGATACAAATACAGTGACTAGCTGTAGGAGTGAAGCTTTTCTTTCTCTCCTGAAAAAAAAAGGGAACTCTGTCATTTCTTTAGAACTTCCAGTTGGAGTTTACCAAATGTAATATTTTTTCTCTTTATCAGGTGCAATTATTTTTAAAAATATTTACAGAAGTTCTTCTGGTAATGTTACTGTTTACTTTAAATTGCTGCAGTAATAGGTCTAATGCTGTTACTGTCATTCTGTTGGAAAAAAAAATAATCCGAATGGTAGCCTTTTTACTTACAAAGGGCATGGAATAACAGTCTGAAGAGATCTTCAGATTTACGATTTTTAGGGTTTCTTGCAAGGCAGCATGTAGCAATTAAAGGAATATTTGTAATGAATCAAATTTTGTATGAAAGTGTATATTCTTTCTTTCCAGCTTTATGTGGGAATGCTGTAGATGGTAAAATGAGAGACAATCCTCTGTTGTCAGTTTTGTCTGCTTGCCAGCACTTTGATCATAAACAGTGTTTCTTCTGAACTAGAGTTTTCTTCCATTTGTGCTGGTGTCTTGTGCACCAGAAAAGGAGGCAAAACACTTGATAATTTGTAATTTTTTTTTTTTTAAATAGCCCAGTTCCTAGAGCAAGAGAGATACATGTTCAAATGGGCAGACAGCATTACTGTCTGTTAATTTGGCCAAAACAAGAGGTGTAGAGGTCTTGGGGACACTTATAGCAGTTCTAAAGTTGGAAGGATCTCTGTAAACTACAGGGACATGGAAAACACTCCAAATAGTCTCCTGGCTGGGGTGTGAAGAAAGGGCGGTATTGCACTGTTCGGGTAATATTCCATTATTTGGAAGTAGCTGGCTGGGCGGCAGGGGCTATCAGCTGGCTGGTGAGGGTTGTTGCACGTGGCTGTTAACCGGTGTATCTGCTGTGCAGGAAAGGCATTTATACAGCCACTTTCTTTGTAAAAGTAGGTTAAGAAATAATTACTGTGAGGCAAAGAAATTAATAAATTGTCTTAGAAGTTGTGGATCTTGACATTGATTTTTAAATTGACTGGATTTCATTTTATATTTCCAACAAGAAAATCAGGCTAACCTGTCATTTGATGCAGACTTGACTGTAGGATCTAAGTTAGATTTACATTTTACAGCTCTGATAGGAAGTAAAACTGCCTATACAAGATTAAACTTGAGACTGGAGCTGATCAAGTTAACTAAAGGATTTTAGCTTATGTATAGTTTAAACACTTAAAGAGTGAGCAAATCTCCTGGCTTTCTAGGGTCTTGTGTCAGTTGACTATATCTGTTTATGTTGCAAAGTATGTAATCAATTTTTCTGATTCCTTTCAACTGACTCTGTATCTCTAAATACCGTATGTACTCTTGGTAGATAATTTAACATGATACCTCTTTTTATTCTGTTTTCCTATTCAGCTGAGAATAAATGGTGATACTATCTCTCTAATCTTTCAGTTCATATTGAGTGTATTAAGGACTCTCTTTTTTTTTTTTTTTTTTCTTCCTCCCTTAACTCCTGTCTATTTGTGGGGCATCTTGTGTCAGTTTGGGGGAATGCTCTGCATGTTCAGATAGGTACATAAAATACAAACCTTCATTCCCAACTTTTGCTGACATGAGCAACTAACCAACTAACTAAAATTCTGTGGACAGCACCTGTGTTCTGGATGACCTCAAGTTCTGAACAACATTGGAGAAACAGTAGGTTGCTCGTGAGCCTGGGTTTAAAGATATAAATGTTGACACACCTCTGTTTAACGATGGTCTATCTGGGTCACTAGTTAGTCTTAGTGGCAACTGTAGAATGTTTTCAGCAGATAAAATTTGGAGAAGAATTCATATTATCAAATTAATTTTTTTTTTTTTTTTTTAGATGTGTATACAGGTTTTCACTGTTAGAAAAGAGAATTCTCATTAGTTTCAAGCTGTTTCCCATCTGTTTTTGTCTTCTGGCATGACATATAACTGCTTTGTTTCTTACAGATTTTTAGGGGATTTTTGGAAGGGAAAATAAATTTTGCTCCTACATACAAATATGATCTGTTTTCTGATGACTATGACACCAGTGAAAAATGTCGCACACCGGCCTGGACAGATCGTATTCTTTGGAGGAGAAGAAAATGGCCTTTTGACCGATCAGGTTTGAACGCTTCCTTAAATTGTTTAAAATATTCTTTAACTGTCTTACAGAAACAATTTAGTGAGATTCACAGTGCCAGTGATTCTGAGCTCCTATCCCTGACTTCGTATGAGGCAGAAAGTTTATAACAGCTTCTGCAATAAATACAGTAACACTGTTAGAGATACCAGTTACTGATATTTCAGTAGTTCAAAAGGAACTTCTGTTTTTTTTTCTGTAAAACAGTGGGTTTGGTTTACTTTCTTTTTTCTCTTTTTACAAATAGCTTATTTTTTAAAGCATATTCTTACAATCACTGTATTTTTCCCTTTTGTTTTCATTAATACTGATTGCAGCCGAAGACCTGGACCTTCTGAATGCTAGTTTTCATGATGACAGTAATGTCCCTTATACGTGGAATCCTGGTACTTTGTTGCACTATGGAAGAGCAGAGCTGAAAACATCTGATCATAGGTTTCAGTTTTATTTTATACATAACTTCCTAATCATTGAAGATTTAATATTCATGTTATATATTTTGTTGCTCAGATACTCTGCTTACAAATTTTTCCTGTGTATGTTTTTCCAAGGCCTGTGGTTGCACTGATTGACATCGATATATTTGAAATTGAAGCGGAAGAGAGACAAAAAGTTTATAAGGAGGTGATCGCAATGCAAGGACCACCTGATGGTACTGTAATGGTCTCCATCAGAAGTTCTTCAGCAGAAGAAAACTATTTTGGTGATAACTTGATTGATGATCTTCTTCAAAAATTTGCAAGCTATGGTGAAGTTATACTTATAAGGTTAAAAAGACTTTTTACTTTTAATCTCTATCCCTCTTCATTATTCCCATCTATTTCCTGAATAAAGTTACTTTCTTAGCAGGCATTTCAGTTATGATCTGCTTCATTTTTAAGATTTAGATTTCAACTTTAATGTCTGTGCAGTAAAAAATTATTTTTACATACCTGAATATGTCTCACTTTTCAGACTTAATTTTTCCAGATACTCTTTATTTCTGAGATAGAGTATCATACTGACCTTGTTAGAAATCAGAGTTAAAATTTGTTATTTACGTGATTTTATACAAATTTTGTATTCTAAAACTAGGTTAGTAGTTTTAAATGAACTGAAGATGAGAGGATCCCCCTGAATGTTGAATTTTCACCAAGCTGTTAATTGAACTATAAGTATTGTGGTATTTTGTTTGGGTTTTGTTTTTTTTTTTTTTGGAGGGTTGATTTGTTTGCAGAAGACTAGGAGCATAGTCCCAAGTCCATAGTGTGATGTAATGTGGAACACCTAATACAAATATCTAACCTGTAGCCACAGGATTACTACTGAATGTGTAACTGTAGTCACATAATTTTTAAGAGGACAGTGCTTCCTCTGTGTGATATTTACCTGGTTCTTGTTTGTTGTTGTTGCAGGGATACATTCATTAAAGCTTATTAGCCAATTATATATATTTTAATGAACTCAACAATTCTTCTCCATCAAGTGAAATACTGAAAAAGCTTTAAGATAAGGGGCTTCAAAAGTTATTAGGTAGGATAAAGTATTTTAATTATTGTTTCCAATGGACTTTTCAGGTTCGTGGAAGACAAGATGTGGGTAACATTTTTGGAAGGAAGCTCTGCTTTGAATGCTATGAATTTGAATGGTACTGAGGTAATGTAAAAATTACTGAACCTGCATACAGCAAGAGAAAATCCAACTTTTTAAAGAATATTTGGCTGGGTTGGGTTTTTTGTTTGTTTGGTTTTAATTCTTAAAACTTTTTCATGTTTCATACTAGTCTGTTGCATCTAATCTTTGGTTTTTACTTTTGATAGCCACATTGCATTATTTTGAGCTTCAAAAGCCAGTTGAGAGAAGTACCAAACTTAATTTATTTTTTGGAGGAGGACTGATAGAGAAATGAATTCTCTAACAATTGAGGGGCATCTTCATCAAATGAGGGATTTTAATTTTTTTTTAATGATTTAAAAAGCAGAGGTTTTTCCTTGAGTTTGTAGTATGAACCAGTTTATCATATTTATAGCTTGCAGTTATTTAAAATTCAGCACTCCTGTACTGCAATCACTTAAAAATGTCAAAAATTCAGCTGTCATCTACTTCCGTTGGGACAGTATTGAAACTCTGTAAAAATTTTAGTTTTGATCTTCAAATGCTTAATGATCTATGTTCCTGTTAGATTCTGTAATGTGAGGATCCATCTGCAAACATCACATTTGCTGAGAGTTTCACTGACAGTCCATGCAGGATAGGAGCTCAGTGTCATGTGTCAGTTTTCAGAATGAAGGCGTGCTGTTTTATCAGTCTCTAAAAATGACTTTATTCATGTAGTTTATAAGCAGGTCTGTTTTTCTTTACAAAAAGTAGTGTTGCCATTGAAATAAAGAAACCAGAAGCTTTCATACTAACTGAAAAGGAAAATTTTAAGAGACATTAGTTTTTCTTTAGAAAAATATTAAATAGTTGTAATTAACAGTTTAAACCACACAATTTCATTTTGATAATTAAATACATTTAAAAGCATAATAATTTTTGTGACATGTCACTGTCATTGTTTCATTCTAGAAATTCTTATAACATTATTTGTGATATTTTCAGTAATATATATTTTTTTCTTTTTAAATTTAGTATGCTGAATGATAATGTTCTTACTCTTAACAATTTCTGGTTTGTACATACCTTTTTGGAAATTCAGCTACAAGGAAGGACTATAAATATAAGCTTGAAAAATCCCGATTGGATCAGAAGTCTGGAAGATGAAATGAATCTAGAGAAGATTAATATTGGGCTGCCTTCATCGACAAGCTCCACTTTACTTTGCGAAGATGCTGAGGTTACTGCAGACTATGATATGGAAGGTTTGTTGAAATAAAGTATTCCTTGTTTTGAAATGCTTACAGTCCTAAATAATATGGTTAATTTAATGCATATATCAGTACTTTAAGAAGTTTACGCCTGTATAAAACATATAAATTAGAAATCCCATTATTTCCAACAGTATCTTGAACACTTGTTGAGCAGTGTCAGTTTGCACTGTATCTCTAGGTTTTACTAATTTGCTGACATTCTCTATTCTGCTGACTTTATCCTGTAACTTACACTCTCAGGAGCACTTCATTCAAGCAACTTCTGTTGTTCATGGAGACACCCTATAGGCAGGATATACACAACTTCATAGAGCAAAGCAATTATTTTTTTTGCCAATACACATAATAGATTAATAGGACTAAGGAGCTCCCATGCTAAGTGTTGATGTGCTTACCCCCCCCAAGTACCTCTTGGTGTCCCTTTGGCAAGGAGGCAAATAAGAGTCAGTCAAGGAAACCTTCATCCTCAGTTGTTCCTTGGAACAAGCTGATCTTCAGCACTGATGAGTTGCTGGTTTCTGTCTGTTTTGGATTTTCCCTGAAGGGTTTTTATATCTTTTAATGTCATACTTTTCTAGCGGAATCCTCAAGTTGCTGAGTATCACTGTTGCAGCAATTGTACCTCTGCATTTTGCCTTTTCTTTACTTGCATGTTTCTAATCCATGTACTTTGTCACAACTTCTGTTTTTAATCTATTAACTAATTTGCTTTTATGAAAGGTCTGCTTCGCTCTCTTCTCTACATTAAAATATATTCTTCTTATCCTTGGCAAATAAAACAGCTGTTTTTCAAACAGCAGCAAAAAACCCACACACACCTTACCTGCTGACTCTTCCTGTGTGTATTGCATTTCCAAATGTATTTTACAGGGTTGTTTTTTTGTAATTTCTTGAACAGATGCACTTTCTAGATGTAGTAATTGTGTCTATATTGATTTATTCTAACCTTGAGTAGTTCATTTGCTTTGAATTTCTATCCAGGCTTCTTAGTGGCAAACATGTTGCAAAAGCTTCAGGGAAAGATATGGCAGCTTTGCATACTGGAAAGAGTAGACTGAGGGTTTTTTTGTACAGGTGTTTCATAGAGGGAGATACATTTTGGTAAGGGTACAGATGTGGGAAACCTGTATGAAAAGCTGGAATTTGCATTAGTCTTGGTGTCATAAGATACTTCATCTGTTTTCCAGTGCAGGTAGGAAACATAACAATTTAGACACCTATGTGATTGGTTGCTTTTTTTAATAGTCCTATGTGAAATGGTATGATTCCCTTAAAATGTGACATCTCAAATCCCACGAGACTCCTCTTGAGTCAAGAGCTAGTATCTAATTAGCAGCCTGGTTACTCTGTTACTGCTGAGCAGTGCAGGGTTGAAGCTGGAACTTCTGTAGAACTTTGTGTGTCATTCATGTACCTGAAGAGAGACAAGCCTAGGAGTTATGGGAGAAAGGATTACTGTGGTCTTAGTGGAGTGTGATGGGATAATTGTCTATTTTAGGCATTTTGAATGTCAACATAAAAATATTCTAAATTGACAATTTACTTTTTAAAGGCATGTTCATGTTGAACCTTTTTTTTTGAACATCATTCCACCTTTTCAAACAGAAGATATTACAAATAGCAAATATCTTGGAATCCTCTGCCCAGCCTTCTGAAGAAGGATAAGACAAGCTTGCCATCTGTTGCAAACCAGGGAAATAATTCTTGCAAAGGTCTTTGTAAAGCTAACTGTTTCTTAGATTAAGCGACATTACAGTTGCCACCTTACTATAATTACCTATAATATATATTGTGCATTTGGAGTATTTTTAACTAGTTTGAGTACAGATGCATTCTTCATGTGTAATTTTATGATGCGAGAATCATACTTTGGTTGTTGAGCTAATTCCTTGGAACTTGAAGGCTTTTTGCAGTAAATCTCATGCCCAGAATCAGTTTATAATTTCCCCCCTTTTTAAAATAAGTAACTATTGTTCCTTTTATTTTACATGCTTTTTCTTTTTTGGGGTGGGGTTTACTATTTAGGAGACATTGATGACTATAGTGCTGAAGTAGAAGAAATCCTTCCTCAGCATCTACAGCCGACTTCAAGCTCTGGTCTTGGAACCTCCCCAAGCTCCTCACCACGTTCCAGTCCCTGTCAATCCCCTACGCTGTCAGATGGACCTGCGCTCCCAGTGAGACCAAGCCGAGCACCAACAAAAGCTCCTGGACCACCTGTTTCTACACACAGTGTGTATTATTACCTTGCTCAACCACTGCTATTGCTCCTCTGCAGTCTGGCAGCTGTATGGTCCGGTGGTAGAATACTAGCTTATAGGTTATTTTTGATAGAGCTTTTAGATTAATATAAAAAGCTATTCTTGTCATTATCTAGCATTTTAGGCATAAGTGGCCTTGGGGAAATCACCTCATTCTTTGTATCTCAGTTTTCCTAATGGACAGTGGAAGAGCTTTGTTTTCTGACTCTTATTTAGTGTACAGTCCACTGATCTACGCTGCTGCAAACTACATAACGCACTCTAGTTCTTCAGCATTTCATCATGAAAGAGACATCTCAAAAAGTTATGTGATTAATGGGCTTTCTAAGGCAATTAATTTGAAAGCTCTGTTCAAAAATTCTGTTGCAATATGTCAGTATAATCCTAGTTCACTTTAGTCATATTCTTCAAACACAGCCTATTTCAATTAATGCTTCTGTCAGCTGTAATATGTAAATTGTAATCAGTAGATTTATCAATTGAGTGTATGAAATGGAATACAAAAGCTTCTGTTTAAACACAACTTTATTTTAGTGACAAAGTGGACATTTAGAATTAGTGTTTGGAATGGCTTCTAGAACAGTTTATTTCAGTGTAATTTGGAGTAACTTTACATAGACTGCTAAAATGCCTTCAGAATTCCCCTTGTGACATTTTTTCCCAGAGCACTTAGTTCATAGATAAGGATCAAAATAAAAATTTGGAACTCTGCAATTTGTAAAAATGTTCAGGATTGCATGAAAAGCATGTACTGATTAAAGCATATGAGACAAAAATCTCTGTTTAGGAAATCTGCTTCTTTTCACCATTGATTTATTCCTCTTGTTTTCCCTCTCTCGCATACTTCTGTATCATTGTTTCCAGGGCTGGGGACAGACTGTCCTCTCTGTGAAAATAACTTGCTATTAGAAAAGCTTTACTGTCATTAGAATGTACAAGTGATTTATTTTTGCACTGTCTTCTGTCATGTTCTTCAGCTGAATTTCAGCTTGGTCCCCAGCAGAAAGAGCCTTCTCAGAGCTTGGAGCCTAAGCGTCCTCCACCACCTCGCCCCGTTGCTCCTCCTGCACGCCCTGCCCCACCACAGAGGCCGCCTCCGCCATCAGGTAATGTGGTGATGTATATCAGGTGGTCAGGAATATTTTGTTTCAAGTCTGTGAGATGAACTTTGAAGTCCACACCCAAACTACATACTGTATTGTTGGTCTGGAGCTCAATGGAACATACCATTTTTTCATTAAAATATTTAGTTGGTACATTTAATAGCAATAACAGCACTTTTCTGTTCCATTTATATATTACTGTCTTTGCTTAGTGAATAAGTTTTAAAATTTTATAAACTTGTTTTAAAGTTTAAAAATGTGGGCTTCCTACATTAGTGTTTACTCAACATTTTCATTTTTATAGCATCTTCATTTTTAAAATAAAAGATAAATAATCTTGTGCTTTCATTGGTTTATATTCCTTTAATTTTGGCATCAATATGTATGCATTTTATCACGTTCAAGTTTTTAATATAGAGTTCATCTGGATCAACTGAAAATGTAAACAGTTGAGCACTAAGTGAAACTGGATGTTCAGAAGCATATGGGCAACATCGATAATAACAAACTGACCTCTGTCATTTTTAACTTTCTCATTCTTTTTCTTCCCTCTTACTGTACTGATATTTTTCATTATTGCTGCATTCATTTCTTAAATACTGTAAGGCGGTAGGAGTCCTGCACCTGCTAGAAAAGAATTTGGAGGTAATGATTTTAATTGTTTTCGAATATGACTACGTAGAAAAACTACTATGGTGGTCTGTTGTGACAATACTTAATATGATGATGTCCAAAAGTATGAAAGTGGGTAATTCTTGAATGTCAATGTAATTTCTTTCTCGGGGTTTGTATCCCACTCTGAATTACATTTGACTTTTTAGTGAAAAAATATTTCTCCAGAAGTTGGTACATTATAGTCAGAGAGATTAAAGTGGTTCCAGGCTCTTATTACTGTGTCCTGGTCAAAATACACCCAGCTAACTTTTCTGTGAAAGTAGAAACCTGTCTTCAGTTGTGAAGAGGCTAGCTTTTTTTCCTCACAGTCCATGACAAGGAGCATTGTAACATGGATCGTGAGTGTAGCTACTTGCAGCGATTATCTGTTAATTAATTGTTCAAGTTGAAACTACTGCCGGTCTGGCACAGTCTTCCCCAGATGATCACCAGTTAACAGAGAGCTCCAGATCACTGAGCTATATTTGTCTTTAAGCTGAACGCTGACATATGGATAGCTTCTTTTCTGTTTCCAAGACTGGAATGTGCTCCTAAGCCCTTCCTAGAGACATGAAGCATCTTCCATAGTTCTTGGAACTAGCACGTACTTCAGACACGCAAACTCAGCAAAGGAATTTATTCAGTTAGTTCGAAGGCACTCAAGAGCTACAGGTCTTTACAAAGTAACAAAATCCTGAAATAATTCTCCCCTAATTCCTTCCCTTTTAATAATGCTGAGGGTCTTATCAACCATTCAGGCTAGTTTTGTTTTTTTCCAGTGTGATCTGGTTTTGCATGTAACAATGACTCACGTGTTCTGAGAAGTGCTTCTTCTTGACACTGATCTTTGTCCTTCTTTGTCACACACTTCAGTCTAGCTGTCCTGCTTGGACTTAAGTCAGCTCATTAATATATGGGATAGAGCGAGAATAGTTAGCAGCTCTGAAATACTTTCTTAATGGGTTTTCAGACACTGCCACTCAGGTGGTAGGAAAGAGGGTTTTTGAGAAATAATTCAAAAGTTTTGAGCAGTCTCAGAAAATGAGTAAACTGTTTTACGTAGTACATGAATACCAGCTAACTTATTCTAATGTCAGGCGGAGATGTGCATGTCTCTCAGATACAGTTGAGGAGGTTATTATGCCAAAGGCATAATATTTCAAATTAGTTAAAATGCGTAAGTTTTTGAAAATAGCCAGTTTATACATAATGCGCAACGTACGTGAGATGTAATTCATTGTACTACTTCAGTCCTATATAGTTTTATGTGCACTGACATAATCCTCTTTGCCTAGTTCTTCTCAATTGTGCAAAGAGTAGCCTTCTTTTTTTACCCTCTTTTCCAGCATAGCCTTCCATAAAGAATTGGAACTGGCATCACACTTGCTTTTTATGCACTCTTTTAAAAGAGATTGTAGTTTATTTTTTCATATATTGTTCTGACCTAAAGCTCATCCCACTTTTTCTGTCTTCTTCATTTTCCACTCATGGCATACATTTATAAGGCATAATGCTTTGCTTTTCAGCGGTACCTGAGCTTAACCCTGAGCAAGCTAGCACAGGACTGGAAACAGTATAAATGTCACAGTGTGTTATTCTGCTTGGGGAAATGGCATCTGTTTCTCTTACCTAGAATGAAGGCTCCTAAAGCACTGTGAAAATATCCCTGTGTACTATATAAGTGTATCAAACTTTGTTTTTAGACTTCTGTATTACATGTAAAGTGACATTGATCATGTCTTTAAAATGTTGTGCATTTGAAATGTTGGTTTTTTTTTTTTTTGCTCATGTGTTAACACTTTTTTTCCCCTCTGAGTGCTTTACTCCCTTCAGTGCCCATAACATTCCTTCTAATGGCTCAGTATGCTTTGAAGATGTGAGCAGGATTTGGGCATCTAAGTTTTTTTTAGAGTTTGGTCATATTGTACAACAGAAGTAACTTGGAATTCAAGGAAACAAGTCTATGTACTCATTGCAGGGCTTTGTAAAGTGTAGGCTTTTCTCCTGCTACTATAAAAGATTTCCAGTGAGGATTTTATAAGCTCTCTGTTTTTTTTGTAGTTAAAAATTAAAATGTTGCACTCTGTTTACCCAAGATTTTTTTTTTAATACATTACAGAGTAAATTCTTACAGGACATTAAAAATTATAAAGCCTGCTAATTGTCAATTATTTGAAGTCAAAAAATAACATTTGTTTTGTTTTGTTTTGTTTTTTTCTTTAATTGTATTAGTCAAACTTTTCCTGATTAATACAGGAAAGGCTTATAGTTGTCTTTTGTCATTGGTTGAAACTGTTAAAATGGAGTTAAGATTGAGAGAATGCAGAGTATTTTCAGTATATGCAATAATTTGGGTAAAATGCATTATGTTTGCACTGTGATTATCCTCCAAATAAATGAAATAAACCTAGAAAATACAGTAATAAAGTTGACATTAAAAGAAATGCATGAATGTTAAGCTATGAAAATACATGCACCCAAGCAGCAAGTACTTGTTAGTGTACACTGATTTTTATAGTCACAGATTAAACTTAGCCTTGCAATAACCATACAATGTCTTTATTTTTCCCTTGTAGCTTTTTGGGGTTTTTTTCAGAGGAGAGTTCAGGTTGTTTAGATGCATTAGGGTATGGCAGTCATTTTGAAAAAAGGTTTTTGTTTTGTTTTGTGGGGTTTTTTTAAATATGGAGAGCACCTTTCCTCATTTCTTGCTGAAGAAGGAATGTTCAGTAATGGAAGAAACAAGAAGCCTTAATGCTAAAATAGTAAGTGTATTGTTCAAATGTAGGCAAGTGGCCTAGGTTTTGTATAGATATAGATGTATATACATATACGTGCACATGTGTGCATATATGCATATTTTACTTTACAAGAAGTTGGGGTTGCTTTATTTTCCATTAAGCTAATGTGTAAACATAGTCTTTGCAAAACATGCAGCTCTGTCTAAACAATGTCAGGGCATAAGTTACCTGTTGTTTCTGTTTAAATCTAACCCCTTTCCTTAAAACAGTATTTAAAACAAGTATGTGATAACTTTACTTGCAAAATACTGTTTTGAACTGCAATAGAGATTTCAAGCTATATGCAGACTACAGTGACAGCTTAAAATGATACCCAAAAATGTGTTTCTGATTCACGTGTATGTTTTTCACTATCCTTAAGTTTAAAATCTTCCTATAATGTCAATTATGATAGCATTATCACAGCATCATAATTTTGCTATATTACTGTTGAAGAGTCTTATTAGTAAGTGAGATTTGGGGTATTTGACCTTTATGCCCTTTCTCTCCCATATAATGAATATTTTAAAATTTGCAAAACCTCTTAAAATCCTCATGCACAGAAGCCTTCCCCTGTACAGTGCACCAACACAGGAACATGTCTATGTGCTATGGTCAGAGAGGTCCTCTGCCTTCCTTCTCCTGAAAGGAGTTGACCTGATTAATAATCTTGCATAAAACCAGATTGGCTCAACAAGAGCATCCTGAAAATACCGATTCAAAGTATGGGCTAAGTTGAGCTTTGGGAGGAGAAAGTGCAGATGATCTGTGAAATGAACAGGCTAGTCTCCTATTCTTGGAGAGGTTTATTGTGTCCATTTCTATTAATGCTCTGAGACGAACAGTTAGCTTTATGTTTCTGTAAACACAGAAGGTTCAGAGGAGTGTCCTGTATGCTGTTGGGCTGCTTTCCACCTCCCTTTATTTTCCTCCTGTTGGCAGATAGTCTTCTTATAGCTTACAAATGACCACTGCTTTTTCTGCCCCAGGGTTCCTCTGGGTTGCATGGGAGAAGGGCAGCGCTGGTACCTGAAAGCAATGGAATGTTCTCAGGCAGTGCTCTCCTCCTGTGCCCTCTCCTTATGAACATGCTCTGTTCATCCCTCCTCAGTGCTCCTTCTCTGGCAGAATAGTTCACTGTCAGAAACTTTTGCGATAGAAATCTAATGTCAATTGGAAGAGCCTGGAACCCACCCAGAATATATAACATATGCTAGTATTTAACATCTTTGAACCAGATGTTCAGCAAAACCAGAGATCTGACATCTCTGGAGAGAATCACACACCAGCCTCATCTGCAACCTTCACTCTTCCTACTCTGAGTGACACCTCCACCCATATCTGACAAAATTCACAGCACTCTTTCCAGATCATAGAGAGCTCCTGAGCAGATACCACACATTGGCACATGATGAGAAAGCATGAGGCTGTGTCATCGCTAAGGCAAAAGTTGCTTTTAAGGTAGGCTTTTTGAACACTGGCTCCCTTTCCTTCCTCTATACTTGAGCCACTCCAGAGTTGCCAGATATTACTGTTACTTTTTCCTATGCGCATGCCTTAAAGATTTCTCTTTGCATACTGTCTAGTTTTATCTGTGCCCTGCTATGTTTTTGCCATACAATTTTATGGACCTGGTATATGCTTGATCATACTGCAGAAATAAAATAATTCTGCATGGTTATGCATGATTGAAAATCTTCTTTCTCTCAATCTGAACTGTAACATCTACTGTGCACCAGTTGATACATCTTTCCCAAGTACAGAGTGCTGCTTGGAGATAACTTAATGATACATTTCTGTAGGATACAATACATTACATATAGTGGGAAACTTATTGCTTCCATAAAATTGCTATTCAAATGTAGTCTGGGCAGAAACATACTATGTAGTATTCTCCTCAATTACAGGAAGCAGACTTGATGTTGCAGGGTATAACTGATGTACCTGTTTATTTTCAAGTGTTTGAGTATAGGTATGTGCTCTGCTTTAGAAGAGTCTCAAGACTGACATTTAATATCATTCTGAATTTACAAAAGTTTGTGGAAAGTGGATACTGAAGAAAGTAAATTATCTTTTAACTATAATGTAAATTTGAAATAACAGCATGTTTCTAAACATGATTGTATTTTCTGATCTCTAATTCCTGTCAGTCTGGTTTCCCAATGCTGCTACAAACAGTTATCTCCTACAAGTAACCTACAATCTAGCTAGGCCATTTTTAAATTATGTAAAGCTGTCTTGTGGCAGTGTTCTTTTCTGGTTTTACTTTCTCAATCTACTGCTTTTCTTATGCAATGTACAGCTTCTCTTCTTTCTCTGAAAAGGTCTTGGAGCTCCTCCCAGTCCTGGGGTAGCTAGGAGAGAAGTAGAAGGTAACATAACACTTTTTGTATTATAGAAATGGATTTCTAATTTAATACCTGAGTAATATTATTGCCCTTGTGATACTAAAGGTGGTTTCATGAAGGTTTTTACTGTGTAGGATCTTTCTTCTTTGATATAACATAGTTTTCAGACAGTCAAGCTGCTTCCTGCTTTTCAGTGATGGTGTGAATTGTTATAGAAGGCAGTCTTCATTTATGAAAAATGAAGTGAAAACTTAGACTGCACTAATCAAGAAGATTGCTTTCAAGGCAGACTCTCAGAGGAAGCTGTAGCTGAATGATTGCAAGAGTAAATCCTATACCTGTAACTAAATCGGGAACCTAGGAAGCCAATATGTTCATATATTTTGGGGAGATAAACTTCCATTTAAATAATTTAGCCTATAATTTAATATTTTGTCTCTTTCTAAAGAGCACAGTGTAGGTATTTTGTTTCTGATACCTAAATGTACATGCAACACACTTACGAGAAGCATTTCTCTTGCATTATTCTAGTTGGAATATGTGCGTATAATGCTGAATGGATCCTGTTTTAGCTATGCCAGTAGAGTCATGTTTTTGGGTTTCTTCTTATCCCCTCAGGAATGTGTCCCTTTGTAGCAAATACAGGTATGGTAATAGAAATACTAATATAGTGACAGTCAAGATTGTCCTCCTGTATACTACAATTAATTTTGACTATATTGCTGGATCATTTTTCTAAATTGGCAAAATCGCTGTATGCATAGAATAGTTCAGGTTGGAAGGAAGCTGTGGTGGTTATCTAGTCCAGTCTCCTGCTCAAAGTAGGGTAAACTGGCACCAGGTTGCTCAGGGTACAAGTTGCATTACAGAGAACTGTACCCAGAAACCCATTCTAAGTGGTTCTAAGAAAGCAGGCTTGTCTGACAACTGGAAGCCAATTTGATAAACTAAGTGTCTTATGTACCACATAGGTATTCCTTCCAGTTACTCTAACTGACATGGTGATTTTACCTTCCTGGGAAATAGGCAACAGAAACACAAACCAGAATCCTAAAGCTCTTTGCCTGTTACAAATTGTGCACTTGTCCGAGGTAAAGGAAATTTTTTAATATCTTGCACTTCACAACTTGAATGTTGCATACAAGGTTGTCATTAGCATCAGCATGTAAATGTTGAGGTTGGTGCTGTAATATATTTATCCCATACACAAAGAGAGTAGGTTCAGGAACTTTGATGTAGACTCTGTAGATTGCAGAGCCATGTATAATTACACATGTACTCTTCTGATCGCATGATTTCTTGAATCAGCATGTTACATCAGTTCTTTTTGTTTTAAAGGACTCCTGTTAGAATATTTGCAGAATATACTACAAAACAAAACAACTTATAGCACGATTGAGAACACAGGGTACCTGCACAAGTGGGTATCTTTAGCTTGCAACAGATAGGAGGTAATTTGACTTAATTTGTAATTAGAAGGGTCAAATTACTTCACATGTGCCATGGGATCAGAGTGTGCTAGAGCAACAGCTTAGCTGATGGATAGACTTCAGTACATAACAATTTTGAAAAAAAAAAAAATCACTAATGTCTTTTTGCTGCCATTTCCATTAGTGATAATGTACCATTGTCATATAATACCTGTTTGTTGTAGCTTATCTAACAAAGATAATTAATTTTTTTTCCATGCTTCAAAGCACAAAAAAGTCCTGGAACACAAAGAAAGGATAACTTAGGTAATACAGATACATGCTTTGTACTAATTATAATACAGAAAGAAGTTGATTTTGAAATATGTTCTAAGTCAGTCATCTCTAATATCTGTTCCAGTTCGTAGTCAGCCTCCACCTTCAACTGGAATATCAAGCACAGGAACTGCTGGATATGGTACAACCAGACCGGTAGGTATTCTGTCTTTAATTTTTCTCCTAAGTTTCTACGTTTTTTTATGCTGATGGTGGATTTTTATAAGTCGTAACAGATATAAGAAAACTGCAAAATTGACAAGTCATTTTACAGCTTATATGAGTTAATTTCCTCAGAAATTCTTGTCTGCTGACTAAAAATACTCCAGAATATATATACTGGACATGACTTTTATTGTTTTGCACTCTATGCAGTCACTTCACAGGCTTCCAAATAATACCACATTTTACATCCACTTTCAAATAACTGCAAACTGCAAAGTTGTTCTTTGTATTATATGTTCCTGTTGACTATGTTGCTGATTTGATATGATAAAATGCATTATCCTCTGTGCTGAAATGTATATCCTGATGGCAGTTAATTGCTTGCAGGCAGTTGATATATTATATTACTGATTACTTGATGTGTAATGGAATTTTGTACCTTGTTTTAAAAATTAATTTTGGTAAAGGTCTTCGTGTAAAAATGAAACGTTCCACTGTTTCAACAAAATATTCAACAAATGTTAGTTCTGCATTTCATTCTTCTATTGTGGAAAGGAACTGCAGGAAGTGAATGAAGGATTTGTGGGTGCTTGAGTGCTTTGTGACAAGCAAGAAATCAGGAGATGGAAGACATCTGCCTTATTTCTCTTAGCAGCAAGTAGGAGCCTTGCGTTAGAGAAGGAATAAATGTTTTAATTAGCTATAGATCATCTTAAAGAATTTATAAGAAATGGTATTGTTCGTTGATAATTCTTTAGACTTTGCAGCATATTTCAGAGAGAATTTTTGCAGCAGTACAAAGGACTTTTCTTTCTATATCTACATCAACCACGTTATTTGTGCTTAACTTTGTTCCCACTGTTGTGGCAGTACCAAGCTTTTTGACTTAGATTGTACCTCTTTATACCTGGACATTTTATAGGCTAAAAAGCAGCAGAAGTTGGCTCTTTCTTACCAGTTTTCTTGGTCATTTGGTTTCCTTCTCTAAGGCATTTTGCTATTCTCATTGGGATAATGTTCACAATGACACGGTCAGGATGGAAAGCACACCTGAGTCTTTAGTAAAGGCTGAAAAGCATTCTGCTTGCATAAATGTCAGTGTGATAGATACTGATGAGGTTTCTGACCTATCTACAAATACAGCACCTGTGCTTTAATTTCATAATTTTCTTTCAGGTAAAGCAATAGAGCAGCTGTTGTGAATGAGAGAAAGAGTGTGAATAAGTCATTAAAATAAAGATGCAGCTAACCACAAGAGCTTAAGTTACATCAGTACAAATTTGTTTTATAAAAGGTTGTAGAGTCTTTTTCCACATTTTAAATGACCAAGAAACAAAAGAATGTTGCCAGCTGTGCAGAAATATCAGAGTTCTTGTAGTTCTTGTAGAGCTTAAAGGAGTTGTACCTTACTGGTATTGCCATTTCTATTGTGCTCTTGTACAGTATTGAAATCACTGAAAACTACTGTTGAAAGCCACCACTGAAATCACATTTTGCTGATTCATTTTTCTCAAAGAGAATGATTCTCACAGTGAACAGTTCTTGATCTTTGAACTTTTTTGTTATTTTCTCAGAAATGTAAACCACCCTTTTTTTAAATTTGGGTAAAGAAAATATGGTATACACAGGAGAGAATGTATTCATTTATTACCATGTGCCTCACTTGTTTTTTCTTTTTTTTTGTAGTCTCAAGCCAGCACAGGAGTTGCCATTTCTAAATCAAAATAATTCAATAAAAAAATTTGGTGTACAGAATTGACTAGAATCCACCAGTATCTTGGAATTGGTATAAGTGCAAGAATTTTTGTTCATATTGTCAAGACAGAAAAAAAGCAGTACTATTCTCTTGTGCTGTGCTTTTCAACACCCGGGCTGGTCTACAGTTAGAGCTGCTTGAAAATTTCCAGAAAGAGCCGTGGTGCTGCAATTGCCAGCATAATTTGATAAGACAAAGCTGACTGCATCTCTTAATTTGTAGACGTTGAGATTTTCTTTAAAAAAAATCCAAGCAAACCAAAACAAACAAAAAAAACCACAACAAACCAACCAAATGAATGTAATAGAAGGTCTGAAAAAATGTCTCCTAAGATCTGCTTGGCTTTTCAAGCCTTAGCTCAACCCTTGTTGAATTTCCTGAGTTGACTTCTTTCCTTTTTCTTGGGTTGGTTTTGGGGCAGCATTTCATTTCTAGGATTTCAGGACCAGGGACAGTAGCCACGGTGGGCGCTGCTTCCCGCTCACCGCTCCTGAGGATTATTTTAGACTTCCTTTCTGTTTGTTTTCTGTTCTTTTTTTGATGTTTTTGGTTGTTGTTTTTTTTTTGTTTGGTTGGTTGGTTGGTTTTTAATACATTTTGGCAATTTAATCCAATCATTTTTCTGCCTACCTTCAGAATATTCAAAGAAATGACAAAATGCGTCTTGACAATTAAAGGGAAGACGGGTATTTCAGAGGTTAGGTGGTTTAAAGCATTTAGAATGTTGTTAAATGGACTCAGCCAAGCATAATGAATCGGCTGTTATACAAAGTCTTCGAAGTAGACTACATACATCTAGTAAGAGTAAGATCAAGGATGATACTTGTTTTGTAGTGGTGAAGTTTCTTTGCTTTTTTTTTAAATCATGTTTGTGTAGGGAGATGTGTAATAGTACAATGGAGTTTGCTCTGAAAACTATTTTGAGAACATCCACTATGGCTAAGATCATTTCAGAATATATCAAGTACACAAAAATTTTACAGGACTCAAATCTTACAAACTATCTTGCCTCATGATATTTTTTTCTTTTCCTCCACCTGAAATATGTCATTTTCATTCTAATGCTTTACATTCAGCTTTCAAGTGTGGTGTTTGTAATTCACTCAGCTTCAGTTGCAATCTGGGGTAGTTTCCTATTTCTCTTTAAATACTGATGTAGACTTTTAAATTTTGTTTTATGACAGAAATTCTGTTCCCAGCACAGTAATTTCTATTCCAGAAAGTTTGGGAAGACTCCAGCCTTCAGATGAGGCAGAATGTATGTTTCATTAATACTGTTTGCTGAGGAACAGGAGTAACTGCCTTACAGTTAGCAAACATAAGTTTCAGATAAAAGAATTAACCATGGTCTTTTATGCATATCTTGGACTTTCACTATATAAAATTAACTGTAGCTGCTGTTTGAAAATGTCAGGCTACAATTATAGCCTAAAAGGTAGATGGTGTCTACGGTCTGCATTGACAGTGGGTTATCAATGTGTCCTTACAAGATCTCCAAATAAAGTAATTGCTGCTGTTGATTTTGTTGCTTACAACAATTTGCAGACTTTGGTAAAATTAACTTACTAATACTAAGAAAATATTAAGTGTTTCTAACATTGTTGCACAGGTATATATTCATATAGAGTTGAAGACTGTTGTAAAAATCCTTGGCTTTGAATTGAACACACATAATGTTTTGAGAATATATTCTTTGCTTTTATATGTGCATAAAAAAATAGCTCAGCAACTCTTACCAAATGATTTATTTTTCACAGGGTCCTAATTATCTTAAATCATTTAGCAGTAGATAACTACAGATCCAAAATAGAACTAAAATATTTTTTTAACAATTATTATGTCAGACTGTTCCACCTCGAGCTGGAGTTATTAGTGCACCACAAAGCCATGTCCGTCCCTCTGGGGGAAGACCAGCACCCGAAACTCAGACCAAACCAGCTGAACCACCAAGGGGTATGTTTACTTTAGAAGTTAAATATAAATGTCACTATTCAGTGCAGAGGTTTTGTTTGGCTTGAATGCTTTGTTTTCAACAGAAGTCTTCATTTTTCACGAGAAATTGAGATTCTTGAACGTAGTAACATTTGGCAGTTTCTGCTAATCATCCACAAATATTGTAAAACCTTATCAGATAATAGGCAGCAGTCAGATGAGATCTAGACCCATAGATTTCACACAAGCAAGAGAAACTTCGATCAGATTGCTGTGTTGTGGTCTGAGCACCTTGGTGTGTCCTATCGCATGTTGATCACGGGACCATTCTCTGCACTGGTTGCTTTGTAATCATAATACCTGGAATAATGTTTATGTTTTACTCTCAAAGCGACTTCCTAAACTTAAAGAGTTTTTAAAATTGTCTTAATATCAAAATATGCATTTTATAATAGTGTTTTAAAATACTTTTAAATACAACCGAAGTACATTTTAAAATGACATGGTTCCTGGTTCTCTATTTTGTCTCCACAGTAACAATTTTTAATGGAGATATGCTGGGCTTTTGGTAACTTCTACTCTAGTTGCCATGAACACCAGCTGTTCTTACAGCCTCTTCTTCCACAGTTCTGTCTGGTGCTTCAGACAGAACACAGCCACATGTTCTCATTCATGCCATTCTTAAGATTCCTATTTCAATTCTTCACAATGAAAACCACTGCAAATATACTTGCAGGCTCACCGTTGCTTCCTGAACCACTAAAGCCTCAGGCTGCTGGACCAGCTCAGCCACCACCTGCGCTAAGGATGCAGGAGCCTCTGATACCTGTGGCATCACACCCATCTCAGACAAGTGCCCCACAGAGTCTGGAACCCCCACAGCCGCCGCCTCGTAGTCGATCATCTCACAGTTTGCCTTCTGAATCTGCTCCTTCACAGAAGCAGGTAAGTAAAAAAGACCTTATATATATATATGTTTTCTCATTATGTAAATTAACACAGCTTGTACTGAGTGCTGTAGATTTGTGAAAAACTCCTAAAGCAAGCAAACAACAAAAATAAAGGCCAAAAGACTGGATTCAAAGATTATCAGGCTCTAGTAGGTTAACACTTAATTGCCTATGTATTGCCTATGGATAACTAACATCTTAAATACTAAACATTTAACTTAAGATTTCTTAAGGAAGACTTACAACTTCTGGACAGTTTGGTCCTAAAATTGTGTTGTCATTTGACATTTTTTTATGGAAAAGTACACAGTCTAAGAAATTTAATTTTATAATGATACATGCATGACTTGAACTGTATAGTAACTGCCTAACACAGGTTTTGATTATAAAGAAAACTTAACAGATTGCATGATGTGGTGCTTTGTGGTGATGATAAGGAAGACAGTACTGATAGATATTTAATTATTTCTCCCCATTCCTCAGTGTCAATTAAAATATAGAAACATACCAAAATAATATGAAAATTTAATCCAGTAACATTACCACTCTGTTCTGTGGGACTATTTAGAGTGTTACTTTCAAATAAAATAAAAAAAAAAAAAAAAAAAGGAAAAGTCATAGTTTCTTACTACTGTTTAAAAAGCGCAAAAATAGTTTTTCAGTGTTGTCTATATATACATAAGGCTAAACTTCTTCACCAAAGGCCAGTGCTGTTAGTTTTCACATCAGGTGCTAGGCCAGACAATACACTACTTGATTAAAAGTACAATTTATTGAAGCTGATGGATTTGTTCTCACTTCTTACCAAGAGTAAATTTCTGGTTTTGTTTTCTGGTGTTCATTTTTTTTAAACATAAACTCAGCTGTGGATATTTACGACTACCTAAGTTTTCATCAGTATTTTAGGTTTTACCTTATCTCTACATCTGAAGCCCATTTTCACTAAAGCAGTTAGTTAATACCTATTTTGTAGCACAATGAAGCAGCCAAACTCAGTCCTCGGTGCTCTTCCTTTCTTTCTGCTGAACCTCTCTGTCTGCCTGTTAACTTCTTTCCATTTTGGAAACTTAAGCCAAAAAATGGAGGATATTTTTGAATATACAGGTAGAATATCAGGACTTTTTGTAATTTGTTAGCAAGTACAAAGTGTTGCCAGCAGAGAATATACATGGAGGCATAAGGTACTTGAGAATGCACCAATTTTGGGAAGAGAAACAGATTGCATTGTGCCACTTTGGAAAGCCTCACCTTTCCTAAATGTAGTTTTACCACTGATCGTTTTGTGAAAGAGGTGCAAGCAGTTCTTTCAAAATTATGAAAATTACATTTATCTGTGTGTATACAAAGTGATCAAAAATATGTTTAAGAACACTGTAAACTGGTTATGGAGCTGTGTACTGCTATGGCTATATTGTTATCAATATCCAACCCAGATAGTTTAAGACTAGTTCAAGGAGCTATAATTTTCTCTGCAATCAGATTTCTTTGATTAATGCAGGCTAAGCAATTACAAGGATGACCCACTCTGAGCTTCATTTATTGTCTCCAGCTTAGGTTTTTTATTTCCCTTTTGTTTTTTGTTTTCTTTTAGTTTAGTTAAATAGTTGATAATCAAGAAATGAAATAATTTGTAAATATGAAGTTTTCTCAGAAAAGGTCTTTAAATAAATACGAAGTCTTTTGCAAGGGAGTGGATTCCAAGCCCATCTTTTGATTCAAAGATTGATTGTGATATTTAAGATCCTAAATCTCTCCTTATAAAAATAATTGCTTGTATGTTACAGTGTGAATACTTGGGACTCTATAGGTTACCAAACAATACATTAGAAAACAAAGGTAGCTACTTTAAATAGATTTTATTTATTGTAAATTAAGGAGATTTTGGTTTTCGATTGAATGAGAAGCCTTATTTTTTTTTTCAGCATGAAAAACTATCACTATAGATGACTCTTTATACCAACATGGTTCCCAGAATGAGGGCTATAGTGCTTTTCATGTTAATAGGTAGATGGTTAGCATTAGACCATCAGTAGTCAAATTCTTATAATCAGTCTTCAAAAAATTGCTCAATCAGCTGCTCAGTGAATGTCTGTATGGAAATAACATTAGAATTGGCTTGAGCTGATACTTGACTCAATGTAGAGCTTACAATTCTTACAATAGAATACAACATAAATCAAAAATTTAATATAGAATGTAATAAATATTTTTGGTTTGTGTTCATATCTCAAAAAATGGCTTTGTGAAAGTACTTTTAACATGAGGTTGCTTTGTTGTTACTTGGATTTTCTTCCTAATTTTCTTTCCTTTGATGTCTGTTTCTCTTTCACAAGCAGGAGCAACCATCAGGGTAACAGGTATCTGACTATTTACCAATCTTGTATGTGGTCTCCATCTATTCAAGCAGAAAAGATGTATGAATCTTGTTTTCATACATCTACAGTCTCATCCACGTTAAAAATCACCTGTCTGTGTTAATGAATGACTGTCATACCATGGTTTGCTTTTTCCTTTCATAATGCAATTAAAATTGATACTGTTAACTATATTTATTAGCACCATAGCAAATATCTTGCTTCATCTTTTATGGAACAATTGGAACCTCACGTATGTTGTTGAGTCACTGCTGAACCTCCTGGTCTCAGTCTATTTAGAAAAAAATGAGTAGGTGTTGGAGTTAATATTCTTCTCTAATACAAATAAATCTTGATGCAATTACTCTGCCAAAGTTTTTTCAAAATAAACCCCATATTTCATATTTCTCAAAGAACAGAGAATTTACTGTTACCCAAAGTAAAATAGACTGTTTGTTACAATTTTAAAAGCATTTGCTGCCAGAATTATTCAGGCAAATTTTTGCTTACAATAGAGAGCAGTTGGAATTCATAGTTTCTGTGGGATCTTGTACTTTTTGATTAGTTGGTTAACAAACACAGGATTTAACCAGCTAGTGCCAAGCTACATTTGATTTACAATTTTTCACATTTCCCCCCTCAGTTACTTGATGCCTTTGTTTTAACATCTTCCAAATAATGTTAAATTTTCCACTTAGTATATACATATAAAAATACCAATATTGAACTATTGTATTTATGGTTTGGTCACATTAGGCCTCATCTATTTGAGAAACTCTCTGATGTAGTAGTACCAGAGATGCATGTAACCAATGTTGTTGTTTCAAAAAAAACACCAGAGCAAATGCGTTGCTGCCAGCATACTTTGTTTCTCCTGCCAACCAATTCAAGCTACAACTGCAGGTTTTCTAAAATAAATTGCTATGTTGAATACATTGGCAAAAACTTAAAATAGTCTTACTATTTCCGAGAGTTTCTAAAGCCTGTAGACTACTTTTGCATAGCTGCTTATGCAGTAGATATGTGGAGACATACCTCAAGCTATTGACAGTAAATGCAGTTAAAACAAGATGTTTAAAGATTGAGGTTAGGCTATAATAATATGGATTTTAGTTGATAGTTTTAGCTAGCGTCCTAGTTCAACAAAACATTAGTTAACAGAATTTTCATGCTAAATATCTAAACTATTTGGGTATATTAAGGTGATGTGTTAAAATGACAAATTGGTTTGTGAAATTTGAATTCTCAGAAGGTGTTTTGACTTAAGCTTAATTCCTTGCAATCATTTAGTAAGGGGAAGCTCCAAACTCTGTTCTGTCAGTGTGGTAGCTTGAACAAGTTTATATATTCTACATTTTTGGGCAGTTGTTACAAGGTATAAAAGTTGCATTGTTGTTGTTTGAAGAAATTTATAAAAGCAGGGATATTTTGTTTTTAAAAGATGAGAAGTTCTGTGGAGAAAACTCTCTCTTCTCCATTTGGTATTATTCTAAACAATGATAACTTGCCATTTTAAAATACTACAAACCGATGATTGTACCTTCACATGTCAGGCAGCACTGGAGATGCCTACAGGTGCATATGTCTACACAGAATGTCTGAAGTGCATATACTAACAACACTAATTTTTCCTTTCATTGTGATGCTTAAATATTGCTTGTAACATCAGTGCTATAAACTCTCAAGCAATGGAACCTAGAGCTTTTTATTTCATATTTGTGCTGGGTTATCACTTGTTTAGAATACAGCATCATTTCCCAGGTTTCTTAAAAATTTTCTTAAGCAATGTCTGCTTGTGCTTTTGGCTAGGATTCTGACCTGCATGAAGTAGATTCAGGCTGCATCAACGAACAAGGGGGGAAACTGTGTTTTATGACTAGTAAGCTTTAAGAGAGAGAAGGGTCTAAGGGTTATTGTTTTTCAGAAAAGAAGGCCATCATTCTACTACAAGTGCATTGTACAGGTTAAAACTGAATTATATTGAAGTTTGAGTTTAAGACCAAGAGCTTCTTTTCTTCTCTTAGAAGAGTGAGAAGTGGGGAGTTAGTAATAATCTTAAAATGGCCAGTCACATGATTACTAAGCACCCTGTTTTCTTTCCAGATTAAAACAAATGGAACATACGGCACTAAACTTGAAACACAGTTAAACAGTGACCCTTTTGAAGATTTGTCATTTAAGCTGCTTGTGTCAAAGATGCAGAGGTCTGTTCGAACATCACCTGTTCCGACTTTAAACCAAAAGGAGTTGATGCAGTTGCCTTCAGCAACACAAAGAAATACTGATGCTCTGAATACTGTAAATTGCATGCCAGCAATGCCTCCTATTCCAACCTTTAACACATCGCAGGAACATAAGCGCAGCTCTCCAAATCCATTTATTACTGGTCTGAACTGCACGAATCCATTCACTGAAAGAACTCCTAATGCTGGAAACCCATTTAGAACGGAAACACAAGAGTCTGAAATAACTTCACATTTACTAGAAGGACGTGCCGCTTGCAATCCTTTCCCTTCTCTAAATCCCCCCAGCTGTAATACAAGCAAGCCTGTATTTTCTGTTGATGCATCTGAAAACACTTCTTGCTTGCGAAGTAAATCTCTCATGGTAAAAAACATACAGCCAAAAGGATGGGTAACATTTGAGGAGGAGGAGGAGAATTTCCATGTAAAGCTAAAGCCATTTAAAAGTGTTCCAGATTTTAAGCAACTCAGTTCCAGGAGGTCAGCTGGATCTCCAGATTTGCTGGACACTGAGCAAAAGACTTTTCTAGGTTCAGACTTCAACTTTGATAATGACTGGAATAAAAGCTCTACTGATTGCTTCTATACAATGCCAGCAAGAAGACCACCTGCACCTCCTATACCATCACGAATAACCAGCAACAGGTCCCCCACAGATCCTTTCACTTCTTTGGCACCTAAGGTGTCACCAACACAAGATTTTACAGAAAGATAGATGTTCAAAAATATAAGAGGCTATATTTGTTGCTACATTTATCCAGTAGAATAATTGGGCATTTGAGATTATTCTGTGTGCAATAATTAATTGTCAAATGCACTGAAATTTAACTCTACTCATAAACAGCCACTATTGTTTGTGTATAAATTTTGAATATGTATATATGGTAGAGCACAAAAAATTGTCTGCAATTTATTAAAATCCCGATGTAATAGTATTTGAATAGACAGAGAAAAAAAAGGATGAGCTACTAATCTCATTAAAATATACCAATCTTGGAAATAGTTTTTGCTTAGGGAGCACTCTCATTTCTGTTCCCCTTCATGGAATTTCAAAAATAGAGTCTCCCTGCTGGTAGCCTCCCCACTCCCTTTTTGCTGTTTTGTTAATTGATATTTATAAGTATTTACCAAAGAGCTGCCAAAGTTTATTGAGATTTGAATGTTGACAAGTATTGTTTAGAAGTTGTTTAATTTATAACAGAAGCTATGGATATTTGTAAGGCTTATATTTGAATTTGAAGCACAACAAAAAATAGTTTAATTTCAAAATACAAACAAAACTTTGCGTATTAATATATTCAATATTTGACTTTAATTTTCTGTGTCAGTACATTTCAGCTATTAAATCTTATTGTGACATGTACTCACTAGCATTACTTCAGAATAGTTGTTCCACATCATCCATTTATTCATCACTATTTAAAAGATACTTTTTTCCACAAATCAGAAACAACTGATACAACACATTTTCCCCTCAACATCTGGAAAAAAATTCCCCTTGGGTTTTGGAATACAAAGCAGTCTTTACCAGTTGCAGACAACATATTGGGGTGGGCTTGTCCCACTCTTCTCTTTTGCACGTTGGAAGGGCTTTCTTGTCCTATAGAAAGACCTGAGTGAAGGGATCAGCAGCCAAGTTACAGCATCAGAGAAAGAGAAAGTCATCTTAGGTGATTGGGCTGTCTGCTCGGCATCCTCCCCAGCTACTAGACTTACTGCTGTATTTTTAAAATCTTGCTTTCAAAGAAAACAGGAGAACAGTAATTCTCTGAGCTGAACAGTCACCTTTGTGGTTAATTCTGTCACTTCTGCAGTTAAAACTAAATGAGTAACAACTCTTCATCCAGAGACAGGGACCATCCTCTGTGTGGTGCTGCTTTGAGGCTTGTGAAGGTTAAGTCACAGTTCTGCGTATTACGCCATAAAAACGCAACTCTTTCTGCTTTTATGATTTTTCTCAAGCTCACACGAGATTACATAAAATACAGTATGTTGTTACCTTGAAGCAATTTGAAATAACTGATTTCCTTAACTCCATTTATGAATGCTATAAAACCCTGCAGTTCTCCTTACGATTCGCAGTGTCTTAGGACATAACTTGTATATGCAGCTGCATACTTTCATCCAAAGCAAAATGTGTCACAACAGTGTCGCCTCTCGGGGGACTGCAAATATATATGCCTACACGCATTGGCTTACTTGTGAGCAAACTGCACTGGTTCTGCAAAACCAGGGACTGAAACACAGCATACTAGCAGCGTATTTATATCAGCAAAATACACAATGACAGCACTTTCTTTTTTTTTAAGTTCTCAAATGCTATCAAAACATTATTTATAAAATAATCCACTCTTCCTTTAAACAGTGTATATGGTTAGCCATGAGCTGCAGTTGTATAGAGGAGTGAGGATAGTGAGTTTTATATTGTGCTTTTTTCTGTTCAGGTCATTAAACAGTACTTGTGCATTTTTAACAGCAGTGGTACTGTACTCTTTGTGCTTCAGTATGTGAATTACCTTGTTTTAAACTGTTGCTATAAACATATGTGTGATTGGTGTTTTGGTATATTCTTACATTAGCAAAACAATTTTTGGGGGGAAACTTTTTGCTAGTGGGAGTTACGTGATAAATATGTTCTCTGTTGAATATTTAATTACAGTGATTAAAAACTACTGTTTAAACTAGACCTGGTATACAGCACCTCTACACTTTACAGGATTACGGAGATTGACAGCAACCTACTGCAAGGATCGCAAGAAATGCTCCAAAAATATAGTGTGTATGTCTGTGTATATATAGCTAACCGCTGTAACGTGTACTAATGAAAATAATTACTAGCAGAAGTTCTGAAGATACAAAGAATTAAAATTAGAAGCGCTCAAAACTTTTCTCATGAATTCTGTGTTCCCTGTGGTAAATTGCTCTGTTAAATGTGAGGATGTTCCTGCTTGTGGCGCACATATCTCTCTGGCTGTACCCTGCGCCAGAGCTGCAACATTCCGTATCTGCCCGCGGGAAGGCGGTGGTGTATTCCTGAAATAAACGTATCTGCTCTTTAAAAAAAGAAAAAAAAAAAAAAAAAAAAAAAGGCAAGCAAGCGCTTTTTCTCCGTTTGTACCGTGGGCACGTCCCCTCTTTAGCGCCGAGGCGGGAGCGCGCGGGCCCTTTAAGAGTCTCGCATGACGGCAGCGAGAGGGCCGGAAGCGGAAGCGCGGGCGGAGATCCGGCGGCTCGCGGCTCTGGTCCTTCCCTTCCCGCCGGCGGTATCCAGGGACGCGGAGCCGTTGCTGCCGGGGCAGCGGCTGTAACGGCCGCCTCCTCTCCCCAGGGCGGCCCCGGCCCCGCCATGGTGCGGCTGCACGTCAAGCGCGGCGACGAGAGCCAGTTCCTGCTGGAGGCGGCCGGCAGCGCCCGCCTCGCCGAGCTGGCGGCCCTCGTCGCCCGCATCTACAACGGGAGGCTGAAGGTGCAGCGCCTCTGCTCAGGTACCGGCCCGGGCGGCTGAGAGCCCCTTCCGATGAGGCTGAGCTGACGGGTGCGGCCCGGCTGAACTCTGTAGCGTATGAGCCCATCCCGAGGCTAACCCGAAAGTAAAAAAATTCCAAACCCCAGACACCGTGGTCTAAAGCACTCACTCTTTCTACGGAGCTGCTGCAGTTGCTCCGCAGTACTTGCTAATTTAGTCACAGCCTTTATGGTTTTGGGTGGGCGCCTGTATTCCCAGCCACGGGAACAGAATTGCTGTTTCTTGGGGCATTTCTGGTGTGTCTGTTGTGAGGTGGATCTGCTTTCGTTAGCACGGTGATGGCAAGGAGGCTTGGAGGGCCTTCAAGGAAAGGATGCTGTCAGGTGGGCTGGCGGCTGGGTCAGTTGTTTTGGGGAGAGGAGCAAGTGCAGCTCGAAGGCCACGGGTCTGACGCTGTGGGCTGCGTAACAGGGTTAGGAAACTGCATCCACGCGCTGATCTCCCTGCTCGAGACTGTACATTGGTAACCGGCCTTTAATTCTAGCTGAGACAACAGAGAGGTGTGATTAGACATAAATTACTATAGAGACTTTTGTTTATTTTCTAATTGATACTGGGTGTGAATCTGACTCTGGGTCGGATGTATGCACAAAGCTATAGGTAGTCCAGTTACATATTTTTTCAACTTCAAAGTTACTGTACAACAATAAAATGTTTTTCCATTTTGAAAAATGTTGCTTTCCCAAAAGTACTTAGAAAAGGGAATACACAGCCAGCTAAAGCTGACTAAGGAAATGCCAAAAAGAAAAAGCTGGTGGCCAGCAAGTAACATCTAGGTTTGTGTGCTTGCACTGTCATTTGTTACATTGTTTCGTATGTATGTGAAATGTGTGAATTGTAATTATAGCACATATGCCTATGCATATGTATTTATATACCTTATTATTTATTCCATATACTTAGCTCTTTAAAAACTGAAAGCTAGGAGTGAGGTTTGCCTGCATGTACATAATGTGAAAGGCTTTTGTAACCTCTATGTTCTCAATAACACAGACTTTCAATCTTGTTCTCTAAACGCTTTAAAGAGATGGAGGAGCTGGCAGAGCATGGTGTTTTCTTGCCTTATAATATGCAAGGACTGACAGATGAGCAAATTGAAGAACTGAAGTTAAAGGATGAGTGGGCAGAAAAGTGTGTACCAAGTGGTGGAAGTGTCTTCAAGAAGGATGAAATTGGGCGAAGAAATGGACATGGTAAATCAAAAGTAAATGTTTGTTTCTTTCCCTGCAGACACAGATAATGTATAATACAATGAGGAACACAAAAACCGTAGTTGTGCACCTTTCACTTTTACCTCACTGTCCTGAAAGAAGAAAAAAACCTAGTAGATACTAAGTATATGTTTGATTTTAGGCCAGCACCCTAGGCAGCTCATGTTTATTTGCTAATTATAAAAACTGTCCTATAAATAAACTATTAAACGCAGTTGTAGATTAAGTAATAGCTATTTCAGGAGCCTGTTTTCACAATGGATTAGCTAAACTATCAGTTACGTATATCTTCTGTCTTGGATTAGGACCTGGTGTAACGTTGATTAAAAAGCCTAAATAGTAGTTTATCTCTTGAGCACATGTGCTGTTTAACTTTGCAACAGTGGTACTTGGAAGTGAACTCCAAAGATAAGTAAACAGATATCAGAAGCAAGTTTGACTGTTTCCCTTCAATTTATTCTCCCCATTTGTAAATGTATACTTGAGTACTGTTTTCCTCCAGAGGCTCTAAGATACATTAACAGGCTGTTTTTCTAATATTTCTCCTTTTTTCTCATCGACCGTGACTCAGACTTACGGAACTCACTCCTGTCACTTTTTCTTTCTGCAACTCAAATGGCTTTGCTGTAGGGATTGGGATGTGTGTTGAGCACCACTTTACAGACGAGGGCATGAGGACTGATTGCACAGAAGAAACCACGATTGTCTTCCTGCTGTCTGCCCCTGTACTCCCGACACCACGGCAGCCCTTTAGATGTTGATTGCAGGGCAGCTCAGTTAGGGAGGAACCTTTGAATAACTTAGCCTTAACTTGTCATACGCAAACAGCTTTCTCCAAGTGTCTTATTTTGGGGAAAAGAATTCTTCTAGCACGACATATTGCCCAATCAAATTTAAGCCTTTGCTGAACTTGATTAAGAGCTTATATTGTAGCTAAATGCTTTCCCTCTTAACTGTGTTTTTGGAAATAGCTGAGTGTCTCGTACGCAGGCATGTGACAAAGCCTGTCTTGTTTGGCATGGTTCTTAGCAGTGGCAGACCTTGCAGTAAAAGTCTGCAAGTAACTTTAACATAAGGACAGTACCGCTTTTACTTGTAGTTGTACTCTGGCATTTGTTTGTTAGTGGGAGGACAGCTTTGTAATATTAGCAAAGTTAACTGAACAATGTAAATGTGGGCCAAAGTAAATACCATCAAATGATGCATTGATGTGTTGAGCTGTGAACAAGTATGATTTAATTGGATTTTTATATTTGAGGAGAGGTTTTTAAATAACAATTAAAATAGATAACTATGATATGAAATGCACATCGTATTTGCAAAACTGCATTTGATGTTAGATTGAGATTTTAATTAGAAAAAAGTCAGAAAACTCCAAGCTATTGTCCCCAGTTAAAGCACGTCGGCCAGTACTGCCCACAATAGTCATAAGTATGGCATGGGAAAGAGAGTCTTGTTTTCAGTTGTGGGGAGTGTGAGATTATGGCTATTGCTTTCTACTCAGTACTTTTGTCCCAGATTAAATTCCAAAAACCAGTCAGATGTCTCTGTGGAAAAGTAAGTTTGGCTCTCCCGTGAGAAATACTGTTTTGTTTCTTAAGTTAGTAAGAAATACAGCAATAAACTGTCAAGCTTGTAAATAGATGGCAACTTAGTAGTGTCTCTCTTGCTTTGTGATTTACCAGTGTTTCATTTGCTTACGGTAGAGAATAAATTGGACAGGTCCTTTGTTTGGTTTCTTTATAGTAAATGTAGACTATTAAATATGTGTCTCTTATTTTTAGCTCCAAATGAAAAAATGCAGCAAGTTATAAAGAAGACAATAGAGGAAGCCAAGGCATTAATCTCTAGGGTAAGTTTTCTGAAATGGCATTTGTTATGTGGGACTTTCTTAGTAGGTGCAATGTAGTTGAGCACCTTAAGGAAAAAATAGGCTCTATTCAGTGCAAGGGCTGACAATTTTTGAGTCATATCATGAAGTGATGTGAATAGTCTAATAAAAACTCACATTTCTGTTAATGATTTTCTTAATGGCTTTTGGCAAGCTGGTTCAACAAGTTAAGGAATTGGATATTAAAACTCCAAGTGAATGCTGGCAGCCGAGACCACATTGAATGATTAAATTGCATTTAATTTTATCCACACACTCTTAATTTGCTATTGGTGCATTCTTTAGGTGAATGCTTGTCGTGTTTTCTGGTGAAAAATTAACTGCATTCTGTGATGTTCCTGTAATAAAATACCTCTTGCTTATTAACATAGTCTTTTGAGCTTTATGCATAAATAATTGAAAAATGTGTTCTAATCTCTTAGATAAGGTCTTGGTTTTACAAGCACTTGGACTCATGCTCAGTCCCAGTGAGTTTGTGTGTTTAAAGCTAAGAGTGAGGGGGTGCCCTGGTGGGACTATGGTCTCGGTTATTCAGCTTCACTTTACCAAATCTGTAGATGCTCTGTATTGCGTTTCAGCTTTCATATGACTTTGAAACACAAATTAAGTGATATTTATTATCTGATTTTTAAGCATCTGAAAGTCATTTTCTTCTCCCTACCCTTACAGTGCTGGGAATTGGTATGTGTGGAAGTTTAAAACAGCTTTAATCCAGTTATGCAAATAGATAGTGTTACTGAAGTTTTAGTGTTGCCTGTGCACTTAAATTGGCTTTCTTGGCTATTTTGTTGCTGATAACAGTGTCCCATCAGTCATTTAGCCTGAGCAGCTCAGTGTTTCCAAAGGCCTGGTGGAAGCAAGCAGGGGAGCTGCCCTGTGGCCTGGCACCACTTCCAGGGCGCTGCGTTGCAGCAGACCTTCCTGAATTGGGGCAGGATTTCAGCCAAACCGTTCTGAGTCATAGCAAAATCTACGCAAAATGAGAGAGATGTTTCAGATTAAAGCTTCTGGGCTATAAAGATTTTCTCCAGATGGACTTTTTTTTTTTTTTTCTCCCCCTGTTGAATTGCATTTCATCAGCTCTATTTCTAAACAGGGAGGAAATTTACAATGTGTAGGTTTACTTCTTGAGTCAAAAATATTTGCAGATCTGGTCTCTGCTTTGCAGGTCTTCCTGGGTGAAACTTCCAACTATATACCATGTTGCCATTTACAATATAAAGTTACAAAATTGCCATACTGCATGCTGAATTACTCTCAAAATTACTGCCGTTCATTGGTGAATGAAATTAAGGACAGTTTGGGAATTAGTTTGTTACCTTCATCGCTTTATAATGCTGAAAATGAAGAAACATGCCAGTGTATTTAAAAAAAAAAGAAAAAGGTTGATCATCTGAGATTGAGAAACCAATCTGTACTTTCCAGTTAACTAACTTAAGAATGTCCACAAGGAGGCAACATCCTCTTACTCTCTTTTTTATAAACCTTGTTACTTAAAATGTTGGAACTGTTAAAACCATAAGCAAAAGCTTTATTTCTTGTCTTCCAGATGCGTCTTGTTTTTCCTCTATCCATTGCGGTAGGGTTTGGAATGATCTCAAGTACTTGATCTTACAGACCTCTGCATATGCCGTGCAATGTGCCAAGCTTTACTCTTCTGCTCACATGTGCTCTATATTTTTTTCCTCAAGTTTTAGGCCCCTTCTCTAGCCCCCACTTGAATTCTACTGTTTTGAATCTTGTTCGTGAACCACAAGTTCTTGCAACAAAAGACTCCCCATCCAGTTTCTGTGGTCATATGTGTACTTGTTGGAATGCCTGTATCCCAGAGACATTTGTTACTAAATACCTCTTCACAATTTAGTGAAGATCTCTCTTTTTTTTTTTTCATTTATTTATTATATCTTCCCCCCAGTGTAAGCAAGCTAAATAGAGGAGAAAAAAGTGGAGTGATGTATTCAGAAATCAATATTCAAACAAGAAAATTTGTGCTTCTAATATCTTTGTGCAGTCAGTTAGTTTTGCTCAAATATCCCACTGCTGAACCTTTGAACTGACTACAAAGCAAAGTCTTGCTGCATGTTTTTTAAAATTACCAGTGATCCCTGCCTGTATTTCAGAAACAAGTTCAGGCCAATGTGTGTGTTAATATGGAGATGGTGAAAGATGCATTGGACCAGCTCCGAGGAGCTGTGATGATTGTGTATCCAATGGGATTGCCTCCACATGATCCAGTTAGGATGGAGTTTGAAGATAAAGAAGACTTGTCGGGAACTCACGTATGTAGTAACGTATTTGAATTCTGTGTAGTGCCTGGGTTAAATACGTGCTATGCAGCTCTCCATCTTATCAATGAAGGTTGTTTTCATTTCATGACAAATTTGGTTTAATATTTTTGTCTGATAGTTTATGTGAAAGCACAACAATAGCTTAACTAGAAATGAGATGAATGAAGCTTATTTCACATGTTACATACAAAGTTCAGGTAAGTCTGGGACTCATTTTAAATAGCTTGTCATTTCTTTCTAATGCCAGTATTAAGAATTTATTGCCCTAAGTGTTTATGTTAGGTCAAGACTGAATAGAATATGAATGAAAATGCTGTAGATTAGTATGAGGAGAATAACATAGCAAAAGTGTAGTGTAAAATTACACTGGCCTTTCTGTTAGGAATTCCGTAAAGACTTTCCCAGAAGACTCTTCTGGCTTGGAAAAAAAGCAAAAAACAACACCCCTGCAACACTTCACCTTGTTTGTATTTATTTGTCACAGGCTGGACTTGAAGTTATAGAAGAATCTGAAGCACAATTATGGTGGGCAGGAAAGGAGCTGAAAGAAACAAAGTTGCTCTCTGACTATGTAGGCAGAAATGAGAAAACAACCATCATTGTCAAGATACAGAAAGTAAGTATTGCTGGGAGATTTCTTTGCAAGCTATTCACCTTTAGCTGCCTCATTCTCTGTGGAATTGTCCATAGGTATATAAAATGGATTAGATTAGTTCCATCTTGAGCGTCTTAAAACTGTACATCTATTTTAAGGTTTTAATATACTGTATTCTAAATTTTCCTTAAGTAATTCGTTTGCCTGTAGTTAAATAGTATAATTGCTATTACTTGCTCCATAGCACTTTTCCAAAGTACAGCAAAGAGCTATTTAAAAACAGATGAAATACAAACTGAAAAGTTTAAAAAAACTCTGCTGGCTCTCTGTTCCATCTCAGTGCAGAGCGCTGAACAGACCCAGTCATTCAGTCAGCCCAGTTTTTCTGACTGTACTTGGGAATGTTTTTCTCTCTGTATTCTGGCCTTTAAAAAATGCTGTAGACACCTCTCACACCCGTTTCAGCCTTTTGTGTGTCTCAAAGACAGTGTCTAACTCAGTAATGTCCTGACTTGCTTGATGGCAGGTCCTCAAACTGTCTCGTCTGCCTTGCAAATGTGGACATGTGTCTTCTTTGAGAGGACTCTGGTTTTGGAAGAGCCTGAACTTAGGCTCTTCCAAAGAGCTCAGTGAGAACTTGCTGAGCGCTAGAAGGAAGAACAAGCTGCTGAGCCTGTGCTGCCCAGTTGTGCTGTTGGCTGTTTGCTGAAAGCTTCCAGCTGAACTTCTTTAAAAGAAATGTGACTTTCCAGCTGTCAGATGTGATGAAACAGATGAGGCCTTCTGTACTGATTGTGAACACAGGTCTGAGTCATCTGGAGTAATGAGCTAAAATGAGGCAAAGATCTCCTGCTGCTCCTCAGTTTATAGATCTGATGCTTCAGCAAAAGCCAGTCATTAAGCACATACTGGTGTCTGATGCATGGTCATGCTCTTGCAATATCACAATTAGTACCAAGCTACTGGGACTGTTCATTATTTTTTGGGCAAAATGATTCTGTACTAACTCTGCAGTTGTGCTCATCTCTGGTGAGAATGCCATACTGAGGAGTGTTTGGTGTTTCAGTTCATTTTCAGAGCTCTGTCAGAAGATGCTCACCCTGTTTGTGTGTGTATATATCTCTCTATGTATATAAAATCACATTTGCAGGGTGCTTTTGTGAATGTCAAATGTCTCAGAGTACTTACCCATAGCTCAGAATTATTCTTGAGCTGCATTTCACTTCCATATCAATTAGAGCTTCTCTGCCACAGAAAATATTAATATTTATGGCAGATCTTACTATCTGCAGGTGTCTGTAATAGAATTCCTCAAAGATAACTCAAGTGATTTATGTGTATATCATTTAGAAGACCAGAATTGCTTACTCTTTCCTATCAGGGTGAGTGAAAAATTGTGCGACAACTCAACAACCACTGAAGTGTAGGCTCCTCAGAAAGTTGTTTCGCTGTTGTATTAGTTTATGGACCCCTTCAGAGAATGCAGAGTAGTACAGTGGTTTTCTATCTAACAGGAGATGCTGGCATTCTTGGGTTGGGAGAGCTAAATTGAACCACCTCAGACCCTTTTTGATTCCAGAGAGGATTCAGCATCTCCATTCAAACTGTTCTGTTTGCAATTGTTGACAATAGCTGTCATCAGCTATTTTCTGCTGTGCACATCACTTCTTCCATGAGGACAGTTGGAAAAACATTTTTTTCTTTTATTTTTAGTGTTTTGTAACTGCCTGCCTTCTCTGCTTTACTAAGTCATATGCCATCTTGAGTCTGCATTAGCAGGGGAGATAAAGATGGATGGGCCCATCCTGAGATATCTAGAATGACCTTAAAACAGAGGGATTTATTATGTCTTTTAGAGCAGAAGGTTAAGTAAAATAGACTCAATCCTGTTTGCAGCTTCCACTGATGTCCACAAAATTGACAGCATGATTCAGATGGTGGGATGAAAAAAGAATTCTTACTTGTTTGCAGCAGAAGTTTCTCAACATTTATTTTCCTGTCCTGTGAGACCTTACTAAATTTGAGAAATTCTATTGTCTGAAGAAAGATTTTGCTATCTTTGCATAGCAGCTTCTCTTTTGTATCACAAATGCCATCATAAATAAAATTTACGATTTCCCTTTCAGAAAGGACAGGGAGCTCCAGGGCGTGAACCTCTGATTAGTCATGAAGAGCAAAAGCAGATGATGCTGTATTACTACAGAAAACAGGAGGAACTTAAGGTGACAGTGTCTTTTTGCTGTATGTAAGCTGTGCACTAACGGCAGATTACATTCATCACTGCCTTCTTAACCTGTTGGTTCTGTTTACAGAAACTAGAAGAGGATGACGACGACTCATTTCTAAATGCCGAGTGGGCAGACAACCATGCTTTGAAAAGGCAATTTCATGGTGTAAAAGACATCAAATGGGGGCCACGATGAAGCTCTGCAAACACCTTGTTGCCTCTTTAAACTGTTTGCAACTTGCTTAACTTGCTTGCAATGAGGAGTTGCGTTGTGTGCGGTAGATTCTTCTGACAAAAGCTGGAATTGTCACTTCCATAGCAGATGCCTGTTTCAGCCTTAGGTTTTTGATAAATGTTTACGTTGCTGTGTAACTGTAGCAACACTTGCCTCTGCAAAGAATTAAATCAATCCTGTTGAAGTTTGTTATTTTATTAGAAACTTGTAATTTGAATACTAAAATATTAAACTACTTCCTAGATGATTTATCTAGTGAATATGCACTAGAATGTTTGGTATTGTTTTGAGTGGTCTTTATACTTTCTTCCTGATTCTTACATTTCTTTTAGATGGTATGGACTGTAGAAGGCAATTTATTTTATAAGAGGCCAGGTTTCCCAGGTTAATCCAGTGAAAGTTAGTGATCTGTATGTGCTTGTTTGCATTTCAACATAGCTAATTCCAGACTCTCATTTTTAAATAAGTTGACCTCTTAACAATTGTTTAAAGGAAGTATTTTTCTATAAACACAAATAACACAAAAGTATTTGTGGAACGCTTCATTTTTGTTCTTTTGGTTTAGTTTTTTCATTGACATTGAAAGCCAACCTGTTGATTTCATTCAGTTTAACAAGCTGTTAGCCATGATGCTTTTAGATAAAAATTGACAGAAATCTGTTTACAAAAGTAAGCATCATTTGCAAGTAGACTGGGTACAATAAGACCAAGTTTAATAGGGCAAGATCTGTAACATGGAACTACTACTAAGATTGACTGGAATACAAGTGTTTCATTTCTAACGAATCAGCATTTTAAAATGAGAAATCATGAAACTTATTGGAGAGTTTCCACTATATGCTTGATGTTTAGGATCCTGTTACCATTTCTAAAATGTACCATCAGTCACTTCTGGGTTCAAGACTAACAAAGGAGATGCTAGTAGACTTGAAGCAAATGTTGTGTCTGGTTTTGAAGGGAGGATTCTGATTTGGGATACTGTATGACTAATGGATAATTAAATCTTTAGCATTACCTATGTAGATAATTAATGCTTAGAAGCAAGTTGCTCAAGTTTTACACCTTTAGACTTCTGTGTCCTTAAAGGAGATGCTTTTCCATGGAGGCAGATGTGCATCCTCGTCAGGTCGCTGAGCAGTGGAAAGCCAGGGTGCCCTGAAAACTCTGCATGAGGATCCACCAAGTGTTTTAAAAAGGGGTGAACCGATGTGGGCGCTCACAGCCAACAACTGAAGTGATGTCTTCGTTCACACCACAGAGCAGTTGTCCCTAGGGCAGCAGGGAGCCGAGAGCACCCACCTTTTCAGTGCTGCAGCACGGGCAGGTGAGCCAGCTAAGGACGTTGGTTTTGGCATTGGTAAAATAGTCTTCAGGTTACCAAGCTGCCCCTGCCCCTGCCTGCTTCCTTTCCACCTGAGCCAAACTAGATCATGTTCACAAACAGCATCAGCCTCAAGAACAGGCAGTTGCTCATCAGCATGTAGTTTAAGTCCAATTTTAATGCAAAATGTTTTTTTGCAGGTGCCGTGTTATGGCACTGTTGTGCTGGGGCTGCTCAGCAACTTTGGAAGTCAGATGGGTTATGTTTGCTGACTGAACTTACACCCACATTTGACGTTTTTCATTGATAGTTTTTTTTGTTATTCATGCCCTAATTCTCATGTCAGGCGGGCTTAGTGGCAGAGATGCTTGAAAACACAAATGTCTGCTATATTATCAACAAGCAGCTTCCTGCCTTGTCAAACCTGCCAGTGCAACAAGATGGAAGTAAATTCTGTGGTCGTTGACTATCCCCTAAAAATACCTGGCTGTGGCTCCCCAGATTCACAGATCTCAGGACTTCTGGCTTCAATCTCTCTGCTTGTTTAAGTCATTGTAAAATAACAAAGAGAAAGTGTTTTGCTAGTCATTTTTGATGATTAAAAAGTTACCATTTTCTGTATGTATTAGTAGGGTTGAAGAGACACTGATCAAGTTAAACTGAAGTATTTGTTGAACTCACAGCTGGAAGATCGAATACAGAAAAGAGAATTAATACCATTCAGTGAACTATTAATGTTTTTACTTCAATCACTGATTCTTTTACTTTCAGGAGTTTGGTGTCTGGTAGTTTTTCTTGAATATCAGCTTTGCATTAACACATTTTTTACAAATAAAATATCAGTATGTGGGATTTTTCCAAGTTGCAAAACTTCAAATATTTTATATTTAAAAACTACTTGAAATTATTTCTATGTGGCAAGAAAAAAAGAGCGTATTTTAACAGAACACTTTGTTCTACCACACAGTCAGATGAAAATCAGTGTCCTGTACAACTCCTTGGAGATTTTTAACCATTCCCATAGCTGAAGGCATTTTTCCTAATGTCCTCCTTTGTCATCATCAAAGGGTGGAGTGAAGAATATCTGGAAATAATTAATTTCTTAATATCACTGGCATTGCAGCCCACAGTGGTATAGTGAATGTTCTTGATCCATAACTATGATTGGGAGCACTCAGTGAAATCATTATAAAATCGTAAAAGTCATTGATTTAGTATAAAGGTGGTTAGTCACCTAGCTCCAGCTTCTGATCAGTCCTATCGGTTGTAAGAGGCCTGGGTTGCTGGAGGTGTTGCTGTGGCTTTTAAGGGGGCTTCTACAGGTACAAAACCTCCCCCTCCCCTTCCCTGTCCCCTGCAATGCTCTCCTTGGGGTTTCACAGGGATGTGCATGAGTGCTGCCTGAGGGCCCAAATTTCAAAACAGGTTCTGCCTTGAAAGGAATTATTTTGTTTGGGCAATTATATATACATGCTTAAAAAAAAAAAAAAAAATCAAATGACTATTTATAGATTAATGACTTAGGGTTGCCTCACATTTGCTTTCCTCTTTTCCAGCAATGTTCTGAAATATTTATGTCCTTTTGGCAGCCAGGAAAGATGTTGCTCTGTTCGTAAGCTTTTAAAGCAAGTTGGGTGGCAGCCTGGCACATTTCGCATCCAGGGGGAATTATAACCTGGCGGTTCCCAAACTTAATTCCTCCAGGGATCGCTTCGTTTCCTCTGCTGCTGGTGACAAGGCTTCCCCTCCCCAAAATCTCATTTTTTGTGTTTAACAAGCTGGCTGAGGACAGCCAGCCCTGCCATGTGGTTTTTGTCCTGCTGACCTGGGAGGGGGATTCCCGAAAGACAGACTGCCCATGAGCTACCTGAGGTGAGATCCGCTCCGAGATCAGGGGTTCCAAGGTGACCTTACCTCAGGGGGCTTGGTTATTGGCATTTATGCACCCTGGAACAGTTTCGCAGCAGGAGTATTTCCTTATCTGCTCTTCATCATTTGAAAGTCTCTTTTTTTAGTTACTTTGTTGTAACAGCATTCAGCTTACTGGCCTTGGCAGGAAGCTTCCCAGATGTTTTGGATCAGTTATAATGAATGCTTGAAAATATCCAACCGAATCCCTCTTACAAATAGAGCTTTCCTCTTAGATTAGTATTATTCTGAGGAGTTTGTTCTGTGGGCTCCCAGTCCTGTAAATAACTGAAGTCATTGCTGGCTTTTGGCCATTTGATTTATTGTCCTTGATACTAAGAAAGTACTCAATAGCAGAGCAGGCAGAATGAAAATCACATAAGCAGTAAAGTATCTGTACTCCCCAGATCTTGCTCGTTAAGCCCCGCTGCACATCCACGACCAAAAGTATCTGGTTTTCCATGACAAAACCCTAACGCGTTGCTAGCACCTCCCTCCCTGCAGAGCTCTCTGCAACCAGTGTACATCTCAAAGGAGCACAAGAAGTTTTATTATCTTTACAAGACTTGTTGAGAGTTATTGTTTCAGTGAAAAAGAGACTTTTAAATTACCATTTATACAGAGGATTCTGAGGGAGGTGTTTGAACATGACCTTTGATTATGGTGCTTATAATATTGTCATTTCATCTCTAAAAGTGAGGGAAAAGCAGGTGTAGGAAATAATGCAGAAGAAACTCTGTTTTATTCTGTGTACCTTCGACTGCTGTTCTCTACTGTAATTGGCCTTGTTTTCTTCTTTGGCTGAGAAAACTGTCCATAGGATCAATGCTCTTCTGAGTTCTCATCTGTGCATCTGCTGTGTCTGTGTCTGCATCTGCTGGATTCATTTATTATGGCTGAAATTGAATGAACTTCCTGGAAAAAGATGAAAGAGTATAGGAGCAAAGCAAAGCCTATAGATATTTAAATATCTAAAGAATTTGAGAATTATGAGATAGGAACACCGCACACAGGTTTGCAAATTTGCGAAAGCGTTTTATCTTTCTTCAAAACTGTTTATTTCTGGAAGTTTGATAGTAGACGTGCTCTTCCAGAGGGAAAATCTGTTCCCTATCAAAGGACACGCACAGTGGAACATTGCTAAAATGTTTGTTTTGTGGCCATATCACCATCCCGATTAATAGAAACTCGTACTGTGTGTTGTGAGAGCTGCCAATGCCATTACAGTCCTTAACATGCGATTGAGGTTCCCCTGAGCAGGAGGGTGAGGGGAAGCAAGGCACGGGCACTTTGCCCTGTGTGGACGTGGCTCCAGCATCTCTCCCCCCCAGACCCCTCCCCGGGATGTGGGCTGTGCCCCGGGGTGCAGGGTGGGTGCTGCTCTGCCTCGGGCTGCTGCCACCCCACGGCCTGCCCTGTGCCCACTGGTGGGTTCTGACCCCACAAATGTATTGTCCTGTAACATTTCACCATGTGAGGGTCACTGGAAAAACCCAACAAGGAGCTTCAATTTGGCTGTTGTGCTGGAAGGTCTTGGAGCAGGGCGAGCCTCATAGACACAGTGTGCTTTAAAATACTCCGGTGACATTTCCTGATTATTTTCCCTCTCTGTTCCCCCCTCCTCTGGCCACAAACCCCTGTGCTCTGTTGCAGGTTTCCCGAATGACAAGAGGGGAACACTGTCGGCCTGGCTGCGGGATGGGGTGTCTGTGGTGGGCGCCGCTGCTGCAGAGGTGACCCTGGAGGGGCCCTGAGCACCCAGTCCCCAACCTTATGCCCGAGGCAGGGGCCCAGGGAGCTGAGGCCTCTGCTTTCGGCAGCGCTGACGTCCCGCTGAGGCGCAGCTCTTGTTCCTGCTCAGCACTGACAGCCGCAGGAGCCTGCAAAGGTCTGGCGTGATGGGGCTGGAAAGCGGAGGTCGCCCGCTGCCGTCGGCGGCAAGGTCTCCCTGCCAGCAGGCGGGAGGAATTCCCAGCTGCTGGTGACCTCCTGAGCCCGTGTGCTCTGACACGCCGGCATTGGAGGAAGATGCAATGAATTGCACCCCCCT